TACATACACTTTGCTGACCCAACACCGATAAAACCCTTTTTATCGCAGTGTAAAAAGATTTTTGACGTTCCACAAAGTATTTTTTGGATTTATATACCTATTGCAGTAGCTATCATTACTTTAAATTGATTTTGTGTTTTATCTCAAAAATATACAGTATATCTACTTCATGACATAAATCAGATACAGTTATATATAACTGTAAGTCGGTATAAAATTTGTACACATAATATATATATATATATATATATATATATATATGTATATATATTATAAAGATGTATAAGTATACTAGCTGCGCCCGCGGTTTCACCCGCATGAAATCTTCAAATAAAAGAATGGCCAAAAATGGACCGCTTTTGGCCACTCTTTTACTCACAGATAGATAATGTTATAAGGAGTAGTTTAGGGTACTTATATTTTTGATATTTCATTCATTTTAATAAAAAGTAGTTAAATTTAATGTGGACAAAGTCGCGAGAAAGGCAGCTGATATGGAATAAACTTATTCATTGCATGGTTACAAGCTACAATCAGAGCAACACTAATTAGTTCCTAATTATTTTGCTGTACATGTTACGAGTTTCTTAGAGATATTATATTATACATATAGTCTTATATTATATGCTTGACTATTATATAAATAATAATATAAATGTATCGTTATGGAGGTATGTAATAAAACAATAAAATACACATACTAATACGTAGAGAGTTGTATGAATGGAGATTGGGATAGATATAACAAAATTTGGAAGCTGAAAGTCCCTTGTTAAAAAACTTATTCGCAGCAAGAAAAAATGCGAAAATAGGCTTTAGAACTGGAAGTTCGGCTACTGATTTGAATGCAAAATGGCTGGATGTGAGATGCCATAGAATACAAATGTAAAATTAGGTAGGTATACCTACAGGTGCGCTGTAACAAGTCATATGCAGATACTGTCAGAATAATAAATAAATAAATATTTATTATTATTAAGATTTGTACTTAAGACAACATATTCATGGACCTATCAACCAGCTTATCAGAATAATATATAGGTACTGACTCGACCTATTAAGTGCCAAATCATGTCGTTCGATTTTAATTTAATAACAACTTTGTGGTGGTAATATGTGCCATAGTAGTAATTACTATGAATCTTCAAACTAGTTACTAATGTACTCCTAGGACTAATAATTTTAATTTTATTCTATTACCATGTTTCCATCACGACATGAAGGAGTTAAGCCTATCAAATGACGATGCTTACCAGTCAAGTATATGGCGTCTAATATTAGGAAAGGCAACCCGCGTGACGGGAAAAGGTGGAGATGAAGAACACTGTTTCTACGAGATAAATGCAATGCTAATAAAGATAACTACACCATAGGTAAAAACAAATAGTATTGTACTAACACAATCTCGATACATATTTACATTAAGATCAACCAATACCACATTTATAATATAATATTTTATATGTGTATGTCCTTCCACCATGTAAAGTTTCTTTTATATTTATGAAAAATAAAAGAAAGTAGAAGTATTAATATAAAATTATGAAATAACCCGGAAACACATCGAAATATTGGAAGATTGTAAAATAAATATTATTAACATTAATATTATTCGAAATTTTAAACAATAAGGTCATATATAAAGTTTGTGTAGGTATTTAAGTTGCATATAGAAACAAGATAATATAATTTACGTCAGTATACATGTTTATCATACCTACTCATTAATTATCACGTGAGTACAGTTTACAACACAAAGTTTTAGTGATATTAAAATTGCCTGTCATGCCAAGAGCGGTTACAACTTATCTCTGTGAATATTACAGATGTTTAGGTCGGTTGGTCGAGGTCTGTAATAATTTCCAGTTCAATCTTGGTAATATACCTATATATGTACCTATGTATGAAGATAGAAATCTACGTAATGGAAATCACATTGGAATATTTTGCAAAATTTTATAGCATGTAATCGAGATACAATTTCGACACGTCAGAAACACAATTTAAAGCTAAAATTGAACAGATATTGACCTTCTCGTTAACATGTATTGGAATATAATAGTGGTAAGAGACCCCAATTACTATTTACCCGTATAATATAAAGGTCGGAAAGATCATCTGAGCAAAATATATCAAATATCAAAGGATAGAGATTAAAAAGCATTCATGGCTTGATGATTTTAGTAGAAAATTATAGGTCCGTCGCTGGTTAGGTCTGTAGGTCCAATGATATCGGTATAATATCAGGTACAACTAACAAGGTAGGTATTTCCTTGTTTTATCACTACCACGTTTCCTATTAATATAAAGTTTACTACCTCGACGTACGCCCGGAAAGTGGTTCTGATCTGGCTGATACCAAAAAAACTGCGTGTGTCAATTGAAATATCTAACTAATACTCCGTTGAAGGAAACATCGATAACAAAAAAAAAATTAATTTGGAAGACTCATCGTCTGTCAGATTTAAATATGACCATGTCAATTGTTGCGATGACCATCATGTCGGTAATTAAGAATTATCCAAGATAACAGTCGTTTATGTTTTGAAGATTTCAAATTGAAATGAACTTTATTTTCTGGAGAAATCAAATTAATGACCATTGGATAGTTTAATTTATCTGGCAAACCCAATGATTAAGCTACATGTTACTCTTATATATATTACATTATTGTGTCCAATTACATATCCAACAAATTAACAAAGCATTACTTTTATTACTGGGCCACTTAAATGTGCACACGCTTCGTGAATTTTGTTACTTGACTGATTTTAATATGAAGATCTCGTCTCGCATGAACCGTAAGTATCGCTATAAACAAAACGTTGGCAATGTTCAGTGAATGTAAAAGCTTAGTTGATGTAGTAAATGCACAGTTTTCTATTCGGGTAGAGCGATAAAAATTCGCTGATCATTTGGATTTCGCTTCGAGCCGTATAAGCGAAGAGGCGTGTCTATCTAACAATTTGTTCTCGATTTTTCCAGTATCTCCTCTCCAACTACTATTACATTGTTCGTTTGGTATTTATTTATGGTAGCATTTATATAAAAAATTCTAACTGGTTGCCCCTTCTGGTACTTCGTTAATGTCACGACCACATGTACCCCAACATCTTAAAGTATTTATATTACATTTATTATATGTATATAATAGATACAAATTGTTGTTAGTTATATAACGTTTGAATTCATAATGAAAACATTTTTCCGCAAATCATTATTAAATACTTAATCCCTAGTCGGATTCGCCCTTTTAATATATTATCAAAGGTACAGTAATGTGTATTTCCGTTTACCTCCATGCAATCCCACGTGGTGGTCAGAGATACATAAATATTTAATAATACCTAATTTGTGAAAGAGCATGTAAAAAGTGATTGTATATTAATCTTAATGTAAGAGTTAAATAAATTAATTCTAACGTATCTAGGCTGTCTAAGTTTGTGCGACGTTGAGAATAGTAAAGAACAAATTAGATAAGAAGTGCCAACGTTGCTAGCTAAATTAAATTAATTAAAATCTAAATTTTAATTAAGACTACCTAAATTTCCATTGTGAATTCTAAAACAAACACAATGTATTTTACAACCCCTATACCCACGTAGTAGTTGCAAAAGATAACAACAAATGAGATCCAACAGTTAGAGAATCGTTGAGTTTGTTAAGTTTTGGCCCGTAGTGCAATATTCCTTTGTATTTAAGTTCTACAAAATTTACTTTCTTTAAAGATCTCATCATGATTTTTTCTTACGTAATAATTTAGTAAAGCACTTCAAATGCAATGACAACATTAGCCGTCACTGTATCCTGAAAGGTAACAACAAGAAATATATTCTCTTGTCCATATAATAAAACGTTTAATACTAAACGACTTCTTTACGGCGATAAAAAATCCATCCCTCGTGACCATAAAAGAACATGAAAGCTGGTAGCAAATGAATCGTTAAAATCTCATTCCTCATCCCAAAACATCATTTCTGGAGCGAGTCCCTCAAAATGAGTGGGTATTGAAAGTAATGACTATGTAGACTGGAAGGGGCAACTCATCTCGGCCGACATAAGTGCACAGTCATGTGATTTTAATTAAGCAATTAGGGCAGGTATTCAGTTGTACGTGGATTTCCTTACCTGCTATAAAAACTAAGAATGTTTCGTATTAAAACTTATCAATTAAATAAGTTTGAAACTATCTTTTTCACAATTTTTAAATAATAAATATATAATTACTAATGATTACTAGTTTTAGTGTGACATAGTTCTTAAATTTAATAAAAAGCAAATATACTATTGTATCTTTAAATAGATATAAAGATTATAATATAGGTATATAAAGAGTAGAAGCAGCTCAAATAGATAGAAACAGCATTTCATCGACTGTTTTTTGTGGTGACAGACAAAACCAATTAACTACCATAGCCGAGCATATAGAAATTATTTGGTGTCCAACGAAGTAGCAGAGTATCTATGAAATCCCCATTTCTCGAATTAATTGCGTTAATAACAGTATTGGGAAGGGTTGATTTGACAAAAAGTTTTGGTAAGTTCGAACCCACGACCACTGCATTATTTTCTAGTACAATATTCAATTTGATCTTACTGAATTTATGTAGTTAACAGGCTTATTGCGTTTTGCTTTCACTAGTACATGACCATAACAAGTTAATTTATACTCCTCTACTACCTCGATTTCGAAGATCACTTTCGCAATCTTTAATATTTAAAATAATAGCATATTAAATTACTTCTTATAACATCAGCTATGTGCAAGTGTATGTCCCGTCAAAATCGAAGCAGCCATTTTAGAGATCAGCAAGAATAAACAGACAAAATCAGATTTTTTTAACGTAATAAACGTATAGGATACTGCTCGTAATAGCATTACTACTAATACAAATAATATAATTTACTATCCTACTACAATTGAACATACTATATTTAAATAATCCTTGTTGATAGAAACAATATATGTCTATTTGTAAGACTATATTAAAACAAGTAAAATGGCTATGCAATTAAGGCCTTATGTTAAAGAATTTTACGTAAGCATAGCGTTTTTATAACGATAAGATTCTTTATTGTTTTGACCGAACATCTGCTTTATCTTTTTATTGGCGATGGGAGTCCGACCGGCATTAGCCAAGTTATAATCTAAAGGAACACTGGAAGAGCACAATTACTTTTATGATTGAAATTATCGTTATACAGCACGACTTCAAGTTTAAAGTATTCTCCGATAACATCTTTAAGAGTAAAATCAAATTCTATTTTTTATTTTAATGACTTGGACGACTTTTGCACACGTGAATGAATTTACATAAATATCTTTTAGTAGATACTTCCGTTATAAAATAAACTAATGTAATTTTAGCTTTCTAACTATACTAGTTGATAGTCAGTTACGACATAAGGTTTTACAAATATAAATCAACAGTTTAAGCAGAGCTATAAGGCGAAATTAATGGGCACATCGGTCGAGGGCGCCCTTGACGTACATCGACTAAATTGGTGATTTTCTGAAGAGAGGTCAAATTAAGAGTACCCAAAAGTCCGAAACCGCCAACAATGCACGAAGAGATATATGTATGTAGGCATGGGGTAAAATCAAGAAGTTAGGGAAGAACCGAAATGGCAATATAATAAAAAATACTATAAATTCCAATATAAAAAAATTACTTGATCTAAATGAATATTATGCTAATACAATGAAAACAATTTAAAATAATGTGACTTTAATATTACTCTAAAATAATGTGAAACGCGTACCACTCGGCTACATTGCGCAAAATATTGAATCCATAGAGAAACCAACTTACAACATAAGATAAATTTATTTACATACGATAGTGAAATTTTAGGGTACCACGGTCATCACGGTGGATTCAATAATATGGCCTATCAGGCGCTATGTCATCGAAAACTGTTTTCATCAAATGACCTTAATACTACATTATGATTGCTAATTTAAAAATTATAGCTCAGTTATGCAGTGCACTTACTCTGTATCACATATTTCTGTAAATACGTCATTAAATGTTATGTGTTTCCTACTAAGTTATTTATCGGTCAAGCTAATAAGATTTTAAGTAAAAGGTTTACCTACTCTACTCTTTTACTCTTTTATATTTATTTATTCTTTTTCATAATCAAAGTAATATACAAAATAGTATATTTTTAATTGATACTTCTAATGTATTTGAATGTGGACTTTCATTTTTATGTATTCGTTTATATTTTTCTCAACAAATACTACTCAACCGATTTCGTTATAGTATTTTCATTGCATAACTGTCATATCAAGAGCAGCAACTTGAATATTTTATAGACCTTACCAAATGACGTTGCATTCATTTTATTTCTTTCATCTCTTAGTCGTCGTTAAGTTTCATTCGTTAGGATGTTAAAAATAAAACCTTATTTATTGCTTGTGTACCAAAATCATAAGAAAAAAATATTTTTATTGCCAAATGGTTCTAATAGTTCTAAGGATGTTAACGAGAAATATACGAGATATTAGATTATCATAATTACGGGCAAGTGTAATAATAGGTATTACTACTGTATGAATACGAAACTCTACCTTCCTATTGATGTGTATGTGATGTAGATACATATAGACAGTCTCTTCAATATGAAGCCACACATAGACACGAGTATATATTCTATGGATACATATTTATAAAAAAGGGACAGCAATATATTTTTAATGTAACTCTTTACCCCCATATGAACAAAGGTGCCTTGTCCTTTGTTCCTCACCAATCAAGACGAATAAGATAGCTACAGTAGTATATTTTCTAATTTCCCATTAATTTAATACTATATATTTTATCCAAAACGTAGTTCGTAAAGTGTTTAGTCCACAGAAAACTTCCATCCACTTTTCAATTACTGTTGAAATTCATCGGACATAATCATAAATATTAAGTACATCAACAATACTATATGTACACGTAAGACACGCAACGACATCGTATAAATATAAAATAATGTAATGCGAATAATGGTTATAAAGATATTTCAGCTGTAGTAACCCGTCATGCATTCAACAGGTACACCGTTATATGAAGAGCAGCATCTATCAAAATGTGAAGACGCGATTACGAAGGTCGCTTAGTAAGGGTCGCTCGATGGCGCGCGGCCAACGAGGGTGGCGGTGCCGACGGCGAAGCGAGGTCGACGCTGGACCGCGCGGGGTACCCACAACTCGCAACTTCGTAGCTGGACTATACATAAGCAAATAAGTCCACTAGACATTACTTACGCGGGTAGCACGGTCCGGACCGGGTCGCAACACTTGTTGTGGTGTGTGTGAGGCCGCGTGGCCGGGCTGCGGCAGACTGTTGCTCCCGGGGCCGCTTCACTTGTTACGTGCCACCCGCCGCCCTGCGCGCCCTGGCGCTGCCGCCCTCGCACCGCACCCCGCGCCCGCCCTCGCAACCCCGCCCCGCATCTACTCACCAATATTATGGGTCCTTCACTTCGCAGCATCCTTCTTACTCACCTAGGTAGGTGAGATCGTCCAGCCGAAATCGGTTTTCTCAGGTGTCACCCCCAAGCAAGCACTCACTGCCTAGCAATTTGAAGGATAATGCTGTAATTTTATTCAAGATATTTATAATGATTCAAGGAAGAATTGCTGTAACTACAAAACACGCAGTAATGATAATCGCGGATGCGTAATTTATTTATAATAACACTGTTTTAATTTTTTTTTCACAGTAGTTTACAATAGTACACATAAAGGGGATATTTACCATTATAATATTATGTAAGTGTTCCAGATTTTATAAACGACAGTGTTACAAACGTATTGGTCACGGTTGGACTGTATGTGGCCGCGGATGCAAACAATTATTACCAGCAGACAAATCTGTCTACCCTTTTTCTTAGTTTTTTTATCCGTACACCATCACCACTACTACTGGAAAACATTTAACAGTCAAGACAAAATACACTCACTGTACCACTTCGATTTTTGTGAAGCATATTATTAAACTTATTATTAGGAGACATTTTCGACTATGTCAAGTAAAAATTGCCTGTATATTAACGTAATTGAAAACTCGCTCAGAGAGACAAGGTATAATTGGGTTCAAGTTTTGTAAGAACGGTATTTTTTATTTATTAATTTAATTTACTAATATTTCAAAAAGAATTTTTATTTCTTATCTCCTTTTAACTCTGTTTGCCATGCATTTTCGAAAATATCTTTGAACCAATTCTTTAGTTTCAATATTATTGGAAGTTTTGTATCACGTAATAGTTTTGATTTTTGTTCTGTCAATAAATTACGGAAATTACGGCTTTGAAACTTCCCTACATATTTCCCTATTTCCTTTTTTCAATTACTTATGTATACCTATTATATATACTATATAGTATGCTGCTATATATACCTACACATTAAAGACTATGGACATCGTGTTGACATGTGACACTACTCATACGTCGCCATTCCGGAGCACTTAGATGTAGGCTTACAAAAATATTTATATACCATACAGTTCCATGGTTGACGTTTCAAAAATATTTTCATACTTCGACCTATATTGATACCAAGTCACATAACCTAAAATTTCCGATGAGTCATGAATGATAAAATGTGTGCTTAATCAAAGGTTTGAGTTTACTTCAATAATTGTTTAGATAGAGTCACTGGGAATCTGGGCTGTCCCCTATCGTTTTATATATGTTTGCAGATAGTGTATACTAATTTCAAACTAAAAATGATCAATTAAAATTATTATAGATAAGTTTAACTATTTATGTAGTGTGTTTTGTAATTACATGACAAATTTTACGTTCAATTATATCGACAATCCAGAAGGTCGTAAGTAATCAATATAACCATTACGACACTGAAATGTTACCTACTATTAATTAATATATTATGCTTATCAGATGTAAGTACATTACACAAACACAATTAATATCATTGCAAAGCAAACTTGAACTAATAAATTAATGAAAACACACACGTGTCCAATAAAAAACACATGTAAACATTAATACTGACTTGTTTTTACTTGGCTTTTATTATTCGTTCCTTGACTAGTGACAATATTACGTTGATGATGCAGGTCAGTTCCATTTTGTTGTAATTTTATCTTAAACATAACCGACCAACACAACAACATAAGATTCTCCCATATATCACGTACACGGTTATTTTCATTAATTTATTTCCATTGACATTCTCTACTTTCAAAACATTCCATTTAAACAACATGTTTTACATTCTGTGCTGCAATACACAAAATAATTCTTTCCCGACCTTGAATTACAGTAATTAAAGTTATAAATTATTCTGTGTTGGACATTCCATGCAACTCCGTTCTGAATAATATTATGTTACTAGTAATTCAGTTTGGGGTACGTAGGAACAGGATACCAGGACATTTATCTCGTCTGCTCGGATGGTTTCATTACGACTTGTATTAGGCAGCCCTGCAACTGCACGATTATTGTGGCGATACCATATAACATACATTAGATTACACGACGTTCTTCGTACTTCAGAAATATAAGTCTACGTTTCATGATTAATCAGATATACTTAGGTACATAATCATCTTTTGTATAATATGTTGAACATATAAGCTTGAATCATTCATTATTTCTGCACTGATATACGTCTTTTACTTATGTAAGTGTTTACACCGTGCGAAAAATCAAACCCACGACCACCGGAAGTAAAACAGTGTGCTAAACCACGCGACCGTTAAATAATTTTAAATAGTTTATAATAAAATAACGGATAGTCTTAAATAGATATTTTATTTAGTGGTGTCGTTAGATAATCATAAATAGAAAGTCGAGTGCAAAGGTGCACGCAATGCACGGGCACCACTAGTTATAAAATATGATAATTATTTCGTGATTTTACTGTAGTGAGCAAAAAATTTCTTAATCAAACTTTAAAATTTAATATTTAAAAGAATATCCAATTTGGTGTTGGGTTTATGTAAGAGTACCTACGTAAGCACGCGCCGGGCGTCCGACACCGCAATTTATTCCCTGCACTACACCGTTACTCTGCGTAAGTGGGTAACTTTCGTAACGTAGTTATAACATAACTAATAGTAAAACTATATCTAATGAGTATTTTTTTTCTTTATTTTCATGTAAACTCTATTTTAAAATTAAGTTTACTTTTTATTATATTTGTTTCTAATATAGCTAGACGAATTTAGCTTTTATCAACTTCTACACTTCTGCGCGCTATTGCCACAATAGCACAAAGCAGAAGCCTATATAAAATATCTTAATCTAAAATACCTCTTATATAGAATGTAACACTTTTTTTACCTAAAACGGAGATAATTTATTAATAAGAATTAATCGGCCTTTAGCAGAATACCCTATTAGATCAACCCCAAAGCGGTCTTCCTCATGACGAATTCATCAGAAATCATACATCGTAGTTCATTCCACTAAATTTGGCATAATATTATTAGTTAATTTTGTCTATTATCTTTTTATTTTCCAAAGATCACCATTCTATATTATCTTGCACAAATAATAACTATAATATTAGTATCAAGTTCTGTTCTAAACAATAAAGGTGGTATCAAAACAATATATTGCTGCCACGGAAATTCATCGAAAACAGATTTACAGTTAATCCTTATAATTAGGCATCAAGCACGCTTACCCTCGACCTGTCTATAATAAATAGATAATCTGTCTATTATAGATAGTACCGTGCTGTACGTGGAAAGAAAGTGTTTCATATATTACACACATTTTATTATAACACCATTGCCTGTATTATTAGATACTTACAACTATTATACTATACTATGTAATAACTACATTTGTAACTCAAGGGATGTTACTTAGTATTGTGAGACAAAATATTTCCAAACTAATGATACCACCGCATTTGCACGCGTGTACAGCATCTAATGACAGCTAGTAGTAAATGGCGTATATAACATTAGTATAGAATAGAATAGAATAGAAAATAATTTATTCAAATAAACTTAATTTAAGCACTTTTGAATAGTCAAAAATTTTTTTTTATCTACCGCTTATTCGGAAAGCTGTCTCATCACAAGAAGAATAAGCAAGAAACTTGTTTGTTGCTCTTTTAAACAATCCTTGTAAGTTCACATTTTACAAGTAGAAACGTATGAATACCAGCACTACTTCAAATATTCAAATATAAAAACACAATAAGATTAAATCACTCGTAGTGATAAGAGCAGACCAGTCCCTACAAGCAGCACTCGTTCACGAGTATGACAGATGAGCCAGCCATCACTGCGCTCGACCATATTATAGAGAGCCCAATGACCCGGCCCACCAAGCCGCCACATGTCTGGACATTTTAGTGAGCATGACTACTCATTCCACTCGACCTCGTCATAGCTACTTATTTAAATTTCTTATATGGTAGTTACAGTATTCGCATTTTACATAAGGATGCATGCGACAATCACTACAAAAGCCGCTACGCTATCATATTTCAAGAAAGGAGTATGAAAAAGAAATTATAACGTTGTCCGCTAAAAAAATATTCTTACTAGATATTGCTGTCATCTATGAATCCATCTATCCTATAATAGGCTTTTTTACATAATATTTGTTTAATATAAATTTTGATTTGCCTCTTTGTCAGACTTTGCGTAGATTCTGGCAGTTTATTGTAAAATCTTACGCAGTTACCATAGAATGAATTACTAACTTTGTGTAGACGGCATTTAGGTAAAATTAGCTTATTTTTATTGCATAAGTTTCTACTTGTACAGTCTTTAAATTTTTTGAAACTATCTAAGTTTTTCCTTGTATACATAATATTTTCATAAATATACTGTGAGGCAACAGTGAGGATATTTGATTCTTTAAAGCAGTGACGTAATGACTCTCTCGAACCCATATCATAAATAGAAGGTATGGCTCTCTTTTGTAAAATAAATATAGTATTTACATCGGCAGCTTTACCCCACAACAGTATGCCATATGACATAATGCTATGGAAATAACTAAAATATACAAGTTTTGCCGTCGCCACGTCTGTTAATTGTCTTATTCTTCTAATTGCATAAGGAGCAAAACTGAGTCTACTGGGTAATTTTGAAATATGAGGCCCCCATTGTAACTTCGAGTCCACTGTTATTCCTAAAAAAACTGTATCATTAACGAAATTTATTATTTCATCATTAAGCAATAGCTGCGTATTTATTTGTCTTGTATTAGGAAGCTTGAATTTAATACACTTAGTTTTGTTGGAATTTAATAATAGATTATTACATGTGAACCAGTTTAATATAGCAGAGATAGCAAAATTTACATCGTCTAATTGATTACTTTTTCGACCAATTTTAAACACTAATGAAGTATCCTCCGCAAATAACACTATATCTGCAACTTTCTCTATCATGTAGGGAAGGTCAAGAGATAATATACTTGTTATTTAAGTCATGAAGCGATGATTCCAAACTCTTTATTTTTGAAGTTAGGTAACTTGTATCAATGTTATATAACTTTTGGCATTCCACTAACTTATTATTACACTTATTAATATAACCATGCAATTTTAAATTGTTTAAACTAATTTTTTTCAGTAACTGACCATTTTTAGAACGTTTATATGCGTACTCTTACTACTACATACCTATTATTTCGATTTCATGAAATATCTCTATATAGATACACCAAACAAACACAATCCTTTGTACTCAAACGGTCTCATGTATAGAGCATAAAACAATTTGCAGAAAACGATAGCATAAGGCAACGCGCACGGGTCGCCTGACCGCCCTCTTGGGTCTCGTAGAGTCCACCCCTATAGCGGAATACTTCCATCTGAGCGCATCTCACGAAAATTGCTACGATCACTGAATTTAGCTTATAATGAGATATTTTAATAGAAACTGATATTTTGATGAGAACTTCAATAATAAACGTAGCAGTTTATGCTGCTACATTTATTATTGAAGTTCTCATTTTGCTGATAAAATATTTTTTGTAGAATGGTGAAGAATGAGGACTGATAATATTTCGATGTGTACAAAGTTCCAGCCCGCCTTCCAAAAAGGCTACTTATCAGTTGTAATATTTGTTTATAGTTATATAAAAGATATATATGTATACATACTTTAGTCATCTTTTCGTGATAAGTTCGTTTTTATATATTCGTACTTATTTAATTACAAACTCTTACATTTAACGTTGAATTGAACCTATGTTGTTTAAGATATTGATATATGCTGTAGATAAGAATATAATAATACTATAGTATCGGAATACAACATATTTCTGTTAATAATATCTATATATATCAATACGTGAGCAAAAACATTGTACTTACTTCTTTTTACGAAAATTGCACGGCCGGAGGAGTATAAAATTTTGCACACTTATAGACAGAGAAGGAGTGCAGAATACTGTTTTTTTAATTGTGCATATGCAATGTGTTATTGCGCGTCGATCTTTTGTAGTCTTTGACAATAGAACCTTAATAGTGTACTTTTATACTTTTACTTAATTTAATTCATTATGGGCGAATTTAGTCGACCACTAGTAGCTTATAAAAACATCCTCTGATATACTATATTATGGCAAATGGAAGGTCAAGTAACCCTTCAAAACATTCATAATTATGCCAGAGGGCCGACCCTGAGCCATAATACATTCATAACTTACGAGGCCAAATTCTTGTATGGAGACGCTTTTCTTGTCTTCTGCCCTGACAGGGTTACAAACATAACTTAAAATTTTTATTTGTGTAAGACAAATTACAGCTTTGACGGAGCTGCTAAGAAGTAATAATTTTATAGATTGAAATGGAATTAACAAAGTTTGCAATATTATTAACAATATCACCGATCAGTAGGCACTATCGAACTGCATGGGAACGTGTAATTGCTTTAATAGTGTATATCTAAATCAATTAAAATTATTTTTACTGGCGTAGGTAATAGTCATGGGCATCCTAATTTTGTAATCATAGAAGTCTGTTTCATTATGTAGTTTAATAAAAAATATAGGTAGGTACCTACATAATATAGTATAGGCACAGTACATTGAATAATGAAGATTAGTACCTATGTACCTATAGGTAAATAATTTTGCATAAATTATTTTTACCAAACTTGCATAATCAAGACTAAAAAAGTGTACCAAAATATTTTGATTATATTAATTCGCACTATTAGTACGATTTAATACGAAATCTACTAAAATCAAATAGCTAATAAATCCACAAGTAAATTCACATGTGAATCATTACCACGTGAGCATAGCCTCTGATATGATTGGCTCTTTTGATGTTGCATTTACCTATCTAATATGTCACGCCACATATTCGGTAATATATTAATTTGACATTTAGGGTCATTACAGGCCGACGGAGTGGCGACAAAGAGAATAATTCATTATCAAATAGGTACAAATCAAAATACATGCCCATCACACCGAGTGGCTTCGTTCTCGAATCACTGACCATGCGGGGAGAACTGCTCACGAGTTTGCCCTAGCCCATGGATTCTCACAACTGGTTTCTTCAACGAGAATACCAGATATCGAGACCCATACGAGCTCCTTACTGGACCTTCTGCTAACTACAGGTCCGGACGAATATTCAGTCACCGTGGAAGCGCCTCTTGGTTCTTCGGATCACTGTCTTATTCGATCCCAAGTACAGTGCACACATCCTGCCACACACCGAACACCTGGTCGACATCGCATGTGGCATTATAAGTCAGCAGATTGGGACAGATTGCGAGAATTTTACGCGTCGTACCCATGGAGGCAGCACTGCTTTGCATCAGAAGACGTCGATACCTGTACAGCCGCCGTTACTGAAGTCATACTTGCAGGTATGGAATGTTTCATTCCAAATCTGCTTGTTGCTTCAGGGGCGAAAAAGCGACCGTGGTTTAATAGGTCATGCAGAGAAGCCAGACGGGCTAAAGAAACTGCTTATCAGGCTTGGACCACGGCTCGTTCCAACAGGGATGTTGGTGTATCTGATGCGAGGCGGAATTTAAATGCTGCATCCAGGTTTAGTAAGAGAGTAACTGCTATAGCCAAATTCGACTTCGTCAGCAAAATTGGGGAGCGACTAGCCCGTCATCCTTCTGGAAGTCGAGCCTTTTGGTCCCTTGGCTTGGCTAAGGCTGCCGAAGGTAACATTAGTCAGTCGTCCTTACCACCACTACGGAAGCCGGATGATAACTTGGCACATAGTGCAAAAGAGAAGGCCGATTTGTCGTGCGCTCTTTTTGCCTCAAATTCGACTTTAAACGCTGGGGACACCATACCTACTACCATCCCATGGTGTGGTAACTCTATGCCGGAAATATCCGTAACACAACGGAGTATCCAGCGAAAGTTGTTGTCTCTCGACGTCAACAAGTCGAACGGGCCAGACGGCATACCGGCTTTGGTGCTAAAGAAGTGTGCTCCTGAGTTGTGTCCCGTACTCACGCGCCTCTTCGCGCTTTCATACTCCTCTGGGCAATTCCCGTCGTCATGGAAGATCACCCTTGTGCACCCTGTGCCAAAAAAGGGTGACAGGCCAAACCCATCGAACCACAGGCCTATCGCTATCGCGTCTTTGATCTCCAAGGTGATGGAGCGTGTAATTAATACACAGCTCCTCAGATACCTAGAAGATCACGATTTATTTAGCGATCGTCAATATGGCTTTCGCCATAATCGCTCAACTGGTGACCTTTTAATGTATCTCACACACCGCTGGGCTCTTGCCATCGAGAGCAAAGGGGTTTGGCATCAAGGTCTTCTATCGAAATTGCCCTCATACGGAATACCAGAGGGATTATGCAAATGGGTCGCTAGTTTTTTGTCTGGCAGATGCATCAAAGCCGTGGTCGACGGTAGTTGCTCCGATAGCATGGACATTAACGCTGGCGTCCCGCAGGGCTCTGTTCTCTCCCCGACGCTATTTTTGCTGCATATTAATGATTTGTTAACTACGGTTAACATTCATTGCTATGCGGATGACAGTACTAAAGGTCAAGCTTGCGTCAAGGTGAATAGAGCGAGGAGGTACTTCACTGCGAACCAGAGACTTCTCTTGTATAAGTCGCAAGTTCGGCCGCACATGGTGCTCTCATCTTTGGCCAGGGGCACCTGGATACCAGCTCGGTCCTTTTGACTCGGTTCAGAATTGAATTTTCGAAGATCGAAGAATTGTCGATGATCCCAATCTCTCAAACGGTATCGAACCACTTAGCTTGAGGTGAGACTTCGCATCGCTTTGTGTATTCTACCGAACATACAACGGACTGTAATCTGATGAATTGTTTGACATGATGCTTACGGCTACCTTTTACCATCGCACCGCTCGCCATCGACAGGGAATTGGAACCTAAGTGGTCTCGGACAGTGCGGTTTCAGAGCAACTTCCTCCCGCGTATACTTAGATTGTGGAATGAACTACCCGCCGAGGTTTTCTCGAGAGACTACAGCATGGGGTTTTTCAAGAAGTGTATATTAAGGTTTCTTAAGGGTCGGCAACGCGTATGTGCCACCCCTGGTGTTTCAGGCGTCCATAGGCTACGGTAACCGTTTACCATCAGATGGGCCGTATGCTTGTTTGCCACCTAAGTTGTATAAAAAATAATAATAATCATACTGAGGTGGACTTTTTCCTTTTGAATGGTAATGGTAAATAAATGGTGCGCTAATGGTTTTCGCTTTTTGCGGGGCACCAGTAGAGAATTATAATACCAGCATGAGCTCAGATGAGTTAGCCCATCGTGGCTTATAGGTATACTATGGTTTATAGGGGGAACCACGTGGAGGTCTACCTGACATGGTACATTGCTAGCAATGGAGTTATTAGTCCATGTTACTAACAATCCCATTGAGATAGATTTTGTACAAAGTAGTCTGTGTAGATACCTTTATTTAACCTATTTCACCATATAGGGTGAGATAACGCAGTAAAATTGTCCCTGTTGCTGTTTATGTATATGGTGCTATGGTTACCACTTACCATCTCCAATTGACCTTTGCATAAAAATACATGTCCACACTCACACAATCTTTTAACATAAATTGATCAAACCGTAATTGGTACATAATATGCACTCATTCAGTCACGGTCCACAGCAAGGCCAGATTACTCATAAATACCCCCAGGCAATCCAAATCTCAGTTTCTACCTGTTCAAAAATTTATTAAAATAAGGTATCTGGTGGGTTATTTTATATCTATATTATAATCAGCCGTTTGAAGATTATTAGCTCTTTTTAAACTAATGAAGAAATGTTTTGTTCATCCTAAAATGTGGTATGTAACCCTTCCATATTATATTATTCTGATATGTGAATTTGAATTATTTTATCAACATCAATGGATTCAAGGATTAAATTTTCCAATTAATTATTACTGTATGTATAACAATTACAATTTCTAATGTACACAGTGCCTCTAGGCTGTTGCTTACTCAGCTTAAGTTATTCCGGCCCTGGTCCTCAGTTTTTTTTATTAGACGTCTCAGAGGGATTATGATTTACATGTTATATATACTGTACTAACTCTCGTTATTACTCTTTCGTTGCATATCCAGTCGAGTTTAAATTTGGCTTTCTTAACCTTTACGAGGCTAAACGATACGAGATGCACTTTGACTTACGTATCTGACACATAATTATCAGTACAGAGATTGGTACCTACCTACAACATAAATAGGAATTTATCTAAATTCTCGAGTTTTCCTTATATCGAGAATTCATAGCACATATAAATAATTATCATCGAGCTCGACATGAACGTATTGATCATTTTTATTAATGCATCGTTAGAATTCAGTTTATAAAACCAGTTTAATAAAGATATGTATAATGCAAATTTCTGGTGTATTATGGTAATTGAGTGCTGTAAAATGACTGTATAGAATACTAAATATTACATAAGAATACAATCACGAAGTAATAAGCGAATTTCTAATCCGCCATAAATATTCTGCTAATTACTGTGAATTAATCGAGGTTAACTGATTTAATACAATTAGTCTTTTAAATACATAAACGTCGGCCTAAATATGTTTAAAATAATTTAATGATATATTTCTAAATGTAGGTAATATAATATGGTATAAATTAGGTATATCTAGTAAAATAAAACCATAAAATCCGCCGTCGCATTTCTTATATTGCATGAAAATATAACACTGTTAATACAATTCAATATAAATGTCAATAATAACATAAAACAATACGAAATTGGAAATAAATGTATAACAAATGCTAAGAGCATAACATTACAGGAAAATAATTTTTCAAACGTACATTTTCATAACAACAAATGCGACCTATCCTCTAATTAATGAAAAATGATTAATGTAATGGCGCCACCTATGATATACGTGATGGTTATTAATACACATTTTGGGGCTCTTGACAAAATAATGTAAGTGCTATGTGCTGCTCAATGGGTGATCGGATCTGCTCATCCAAAATATACTAGCGACTTAATTTAAGATTACATAATAAATCTTTATAATAACACACGATACGAAATACAAAACTCCTGAAACTTCTTTTTGAACTGTTCACGATAATAGCTCTTCTGGTACATATAGTACTGACAAATTATTCCTGGAGGCGGCGGAGAAGATGATTTTACTTGATAAGACCTTTAGCTTTAAAGAGATCGCGCATTAGTCCTTTGAGGTAGCGTATCTCACGTTGCAAGTCAGAGCACTTTTCGCCTAAGTTAGTGTGGCGTTGGCGCAAACTGTGCTCTTCACTAAGCAGTACTTCGATTTCTGCCTTCTTTTTCTGCCTATAGCGAGTTGCTGCGTTTTTGTTTTGTTCCTTCTTACGAGATCGACGGTCGTCAGAAGGACGCGAGTACGGTTTAGGCCGAGAAGGCGCAGACCATTCTTCATCAGTTGAAGAAGAGCGTGGAGAAGACGGGGGAGATGAACGGGGCGAGTTTGAAGTACTGTCGTCGAACGGCAACGGAGAGGGAAGCTGAGCGGCGCGGTGACGAACCAGTTCTTCTACAGCCTGCAGATCTGAATCATAGTCAGCAGGCAAAGGTGGAACGGCAGCTGCAGGGCTTATTTGCCATGGTTCATTCGGCTGAGTGATGTGTAAAATAGGTGCTAGCGGTGTACATTGAGCTTGTTGGGCGTAGCTCAATAGAAGTTGGCTAGCGGGGCCGGGTGGGCTTTGAGGTGGTGTCAAATGGGTTAACTCGACTACTCCGTAGACGGTCTCGAATTCTCGAAGTAATTCTTCAGTAGGTTGCTGCGTAGGATAACCCGCAGAAACAGGAACCGCTACTGGCGCCTGCTGTTGCGGAGGCGGCACCTCCACGCGTTCTGTATATTGAGGAATGTTCTCAAATATTGGTAGTTCTACTTTCTCCTCCAGCCAGTTGGGGAAGATGTTTTCTGTAGAAAAAGATAAGGAATTGTTTAAATAAACTATTGGAAAAAGCCTATTTAATATAATTAGTAAGAGCAACCATATATATGAAACAAGAATAACAAGTCTACAGATTATTTACCTATTCATAAATCCAATTGGTAAGATATTTCCTTCGTATAAATATTATAATCAATCTGTGTAAATTATGTCATTGCATATTCAATTGATGGAGTATCTACTAATTACAACTGATTGACGCAAAAGTTGCTAACTAGATTCCATGAACTAAATAAACAACATCTCATGCTGCACGCGCCAGCAACCTGACACCTTACAATCTATTGTTCTTGATACTATGATAATAATCTTTAACTGAAGCCAAAGTTGAATTATAAACAAAAAAATATCTTTAAGGTACATTCGTCTTTTCATTCATTATGTCTTCTCATTCCCTTCTTACTTGATATAATTAACAAGTTATTGATATATAATAACACCTGTTTTAATATATTTTTCTTATTTACATTAGAAAATAAATAAGTGAAATATCTAATAACATTATGAATGTTAGTATCCTAAAAACTGTACTATTTATTATTACTGATTTTCTTTGTACAATGTGCGTGCCTAGTACTACTGTGAATATATCTTCATATTTTAGAACTCGAAAATATTATAACAATTGGAACTAAGATCTCGTTTGATTTGTATGGATTGCAAGTATCAAATTAATATAGCTGACCGACCATTCCGACATTCAACAATCAATTGAAACTAATTGACAAGATTGGTGTCTCGGATGGTAGCAGAGAAATTCTTATATATTAGGTATGTAGTCAATTTCTTTTGATGGTACAAAAGCATTGATTTATATGAACTTTGTAGTAGACGCAGTAATCAGTTGACAACTAATGAGCAGCAGCGATAGCTGCATCGCCCTGACCTCTGATCCGATAAACTTGCGATCTTTAGGGTTCGGTGGCATCACCGCCCTCAATAACAAACCACTTAGATAATTTAAAAATCAAACATCGTCATAAGTATTTTTCGACAGTTGTATCTCTCGCTTTGATGTCAATGACTCTATGTATACGTTTTATTTATGTATGTTGTAACGTTTCGACATAAGAGAGAGCAGGATATGATTTGCTCATAATTATATATGTAGATACGATTAATGTAAATTAAACAGTTTACTGACCAACATAACAAGATTAAAATAAAACAAAAACATTGAGCTTGTCACGTATAGACCTCGTGGCGTGATAACTATTCGTCCTCTGTGGAAAGGTACTGGAATTGTATTTGTATCAATTTATACATATAGAAAAGTGACCAATAAGTCGCTTTAATTATTGGTCGAGGAACTAGCGAGGTCGGCCTGTGCGCGAACTGGTTTGTCATTAGGCGATGGTACAATTATTAAGCGGTCGCGTATCTAACACGTGTAGGCGTCTAAAACGTCGTAGTAGACCGTCTACTTAACTAAAAAACGTACATATGACTATGTCAGTTCAATACTTGTTACCTGGAGGTAACAAGTATTATCGTATATATATATAATACTATATATATATAGTATCGTAAGTTGTCCACGTGCACTAAATATGCGTAATAAAAGCATACCATATCTAACTATTCAGGATGTTTTACTAATATAAGAACCCCGTTTAATGAAATGAATTCCACTACATAATGAACATAGTCATTAAATCTTATACATTTACCTATATACAATAGATATAAAACTAATTAAAGATATCACGTTTATGACGTTAGACATAGACTAACATATTATGTAAAATATTAAAGTAATATTTAATATCGATTCACTTGCAACCAGCCATTCAAGTTTTGGAACGTGGCAGCCGTCACAACAAATTATCAAGTTTGTTGCGCAGTAATATAGTTGCTCCACTTTCAATCTACACAATTCGTTTGTACTACATTTCAATCAAAACAAATGTGTCTACAATAATATAACAACAAATACAAGCAGTTACTTCTCAATCATAAAAACTAAGTCATAATTACTTATACAACTAGAAGGAATTAGAGCATTCAGACCTTGAGCAGGCCTTTATGCTAGAGTGACTTTCAATTAATAAAAAAACATTCGTTGCAGTTGTTTACCACATACCAATATAAAGATTTGCCATTGCCATCGCGATGTCAGATAATGCTATGAAATCAGCTCCTCAAATCCAAGCTCATAAAACAATGTTCTTTTATGCTGTCCTTATTGCTACTATATTTATAACGATAAACTAGAATACGATTATTATAAGGGCAGTGCAGTTCTGGAAACTAAAATCCTCGTGGTGCGAGCTGTGGTCGTCGTCAATAATCCTGGGATAAATATAGTATCTAACGTCTCTTGACCAGCTTCTGTGAGTTGAAAATTATCTCTTTGTTCCAAATACAACTATAGTGGCACTTCATTCTAACGGCGTCCAAGCGGCGCATGGATCGCGGCAGACATATGTTGCGGGCAGAGGGCAAACGCCCAAAATGCGCTTCTCGAATCGAATTTATTGTCACGAATAAAGAATCACGAGCGATCACCTGCAAACGCGGCGCGACGCAAAATGCTACTGGCCACGCGGCTAAATGCGCACGCGCAGCGGACCAACTTAACCGCGTCGCTAGCCCCCTAGCCCCTCCTCCATATCACTGGTTACCTATCATATAAACCAATATGCTCATTTTTATTTTAAAGTGTTCCAGTGAATGCTAGCGTGGTCTTATATTAATTTAGGGGTGTATCCCAGTATCGAATGTACGAATAATAAAATATACGAGTATCTTATTTGAAGCTTACTCAGCCTACAGATCAAATTTCATTTTTATATTGATGATATAAAAATGTACTTGGCTTCGCTCAAATAACAGTATAATTATGCAAATAGACAATAATCCTAGATCAAATGCGAAAAAAAAAAATATGTTACTATTGGTATATAAACAGGCTGTCTATGTACTAACAGTGACGAAATTTTACATATGTATTTAAGATGGAAAACAAAGGCGACTTTATCCGAGTCAATTGATATAGCCCGATAATGTGGAAGTCGTGGTCAAAAGAATCAAAGAGTTTATAGTGTTTAGGGCGTCAATAAACATTTATATTCATTTATATAAGGGCAAAGTTTCATTATTTTTATTTTCTCGTAACTAATAAAAAATTAACTATAAAAATATAAATATTCTTTATTTTTAGAGTTAATTTTTATATACAATAAAATACAATAGCATATGCAATGACTGCGATGCTAGTATTTTTTTTACAAATATTATGTAACACGATTTTTATTTTTACATAATTCGTTAATAATTATAAGCTGCGTTCAATCTGTGATTGTAAATATTTGGTCCAACCAGTTGTATAATTTACTTCCGCTCTTTCGACCTCGAAATAATTCTACTTTCACATCAATGTACCAAATATCATTATGTACCTATACAACTTATACATTGACATTGTTACAGTTTACTTTAAAATATAAGTATATGTAAGCTTTCAGAATCTGTTATATATTCCAAAGCTTAAAAATAAGTTTTAAATACATTGAGTTTATATTTAGGAATCTGTATCGTTATTTTTTTTTATTATACAAAAATATACAATGAGTTTGTACATGAGTACACGAAACTAATTGTGTGCCTCCTGTTCAGAAAATTATATGAGACTTAGTACCTATTAATCTAAATACTCAACAAATTATTACAATTTATATGCCTATATTGAACTTACAACAGAAAAAGTCAAGTGTTGAAGTAAATTTATAGTTTAAATACTGAATTATTATGAATTGGCAGAATTAAGTAATAAATAATGTCACCACTTTTATGCTCTCCAGATCTACAATATTGTAAGTAGTAGTTAGTAAACTTCATTATAATTTATATATTCAGAATTGTAATTTATTTAGTTAGTACATGTGGCCGTTTGCTGTGGACAGTACCTACCGAATTAGCATTTAAAAACAGTAATATCATTTATAATTACAGGAACTAGTAAAATTTGTTTAATTGTGGTTACTTGAGGTTAACTGATTTCCACCTTGTATAAAGATTTTATTTCCGATTTTTTATCCCTCCATTTTATTCAGGTATATGTGACTAAGCCATTATATGTCAGAAGTTGTATATGTTTATATATTATTATACTAGGGTATTTTTGTATACATAATTGAGTTGTGTACATAGTAAATTATATATAGTTTTATTAATTAATATTATTAAATAGAAACTAACTCTATCCTTACGTGTTCGTAAATTTCTTTCAAAATGCAAACTATGTAGGTTAATAAGTTGCGTTTTACTTTCAATGTGTGAATTTCTATTAATATGATAATACATTAATTAATAAATATGGACATCATACAAACAGCGCCATCTAGTTCCCAACTAAGCAGTTTATACTATAAATATCAAAAGAAATTAGAAAGAACTTAAAGAATTTTTAACATATAAATTTCATTGTAATATAGATATATTACAATGAACAAAACAAAAAAAACAAAGTAGAGATCTCTCTACTCTGATTTCAAAGTAGAGAGATCTCTACTTTGAAATCAGAGGCAGAAGTAATGAAGCAGCTTAGCATAATTAACCAGTGAGATACAGCAAAGGACTTCAGAAAGAAATGAAAAGAAAACATATAAACCGCTCAATGTCTCCAATGCAGCTTGCATTGTTTCATATTTTTGCAAGAAAGAAAATGAAAGTATAAATAAATGTATTCTAAATGCCAATTCTACGAAAAATCTAACTAGCTAAAATTCACCAAATTTGTAAATTTATATACTATTTTGAGTAGTAAGTTATAGTAATTTATTGTAGTAATATAGTATATCTATTATAGTAATACTACCTTTTGATTGGTAGTTCTAGATATTTATAACTTTTGCCGAAGTAGACTTTGTACAAAGTCATCAGTCAGTCACCCAGTAAATCTATTATGTAGTATTGGATTGTTAGCTGTTGGTTTTGTTATAAATAAATAAATCTCTGTCACCTATATCTGTCATCAAGCATCTTGCTCTATTAAGATGTGTTTCGGTGAAGACCTTAATAAACCAGTGAAATTACAGGATACGGAGACATGTTACCTTCGTCCTCCAGAATGACAATGCATGGTTATAGGCGTCTCATAATGACTGATGTCCGTGGTGCTGTTTACAGAAACAGCACCACGAACATTACGTCGCCGAACATTACGTATTATGAGGCCTAGGTATGTACCTAGGCAACGGTGAGCACATAGCTACAGATAGGCCGACAGCTTCTTTATCAATGCAATTATATAAACAATATTTTAAAAGTACAAACCTTGTTTAAATTGGTTGTCGAGCTGTTGCAGAAGATCATTGGCAAGTTCAGCGCGACTTGGCTTGGACTCCGGCGGTGACGGAGGGTAAAGGCTGACAGTTGGATCATCGTGCAGCTGGAAATTGCCAAGTTCGATCTTCGGCGCAACTGTTGGGAGAGATTTGAGCAGATCTGTAAATAAGGCAACACATGTTTACTCAAATAATAAAAAACGAAAAAAAGAGGAAAATTAACAAGCGAGAATTATTCCATTATTATAAGGCTTACTTATAATGAAATAAAACTACGAATTAATAGAAATGGATATTTGTCTAAGATGTCCTTAATCGATGGCACTGGTGTATGTAACATTAAACGAATTTCGATAAATTTATTGGAATCGTTATCAAGTCTTATACAAATATTTTTGGGTGGAAGTCTATATTCTATATAAGCGTGAAATGCAATTTTATAAAATAATATCACAAATTTTATATTTATTAAAGAGACAAAGATGTTTCTCTAGAATAGACATAGTTAGTCTAATTCTCTTAATTATACAAGCTCTTTAGAATTCAATCTAATAAAGTAAATCGAAGGGCTTTAGAAATACATCTAAAAATCATCATATAAATTCAACTGTCCTGTTCTCAACATCTTGTTTAAAAATTAACTTATACCAATATAAAAAATTGTATTTAAATAGTTATGTTAAATTACTCATATAATTATAATTTTATATACATATAAATTAATTCGCTAGAAAATAAATATATTTATATTATAAATTTGTAACATCAATTCTTACTTTGTAACAAAGATATCTGGAATTCTCTACACATTTCACACATTCCATTACTTTTATAGCAACACATTTTGACACTAGTACTGTTTATCTATACGTGTAGTGTTATCCGAATCGACACTAATTTAATTATTACAATAATTAGCGCAGTTAACTGGAATATATCGGAGAAGCTTCAAGGTAAAGAGCTTAGATAAGTAATGGACAAAATACAACGAGGAGACTGAAGTCGTTATTATATATATGAAAGATAACTGTGGCATGATATTACGTCAAAGCAACGCCCAGATGTCGTGATGCTTTAAATCTGACACGATAATATCACTGTAGTTACTCCTCTTATAAAAACATGTCTAATATGAGTGATGCCAAACCCTCTCTAACTTTTAATACCCGCTTTGGTTTTTAGCTTAGTGAGCGCTAATATGTGTCAAGGTGAGCTAATCGAAATATTGTAAATTTGTAATTTCATCGAAATTTAAAACGTTTGGAAGTTATGGATACAATTTCATTTCATTATGTACTCACGCGATATGTATATAAATTAATTCTGGCCGGATATTATTGTAAATCAGAAGAAATTAAATACAACTTTAATGCAATTGTAATGTGTTTTCTATGGAACAAATATTTAAATTATTCATTTATTTGTCCGATACATAGTACCTAGTAAATAACTTATGGACAATAACTTCTCGATTCATTCACTAGGTACCCCTGCAATATGAGGGCGGTCCAGACACTTGATGTTGCTTTATCAAACTTGTATGGTCAGCTTTCACATAGTTGTATTTTTATGGAAGCATGAATTCGAATGTATTTCTTTTGCTATCGTATTTATGGCTTTAATAAATACTAAACTAAAACATTATTTGTTATTTATCTCGATCTACAAATATTAAGTTAGGCTAAAATGGCCCTGATACTAAAAGGTAAAATATATAGATCATAATTATGTAAAAAAAATATTAAAAAAGGATATAAGTTAGTTACCTGTTAATAATTGTCAGTTTAAATTTAGGAAGTGAAATTCATACGGAGTAGTATTTACATATTTATATAATTTAAATAGTAAGCAAGCTGACGTCGAAGCTGATGCTAAGTCATAACTGTCGCCTTTATAGATAAATATATCCAGGGACATTAAGTTATTATGTGACGCCCTTAACACTACTCATGCGTGGCCATCCCGAAGGCCTAAAATATCGTTCCTGTTATATCCCTGTAATTTTATTACCTAATCTCACTCGACAACCGAACCACAGCTTACAAAAACAAGCTATAATTTACTTTTCTTATAGTTATTATAGTAACTATACCAGATTAAGAATAATGAATTGTATACATTTTTGTCTCAAAATAAGATAAAAACTTCAAAAAACGTGGTGTAGAGAGTAAAATATCATTATATAGTTACAAATATTTTTCTTTGCAGGTATATATATTCTGGTACTGGCCAATAATGGCGTTTTCTGGTATTTTTCTGCCCTCTGCCTACGTGAGATTATGATAATAAGACAATTTACTAATTGAAGTCATATTTACACTTTGTTAAAAATAATCATAGCGATAATAACAAAAATCTTAATATGATGTAATTTTAGAGATTCTTACAAGAAGTTTTATTAATAAATGATGAAACATCATCAGTATTCTTGAACATTAATCTTTCTCTATTTTCTAATTAAATAAAAAAGCTGAGATTCTCATTTCGAATGAGGAGTACAACAGAAACACAAATTTTTTTTAGAGTATTCATTTACATCATGTAGTGGTCAAATTTATTTCAACGATATTGTAATGACATATTATAGACCACAGAATCCAGCGTTGGAACATTTGCTTCACCTCATGGCGTATGCATGCTCATTGAGAAGAGTCCCTTGGAAAGAACCATGAAATTAATCCGAATAATGAATTGACAGTGACAAAAATATTGCCGCTTTTTTACCGTGTTTTTTGTTTGAGATTGTGTTTAGAAAGTAGTCAATATTTATATATGGATTACTGCAAAACAATATTGTGTTTTCTTTTTATACATTGTATACAATATACAGTTATTAGTAGTTGTCGTATTGCAATAATTAAGAAAAGAGATAAATAGATTTTTTAATTGTTTAGTTTATACTTCTTCTTGTCGACTATAAGTATTCATGGGAAAAATGATATAATTTCATAACTACTAATAGTGTGTTTGTAGTAGTACTTAATATGTGTTCTGTGGTGCCCATTACGCACAGCCATTATAAAAAGTCCTATAAAAGTGTGATAGTGAATAATTCAATTAAAAGTGACTTTTCTCTACTACAGAATAATTAGAACTTGACTAATATCAATTAGTTTAATATAACTGCCTAACCATCGATGGTTTTTACATTTTATTACACATTTGGTTTAGTACACAATTCTTATAGCCACGTTCTAGTTTCATTAGATCGGATTAACGTCATCTTAACATGTAGTTTTCATTCGACGACGTAATAATAAAATATATTATATATACATATATAGGCAATATGATACTCACTAAATTTAATGCTATTAATAAAATGTTAGATAAATATTATCTATCTATACTTATATGGTGAATAGTACCGAAGTTGAACTATGATTAAAACATTTAACGTGGTAGACTTTGTACAAAGTGTATTGGCAACTGTTTCATCTAGTGCAGCCGCCAAGTAGTACTGAATTACATGGTACAGAAGCACGATGACTTACAAGGAAGTCACGCATGAGGTATAACACATGATATGGTGATGTGTGTGGTGTTGTTTATATAAATAAGACAGTTATTAACACACTTTACATAAAAAAACTAACTATAAACTAAATAGAAATAATTCTTATCTAATATAATAATCTCAAACTAAATGTTTTTATTTTTCAACCCTAACAAAGTAGTTATAGTTTATTAAAATCCCGATATAAGTAATAAATCGATCACTCTATGGTAAACAACGATGTTATAAAATTTAATGTCAAAACATATTTTCATTGGATACAAGATAAATAATGGAAAATAGCCAAGCTGGTGATATGCAATTGAAAACATGGTCAGAGGACTGCTAACTAAAAACAAATATGTTTTCAGAAACCGCCACACGTCATATAATTATTATCTCTCATGTATAGTCAGTCACACGCTGGATGTGTGATTATCAAGACACACCCTCGTTTTCGGCATAGCGACTAAAAGATCTGTAGAATAGAATTGTAACTAAACTATACATTTTTATACAATATTTTAGAGATTGCAACTCTTTTCACAATTCAGCCAAATTATAACATTTATATACGGAGTGAGGGCGAAATACGCAAGTAGGAAAGAGTTGAAACTAAATAGGAATTTCTAGTTAAGTCAACTTTGATTTATAGGCGTCCTCGTCCTTGGGAAGAACATCCGATAATACTAGCTCATAAATCATAAAATTGCCCAAAAGCGCGTACTGTTCCGAATTTTAAGAAGATACAATATAATAACCGATATGAAACAAATTTATTCTATATTTAAATCAAAAATATTTGCAAGTCACACGTTATATTTTTATTAATTTTTTATTCCTTTTACGCCTATGCTTATTTATATACATTAATGTTCTTTTTTGTGCCAGTAATAAAATATGTAATCACGATAACTGTAGTTTCTTCTAAATATTACTTAACTTTATCACACGTACAATAAAAAAAAGTAAGTAAAGACACAGTACGTGACAGCTATGCATATAGTAACTACATTTTCACTATATATATTTTTATAAGTAATAATAGTATTAAATCGTAAGCCACAGTTTACATTTGTCTTTATAAGAATGTTTACTCAAATGGCATTTAGTTTCACCCTTTCCCTGCCGTGTTACTCCATACAAACTCGACATTGACAAAATTCAACAGATAAATCCATCAATGTTAATATATTATAAGGTAATTATTCTTTTTTATAATAACATATTAACATTTATGGATGGATGAATAATAAATAAAAAATAGACCCTTGTATAAATATTGGCACGGATATGATTATCATGGAGATTTACCTTGAAGTATATTAATTATTAAAATAATAAAATGTATTCGACATAACTATTCTCGTACGTATATAAAGTATGTAGGTAGATATGTAAAGATGGAACGTTGAGAGAATGGAAATATACACACATAAGCGGGATAAGATACGCCTTGAGTTGACCTATTATACAGCATTATCGTACATGAGGTGAATTCGTGGGGGTGCTGCCTTTAGATGTCTCTAATTAATATAATTGTTAACGCGTCGGTGCCAAGAGTTGACTGATGATAATAAAATGTATGTACTATTTTAGTCATAATATATCAGCGTTATAAGATAACAAGCCAACAGATCAAATAACCATTTAAAATTGTATCAAATTCCGTTCAAAAAATTAGATATTTGCACTAGCTAAGCAGTGCCGCCTGGCATATGGTGTTTGAAATTGATGTACCCATATATATTTACAAGTGTCTTGTCCTTTCTAGAAAAATATTTTTTTGGATTACCGGTTGGCAAAGAAATTTTGGTTAGTTCTCTTTCGTAACTTCTAAGCCATACGCCTGTTCCGAACACTGGTCAGCAGTGCAACACATAATATCATTATGAAACGTAATTTAAGGTTCTACATGTTTTATAATTTCCCTATAACGCCAACGATAATGGACAAGACAGCAATGATGATCTATAACCTAATTAACCAATTTCTAAAATAATATAACATCTATTATCATTATATACTTAACAGTAATAGATAATACATAGTAGCGAACTTTAGACAGACTGAACTCAATAGAAAAACAGAGGAGTACGTAGTGATACAGAGCAGTTGATCAACCAATGAAGAGATTGTGTTATTTTCTTTATATTATTGTTAAAGAAAATAACACAGTCTCTTCATTTTGGCATATAGATACAACACTAAAAGTACTAAAACACATATAATATCGTAGCTATACAATAAAGTATCGATGATGATGATACTTTTTATAAATACGACGATCCTGGGGCCAATACACTGTGGAACTATTTGGAAGTATATCTTCAATAAGTTTTAAACCATAAATACAAAATGTATGATAAGGATATTAAAAATGAAAAACTCGTCCATGATCAACTTAATAATACCAATAGTCGTGCAGTGGACATAATTAGACTGTTGTTAGACTGAGATTAGTCTAATTAATTAATTTAATGTTTAATCTATTCTCAATTTGACCACAAACTTTAATAATAAACAAAAGAATATATATGCGTGTGTGTCGAATACATGGTAGGTTGTGTTTTTATTGATCTAATGTATTTTTGATGCATAGTTTAAAAAAATATTAGTATTCTGTACATCTCTATATAAACTATAAATGTGCGAAGTTTCTAACTCCTCCGTGCGACCAATTTACGTAAAAAGGGTACAAAATTTACTTCACGTATATACATATAAATAACTATACAAATCAAGAAAACAATGAATTAGGTAAGCTTTTAAAGATTAATATTAACACCAAAGAAAATATAAATAAATAATAATATCCTTTGAATATATTTTTAGGAAGACGTCAATAAATTACGTAGTACCACCTGCCCGCCCCGGCTTCACGCAGATGTACCTGTATTATACATATAAACCATCCTCTTGAATCACTATCTAAAAACTACATTAAAATCTGTTGCATAGTTTAAAAGATCTAAGTGAACAGAATGCGGAAGTGACTTCATTTTATACTAAGTAATGATACGGTAGAGTTAATAATGTCTTAGCTTACTCAATAATGTCTTAGTTTACCTTTGAATTACATCAGTAGTATTCAGTTTGATCGTTGTAAAATCGGTCAAATTGTATAATTGTAATTCATAACACCTATACAATCAACATGTATAATGAATATAATTTTAATCATAAATAATTCATAAGCCTCCTATTACAAAAGAATTATAAATAATTATTGCTGGCCAATTATTATAATCCCTATTATTGCAGACATCATTTAGAGAAATTACTGGAGACTTCAAAGAATTACCTATTTTAGTTACTTACAGGTCTATAGGCTAACAAGGCGTAACCAAACGAAGTATTCGATAGCTTTGACTTTTTAACGTAAAATATCTGCAATAGTACAAGATTTAATTATGAATAAAGCGATATTTATTATTGTAGGTACATACATAGGTAAATAAAGTACATTCTATAAAGATTATAATCAAAACAGTTTCAATTAAATTACCATATAAAAATTTTATGATTTCGCAAAATCCTGATTTACCATTTATAGTGTCAAGAATTTAGAAGGTAACTTATAGACATTAAAAATTTAATTAAAAAAAAAATTAAAATTGAAGCTTGCTTATGCGTACCAGAAATGGAATATGGACAAATATGGATAAATATACATTGTGCCAGCTCACAACTTTATTTATTCGAAGTAACAAACAAAATAACAGTCGACAAATTTTGGAGTAGGGGATCTATCTATCGGTTAATATATAATACACCACGCTACAGACTATTTTATATCTTCAATATATAGTTTTAACTATGATTTGATAGCAATTTCAACCGGGAGGAAATGCCTTTTTTTACATTATTTAAATTATTAACCGGGTCTTAAAACGAATAATTTTGTGGCAAATAAAGGCAAATAAAGGCCTCTCTGCCTTTTTTAGATGTTTGTGAAGGTGCTACTGCTCAATCCACCCTTGAAACAGCAGCTGGCTTTCACTAAGCTTAATAACACAACTTTCTTAACTTTATTAAATGTTTTCGACCGCGAAGAAATATTATTGAAAAAACGTTCTGGCTCGCGTACTATTGTAATGATACGGTAGAAATGTTTCAGCGTATACATATAATGTAACGTCACCTACAATACATTATATGTACAGGCTAAAATATTTCTACTCCTTTTCGAAACAATAAATGTTATTATTATATAATATTATATTACTTTTGTCTAGGCTTAGTTTATGTACGTTTAATTATATTACATATTTTATTGATTTATGAGTTTGATTAAAATTTAAAAAAATACTTCTTGGTACTCGTCATGAGATTTTAAATAGGTACGTATTTGTAACATCACAAACCTATTTAGTATCGAGAAGAACATATGCTACTTTTATTGCAAATAAAGTAGGAAGGACAGCTAGTATCAATATGAAATAATATTCATTTATCATTACATGAATTGTTTTATTTGTCGATTTGTGTCATTGGCGTTTTATATGCATAGCCGTATAAAATATGCATAATGGCATAACATGAGTATTACATATAATATATTAATAGAGCAGGGTAAGTATAGCTTATTTTTCGGTAATACTATTTCTTGCGTTGTTGGCAATGTATAATTCTACAATAAATTTGCGTAGAAGATAACATAAAGCTATATCTGATACCGCACACGCTGGCCACAATACATTGGTCAAGATAAAACCCGTTGATATAATCGATACAGTAATAAACAGTATTTCATCTAAGCTCTTCCGCATACCAAATACTATTCATTTTATACCACTAAAATAGCAATCTAATATACGACCTATCAGATGGTAAATAGTTACCGTAGTCTATGGACGCCTGAAGCACCACGAGTCTCACATGAGCGTGGCATTCCTTTATATATATATATAAACCTTTAAACGTCCCACAAATTCATATTAACTTGTACTTGTACTGTTTTATAGTATGTTTAAAAATGAAAAATATACTCGAAGGTCAGCTAAACATAAGATTATTATTCGTTGGTTTAATTAAAGGATAAAAATATGTATGACACATACCAAATTTTATTACATTTATATGTATAAATTTTGCCGTTCAGGCGACTTCAGGTAACCTAATTTGCATATTTACTTTACTACTTTCGCCTAAAATATTTTAATCAGATTCGTTATTAAATAAAATAAATTACTTATACTATAATTGTTGTAAATTATACGATTCTTTTCACATTACTAGCCAATATTAATGGAAGAATGCAGAAGAATAGACAAGTATTGATTAAGAAATATAGAATAAATTATTAATTAAGAACGCTTATTAAGTAAAGATAATAAATAGTATTGGCGTTTTATTTTTAAAACCGTAAAAGGACCTAAAGAGCAGAAAATATATAATATTAAAACGTGAAAATATTCGTAACCAATTTGATGGACGCACGAATGATATGTAAATTTGCGTTTACGTTGCAATGCTATTTGACAACGTCAAATGACGTCAATAGAATCGCATTATTGACAGGTGACGTCATTTTCACTACGTTACATACGAAAATATTTGCGATCTAAGTTAGATAATTAGCCCACTAGTGTAAACGAATAGTCTCTTTGTTGCACAGACTTCTTAGCATTCCGCTGTTCAGCATTTTCAGAATGCTGTTTACTATTTTTATTACAAATTCTGCGTATTTATAAAAATTTCATAATTGATTTAGCAATACAGACTTAACACAAATGTATCTAAGTTATTCGAATAATAATTAATAGTAATTATTATTCGCATAACTTAGATACATAGTATTATATAATACAATAATAGTATTATATACATGGAAACAACTGGTATTATAAGACTATTCTGAAAAACGTGTTTAATATTTGGTTTAAATATTATTTTCAAATTATTTAATTCCATATTTAAAATAAACCCAATTACAAACCATGTTCGGCACTGAAAATGTCGAAATCGAGCAGCAAAGAGCACTCTTCATTAGTAAGCAGGCCAGTGGCCGAAGCCACTGACTGATCCCAAAGGCTCGCACTCATTATTGTAGTTGTTGAAAATGTTCTGAAATTAATAGAAAACGTATCATGAAAATAAGACAACTATATAATATCGACATAAAACATATATATCGACATGACTTATCTTGAAGGGGTAATCAGAGCTATTATCAATTGTCGATGTCGTGATCCACACGTCACTTGACCATATTTCGCTGGGTATTTTAGAATATAGTCCATATATGATTGGGTATTTTTAATCCTACATGATAGGGGCGAGCCTACCGCCGTCTCTCGTATTAATGTTTGCCTCTGTTATCGGTGTTTCCATCACCGAAATAAGTCAGAAATGTACATTGATACTCAGTTTTTTTAGGTTGGCCAGATATGAACTCACGACCTTTTAGGTTGTAAGAATATGTCTTACACTCTTACGTTCGCGAGTTCATAAAACGTCTTTTTTTAATCTACTTAATTATCTGGTTCGGTAATTTTTCCGTTGAGTAATTTTATTTTGTGCATTATAAAGTAAATTGTACTGTAATGTACAATTTTGTATTTTTTAAAATAGGTTTGTACAGAGTTTTTGTTTTTACCAATTACGGAATAATTATGTCATTTATATATAATTGTGTAATAATATCTTTTATACATACCACAGATGTAATGAGTAATGGTACGAGTCGGTAGCGATCGGTATCCAATGATGATGATAAAGGTGGTCGAGGGACGAAAGTGTCCGGTGAGGGCGCCATGTTGGCACTGAAAATACAAAATACATATTTAAATTAACACTAATTGGCATGATATACGAGTACCTGTTCAAATACAAGGTGTATTGGTCCAAATAAAAAATCATAACAGTAAAATAATCGTTTGTTGCACAAAAAAAACGTGATCCAACCAAATATGATTTAATATAACATTTGATCATACATTACAGCATTTATTATAATCGACAAACCGAATTGCAATAATGTCTCGAACATTATCGCAATTCGGCATAATATTTAGGACAACCACGCAACTGACACCATATTATCCTTCAAATCAGTTCCCAAACTGCTTAGATGTGATATTTACTGGCCCACTTTTATAATAATTGACACTTAAAGATTGTAGTCAGACAAGTAATGATGTGAATAAATATACGCGGACGAAGTCGCGATACTAGCTGTCCGCGACTTCGTCCGCGTGGAATTTAACTTTATTTATACTGAAAAAAAAAGATTATTCCCTAAAATAAAAGTAGCCTGGCAACAAAAAGTCCCGTCAAAATCGGTCCAGCCATTTCAGAGATTAGCCGGAATAAACAGACAGACAGATAAAAATTGTAAAAAATGTTATTTTGGTGTATGTACCGTATTTATAATCATATGCACTTCAGTCACTGACACTCCAATTTTATTTCTATGTATAGATTACCTGTAAAATCTAGGTATCTGTCCATGCATCATCATCGGTTTATTTCTTAACCCAATTCACTTGAGGTCGGTGTAACATGTTTTTTCTTCCATTCTTGCCATATCATCTTTCACAAGATCCATCCATCACTTTTTCGGACTTTCTTTGATTTTCTAACCATTCAAATTCGTATACAACACTTTATAATATTCTTTTCATTCCTATGCATTGCCTACCCATACCAAAACAAACAATTACTCTTCAACTTCTCCGACACTGAGGCGAGACAACTTAAAGTACTTTTTACAGTAAAAGAAAAGATTAACACAAGTTAATATTGTTTACAAAACGACGTAGTCATGGCTACAAAATATTAAAGAATATTTTTTTACTGCTGTTATAATGCTGTTTTATAATACATTTTTTTGTTATAAAAACAGTCGAAATGAACATCATTAAACGGAAATAAATTAGCTGAAATTTCATGATCATAATATGAATAGAAACATGACATCATCAACAATACGTCATCATGTCTGAAATATTATACAATTGTATGTAAAAACCTATCACAAGCTTACAGCGAAGTAGCAACGCATATTCGCTACGGTCAGTTTACATTCTCAGCTGCATAAAGTTAATGCTACTATATGTAATAAACTTTCGTTTATTATACATATATATATATAAAAGAAACCACGGTTCAACACCACAAAAAAATACTAAAATCAAGTAACAACATATTTACGTCACCATATAACATATAACGTCGCGAAATTTATTGACATAGTGAATAATGGTTTCACTGTGCATTTACCGAGAACAGATAATTTTGATAATACCCACGTGTTCATGACATAAAGTAAGTATGTGTTAGGTTTTAACTGCATATACACAACTTGAATACTTACATGATATCTTGCCGATTATAGGAAATATGAGTCTCTTAAATAATTTGCAGCACATTTTATTTCTATTTAGGTATAGAAATATGCTACTACTAACTAAATCAACTATCAATAATACTGGCTACCAAATCCATCAATAGTTTGCTTTCAAGTAGTAAAGGTAGATATAATTCAGTACAATTATTTCAAGTCTGAGAATAAATATAGATATTGTTTTGTGGAAATTCAATATAAGCATTAAATAAATCTGCCCACTCGAAGCTATAACGACCAACTAAGGGAATAAAATAACAATGTAAGCAAAGGAAAAATCAAGATAAAAAAAACCTATACAAACCCACATATGCATCATGGTAATAACACAGGCTATATTTTAGGAATTTGAATAATAATCTAATAACACTTTTTGTATCAGGAGCACATATAAATAAATAAATAAATAATTTGATTCACAACAATTTTATGTAACCATCATGTGAGAAAAGTCAGCACAATTTGAGTGTTATTATTTATTCCCCCCTAAATGTGTTGTGAAATAAGAATAGACAATGCTTACAAAATATGTTGCCATCTCTACACTTATAAAATTAGTACATTGTGATTAATGTAATAGATCAATACTAGATAATACTTAAATATATCACAGTATTGACTATAGATAGTAGTAAAATTTATTTTAACATTACTTAGTATCATTGCAGAAAACATAGATCTTAAAGATAATAAAGCTAAAATGTTTTTTTTTATTTGTTATTTAGCAATTTAAACTAAACTACTAGTAATACAGTATACTACAGAATTAATTTACCTTTTAATTAACCAACCTTATTTTCCTTACAATACCTGTCTACCATAAGTTATATCACAGGTGAGGTTAGAATGAGACGGGTCAACAAAGTCTAACATTGTCTGACAAGGGGTCCAAAATTTTGTGAAAATCTGATATATTGAAGTTTTAAAACCTAGAATAACTAGCTACCTACCAGCATTCCCTGTTTGAAGTCATCTCGTTATTTACTCTCTTACCATATCATCTTTCACACAGTCCATTCATCTCATTTTCAGTCTTACTCAGTCCTTATAACTATCCACATTAAAATGTAACACCATCTTTAAGATATGATCTTCATTCCTAGCTACTATATACTAGGTATAAAATCTAAACAAATTGAACATGCATACTGCTCCACAACACACTACCGAAATAATTATTTAGTATTTTAAGTTGAATTCATATACCAAAATTGACAATAATGTAGGCAAAAAGTGCATCTAGCTAAACTGGGAATGAGCCAGAACAAATTTTACGACAGTAGATAAATTCATAAGTGACTGTGTGAATACATTCCCCAAATTGAGTTTAATGAAGCACTAACTGATACAACTACTAGAAAAAGTAAAGTGTGTACAGCAAATTTATTTAAACTATTAAAAAAAATTGTTAGAAAAAGCAATAAACTAAAATTACTCTCCATTATTACACTAGATAAAATATAGGTACAATGCCATGCCTGAACATTTATAAAATCCTAATTTTTGTTAATACATATAAATATCTGTGTAGTAGGTACATATTTCGACATTAATAATAGTAGATTTAGCCATCTTAGTACTAGTTTATTATAATCAAATCATTGTTAGTGATAGTTATGTATATGTATGAGTATGAGTATTTGGCAAATTTGTGGGTTTATCAATACATACTTCTGTATACTATGGAGCAATATGAATGGAAACAATAGCACAGAATAAACTTATATTGACAAAAGTGGAAATTTTATCCTTTATTATGTGGCTAGTCTTGAAACGCAGTACATAATTGGACGTTGAAATCCATGTTGCTCAGAATTATGAAATTCAATTTAAGGTAAGTATACAAAGTAGCGACCAGTTCTATAGACCAAATTTAATAAATAAATATCTGTCGTAATAGTTCTCCCGCGCTATACAACAGTACCATAGTGAAAGCTGTGTCTCAATGGAATGTGACGCTGAACGTGTAATTAACGTAGGCCAAAACAAACAGAAATTTTAATACATTTTATTGTACTTACATCATATTTTACGTGCGTAGTAGGCACACGTGGGTGTGCAAATTTTTGGAACTAGTTCCCCATCTTCACAGCAAATATATCATGAAAGAAACAAAATACACGACTATTAACTTAGAGACATTGATGAGTAATAGGGCGAGGAGGGAAAGAAAGAGGGGGGAGGACATAATGTCAACCATAGACAGCAGGGAAACTCGGCGCGTAGCTTAAAAATTATTGCATCAGACGGTCAAGCGACTTAAATGCTTGATAAAGCGCAATATGCCACTTAAAAAATTTACTAGGTAGGTACCTAGTTTATTTTTTAATCTTGGAAACTACACTGACAGGTGTAAAACCTGCGATACCGATTTGATTTACTAAACACTATTTTTTTATTTTAAGAGTGGTCTAGCTGTTTAGGACACCCATTACTTCCGAAATTCGCGGGATCGAATCCTTGCACGGCATAAACATGTGTATTCATGAATATGGTTGTTTTTATTGGTGTGGGTGTTTTTTAAGTATAATATATAAGCATTTACAAATAAAAGACAGTTGTCTAACACCAATATATAAAACAAGCTCTGCTTAGGTTGGTCCTACTTGGCGCAGTGAATATTGTCCTGCGTTATTATTATTTATTTTGACGGTTAGTTTTACAATTTTCGCCAAGTTTCCACAAAAATTTACATAGGTACATTGGTATTGACATGCCTGTCTTTGAATGAAACAATACAAAAATACATTTTTTGTTTTTAGCATATATTTTAATTGCCGGCATTAAATTACAAACGATCTTTTTCTATCAAACAGTTAAATATTGTAATTATATGAATGTTTCATGAAATATGATAATATATGAATGTCGTTTATTACATGAGAGGCATTTATTCCTAGTTTTAGTATGAAATAAAAGTTAAATATATATATTTTGAATCAACAACCCTATATTTATTACTAACTATACTTTATTAATTTTATGTCAATACATTATTTCTGTATGTAACCTATAAACGGTTACCTACTCATATTAACATTGATTTCCGATAGTCACACGCCTCTGTTCTCGAATTTCAAAAAGCTAACAACATAGGTATAATGGCATTTTTGTCTAAAGCTGCTTATTATGAGAAGTCTAATTTGTCTCCGAGATAAAATAGTACTCTGTTTCTAATTTGAGGAAAGACAGGAATTTGAGAAAGCCACTAAACCAGTGGTTCCCTACGTGGGGCCCACGTCCCACAGAGGGCACATTTGAATTTTGGGGGGCTATTTGAAAATAGACAAACGTACTATTTCATTAACAATTTTCTAGTGATTTCTTTCTAAAACCTATTATTTAAGTTTCTTAAGTGAACAATTAAATTTTTTGAAGCTATAAATCCACTTTCTTTATAGAACTATTAATAATAATAATAATAATAAATCCATTTAATACTATTTTACCATAGACATTAAAATTGAATAAAAATATGTAAAATACCCCTCTAATGAAACTGCATAAACAGATGTAAAGCAATGTTAGATAAGATTAAGGATTATAGTCTTACCTTTTATAAAACCTTTATCACCGAATAATCTAAGGTAATATTGAGTGATATAGCGTTACGTACAATGTGATGTGTCGCTACTTATTTTGTTTCCTGTCTTTCTCTATATTTAGTATCTTTATAGTTAATGTGGCTATTTATAAACTTTTCTATTATTCTGTTTATTTTTGCTATTTCATGGGTTTATTATTAATGCGACGACATAGTGTGGAACGTTTTTACACTGAAATTAAATTTATTACATAATTTATATTACAAATGGAAGGAAAATACGATTGACATGAATTTATACATATATAATTAATATTATATGTAATATAGCTTGCTTTACGAGTACGCTCTTTCACGCGAGAAAGAATGTGCATGCACAATGTGACAAACAGAACGAGTAATTTTCGTGCGCCGCTACTCGCGCATTCCCGAGTCCTACATTTAAAGCCTTTTTGTTTAATCAATTATTATTTCAAAATGGCGGGCATATAATATAACTTGAAACATACGCGAGAAAGAGTCATCACAAAAAATAGTTATCAATTGCGCCCGTTTGATTTTATAATTTATATTTTCTATATATGTTAGTCCTTAAGGTATATATAGTATAACTATTTTATACATATGCTACTCCGTAAGGTATATATAATTAAAGCCAATATTGTTATATAAATAATATTCCGTTCTTTAATTTCAAATAAATAAAGGAATTCCACATAAATCTAAAAAAAAATTTATTAAGTTCTTGTTTGTTGTCGTGTTGTGAAATTGAACACCTTTTAGGAAAATGTCATGCTGAAACATTCCAAATTCTGGAGGTTTACAATTGCCATAGTCTTTGAGGTAGAAAAATCTGGTAGGCATACTAGTCTTACATGTTGGCCATCTTCTCCTAAAATTAAAAAATAAAACATGGGATAAGAAGTCACATTGAATGTTGTAGTGTATGTGGAAACACTAGCAGTTTATTATCTATCGTCTCGAGCCGAGCGTACACGTACCGCCGTGCGCAAGAGGGAAGGGATTCCCTGCGCAAGCGCCGCGGAGTAAAGACGTGGAGCTATGGCTAACGAGCCGATATTACGTCGATAACAACTTACATACAAGAAGACATAAATAACAAATAAGTGAACACTACATGTGGCGACGAGGCAAAATGGATATAAATAAAGATAAGTACAAAATCATTTAATAAGATATACATATACCTACGGGTACGGAGTAATTACAAATTTAGAAGGATTATGGTGGGGCCGCACGGGGAGCGAATTATATAGACCTATACAGAAAAAACAATAGCTGGGTAACATCGGTTTACGATCGATTTGCGCCAAGTAAGTAGGTACCTAATTATAAATTGTACTTGCTATACCTATAGTGTCTCTAGCTGGTAGGAATAGTCGTATTAATAATCATTGTAGTGATATGTTTACGTATATCCGTGATTTATTATTTTTAATGTATGATAATGGTGTACTGCCTGCGCTGGCGTGGCACTGATGAAGTATGGTAGAATGAGCGGGGGGGGATAGGATCGGTTGGCCCGTCGTGGTGGGTTCGTGTTAATTTGTCACGATGGTTTCTGGGGGGAGCCGCGTGGAGGTCCCTCTGGCGTGATACAATGTTAGCAGTGGGATTATTTTAACAATCCCATTCCCCCTTCCGTATTTCCGTGTTGAAATAAAAAATCGGTAATGATTGTAGTTGCCGCTGCATGTTCGTTTCATGAGGGGACGGTGACGGTGAGATGTTTAGTGGGACATCATATTACGTGATGCAATAGACCTGTGGGTATGAAGTATAATAGAGCACTGTGCGGACGACACGTTTGTTTTGCTTTATCTTTTCTAGGTGTCGATGCACTTTAATTACTTTTGGCAATAGGGCCGCCTTATTGTATTTATACAGAGGTGGTGACTAGTGTTCAAATGTCACTATTTTCTTTTAGAGTATTGCTGCAAATGGAAGTGGTCTAAAGTTCCTCTTTCTAACTGTAATGATCACATGATAACCTAATATTACATTTGGTACGGGATAATATTACGATGTTGTCGGGTGATACGATATTATTACAAATGATGGTGAGCTGACAATTGTACCTGCATTATAGTACTGATGTTGGGTATTATATACAAAACAACAATAGTAAAATCTAAGGTGGGGTGACACACACGGTTTGAGCAGTGCTTGGTGGACAATATTTATATTTGCCTTAATTGATTGCAAGTGTTGAAGTATCTGGGTAACAGTGTCCCATACATTTCGATGCGGATGAGTTGTTCGGAATACCTGCAGACTATTTTATTCTGGTATTCGAGCAGAGCCGCGAAGTAGTGTGGTTAAAATGTTTTTATTTGGATTGGATTTGGCTTTTGGATTATATAATTTATAAATAATAATTATTAGTGAGCTTTCCAATGGATGCCGGTGGGAATTGCAATTGTTTTGCATAGGAAGGTTTTAAATGTAGATTAATTATTAGTTTGATACATTATGTTGGGGTCTACTATACATGTTGTATAGTGCAAGGTGCCTATCTACTTGTCTGGCATATTTTTAACAATTTGTGCTTTGTGTTAAAATGAAGCGCGCATCTACACTTGCGACCTAGAAGGCAATCTTTTGGTTTGGTGAATTTAGTGTCTAATGAATTTGTTGAAGAAAAACAAAAAACCACGTATTCAAGAGGTTGAGATGCCGACTATTATATTGCGAGGAAGTGTGTCGCTAGTTATGGTCGGATGTAAGGTACAGGAGTGCTGTTTCTGTATGCGGTATGTGGTTTCTATAGTCAGTAACACTGGAACGAGAAAAAGGATACCGAATTATGTATGTATATAGAATTATTCTATTATTTTTACAGCAATGACAGTGATTAACTTTTAATAATAAGCTATAGTATAGTACAGTGGTGGTGAGTATGTCTTTATGGAAACATATTTAAGATTCTCTCTAATTTAAAAATACCAGTAAATTAGAAATTGCACAATAATGGTTACATGAAATAGAACTACTATTAAGTTCTGAATTATTGTACCTACTCGCCTAATGCATTATGCGGATGAGTGAAGGGGTTATTAGAGTGGAAAAAAAAATGTTTTTTATATTCTTTGAAGTTTCGGGAACATGGAATAGATTATGAATATTCTTTATTTAAAGAAGCTTGAATAAATAATAGGAATAATAGCCATAATTGCATTAATGTACCGCATTTAGTAGCTGTGGAATGGAGTTAGAATTTGTTTTGTGATCACATGCAGACAGCGCTGACAGCTGTTTTATATGAATGTGACGGGGATGTTGGAGCGATGGGGAGTCATTTTTAATTGACAGTTAATCCAGTTGCGGCTGGAGTTGTGTAGTGTTGCGATACGCGAAATAAGTGTATTAATGTGGTTTTGAGTTTTGAGATAGCTAATAGGAAATGATACCTACTTCATTGTAGTAGTTGTAAAATATATACATGTATTTGTTTATCGTCATAGTACTGGTGTTGGTCGCTCTCTAAATACTTTGGCCGCATTGCAGGGTAGCTTAGACAAATTAGCGTGTTTTAACTTTTACATACGTACTACAGTGCAACCTCGATAAAACAAATCGAAAAAAAAATATATATATATAGTATATCAAGTAATTCGTTGAACTGAGATTTATTATGTTGAAGGTACGTTGGTCTAAACTTCGTTATAAAAAGGTAAAAAAAAAACTGTCGTAAGTTATTTCAACTTGAATCTTTAATAATAGTGACGAGCAGCAGTGTTTACAAAACTTTACATTACTTTCCATCGAACAACAATTATTGTTCTACGAACATAAGTACGTCGAAACATGTCCTGACATGAATCACATTTTATGAGATGAGAGATAAGTAGAGTTAGAGTCATACCATTGGTGGGAACATTATATAAAGGTTTTGGGTTAAGAAAATTCCTTAGAAAGAGGTGTTTTTCCAAATTAAAAAGAAAAATAATAATAATGTCGCAATGTAAAGGTATATTTTACATCGATTCTTATGGAAAATCCAAGGGATTACAAAGAATTAGTTAAATCAAGGAAGTCGTTATATACGAGGTATATTATTGTGAATGAGGTGCGTTATATTATGGCTGCACAATTATTATTATTATTACTAGATAATAATGTAAACCATGATGCATGACAGTAACAATTACTAACGATACATTATTGGTTATGGATATATATGGTTCTGAGGATACTATTAGTATTCCTATACTTTAGATTAGAATTATTTACTGGACATTCTTGTGGAGTAAATAAATCTGAAATATGTTTAATATTAGTAGTCATAAATGTATATATTGTGAAAATTAAATGGATAAGAGTGGCGTTTAATTGTCTTATAATTATAAAATTTGGTGTTTTGCAGGAGTCCATGATTTGCTTATAAATTGACTATTGGCTCGGATGACCTTAAAGAAATTAGCAAAGGAAGAAAAACAATGAGCATAATACTAATAACCAATACTTAAAGAGGATGAATTAAGAAGTTCAATGGAGTTATAATGACGGTGACAATGGCATTGATATTCTAAAAAAGGAGCTACAGAGGTAAGGTAGACTGGGCCGTCAAGCATTAAATTGCGTATTGACGGACAGGTTGCATTAAATTGCGTTGGCTGGGCCATCAGGCATTAAATTGCGAACTGATGGACAGATTGCATTAAATTGCGTTGGCTGGGCCATCAGGCATTAAATTGCGAACTGATGGACAGATTGCATTAAATTGCGTTGGCTGGGCCATCAGGCATTAAATTGCGAACTGATGGACAGATTGCATTAAATTGCGTTGGACTGGGCCGTCAAGCATTAAATTGCGTATTGGCGGACAGGTTGCATTAAATTGCGTTGGCTGGGCCATCAGGCATTAAATTGCGAACTGATGGACAGATTGCATTAAATTGCGTTGAACTGGGCCGTCAAGCATTAAATTGCGTATTGGCGGACAGGTTGCATTAAATTGCGTTGGCTGGGTCGTTAAGCATTAAATTGCGTATTAACGTCCAGTTTTGTTAAATTGTCTTTGGCGGGGTCATCAAGCATTGTATTGTGTATTGATGAATGGTGTCCTATTCATTAAAGTGTAAATTGATAGAATGTTGCATTAAATTGCGGTTGAATATAAGTAATAAAAAATTGCCAGTTTTAATGCATATTAATTATCGGAGTGAAATGGAGCGGATTCAGTAAAATATAATAAATCAAAAGTCATAAGGACACAAATTAATTTTGGTCGAAAATATAATTTCTATAACTAATATAATTGACGATTGCTGGAGTACGTAGAGTCGCTGTGGTGATATATGTGGTATATGTCGATCGCTCAAAGACTGGTCTGACAACCTTTCCTAATATTTTAGCACTGAATTAATGCAGGTGATCAGGGAGATAATTTTGTACGATGAAGAATGGTTATAGTTATACCCAATTAATACTACATGGACTGATATCAGATGTGTAGACAGAATATAGTGGAAAGTCGTTTGCAATTGTTGATGCAACTCTTGATATAATAATAATATTCTGGTATAAATAGTGGGGAGTTTTGAAGAAATTCCAGATTATGTTTTAGATAATCAGTTTTCAAATGTACATGATAAAGAAAAATACTACATGTAAATAACACATTGTATGAGACAGATATAATGGAAAAAAAATATAAGTATTTACCTTAAACCTACAAAATATAAAGTAGTGACTACTGTGATAGAGATATTCTGGTCATAAACTTACAACATTTTTCAGAAGTGCTTTATACTAATCTTACATAATATTATACAATAACAAAGTGGAATAACGATTATATGAAAACAAATATAAAAGAAGAAAGGTGAAGTATGTGAAACAGAGAGTAAATTGGAGTTAATATATAAATGTAATTTATATTCAAAAGAGGAGGAAAAATCACGGTGCTGGTTACGCTGGAAAGGCCAATCGCACTAGAGGCATTCGGCTTATGTGTGGCAGTATAGTGTCAAAATGAGTCCACTATCGGTGTAACGTAGCACACATGCCTCCAAGGAACAAATACCTAATAGAGTGGATTGATTCATGCTTGAAAAGAAAATAAACTTAAAAAGGAGAGAGATGTAGTGTATGTGGAAACACTAGCAGTTTATTATCTATCGTCTCGAGCCGAGCGTACACGTACCGCCGTGCGCAAGAGGGAAGGGATTCCCTGCGCAAGCGCCGCGGAGTAAAGACGTGGAGCTATGGCTAACGAGCCGATATTACGTCGATAACAACTTACATACAAGAAGACATAAATAACAAATAAGTGAACACTACAAATGTAAAGAAACAGTTTTGTTGGTATTAGAAAACAAAGGGTTTTTTTTACTGTTATGAAAAATAAAAAATGTTAGTGTTTCATCAATTAATTTAGGTACACAAAATTCACACACCCAATAACAAACTCCCCTGAGTTTGTTATTGGGTGTGTGAATTTTAATACATAGATTCAGTGCTTTGTTCCCAATATACATTTACTATGTTTTTTTCCTTTTCTAAATAGAAAAGGAAAAAAACAACTATAAATTAACTAATGGTTTCTCAGTGGTCGAAATCCGACCATAATTAATTTAAATTATAAGTTTAAACATTAATAAGATGCTATTAAGGACTTGCTAAATGAAATAGATTACTTTGATAATCTTCATAATATCTCACGGATATTCCTCAGGCTTAATACATGTTATATGTTAAAATTTTCTTTTTATTTGTTCAAAGGAAGAATGAAGCATTAAATTACAACAATATCAAATATTTGTATACCTTTGTAAACATCGGTAGCAAATTCCTCAGAATTTCCACTAAAATATATAGCTGGACAATTTTGTATGATGAAGGGATCAGTAACTACGCATGGAGTACATGGAACTGTGTCGGGACATGTAGGAGCCATATGCCGCCATTTGAGAGTGTTTTTCATAATTTCTAACCGATTATTTAAGTTACTGTATTTCATTATATTTTTAAGAGGCTCGCCTGAAGTCCCCAGACAAGTAAATCCTGCAAAGTTTTGTTATTAATGTAGTACCATAAAAAGTGATAAAAATAAAAGTAGAATATAAAATCCTCATAATTATACATTACCTGCAATATCACATTCATATGGATTTGGAACTCGGTGAAAGGATTTATATTCTACAGCTTTGGGGAATAAACCTTAAACAAAAAGTAAATTTATAAAAAAGATCTCGAAGAAAATATTAATAATAATTAATTTGTTGCTTTAACGTATTTATAACAATCAATACTAACAGTAATGAAATGGTTTCTGGGGCAGCATAATCCCAGAGGGATCTTTGCAACCCGGCATCAGATCTAATGGTGCTACTGCACTGACAGCAGCAGCAAATGCATCAACAGATTCAGCTGATGCTATCACATCTGATTCATTGAGGATGCACTCATCAGAATAACTTGCAAACACACCACCTATAATAAAATTATAATAGGCAATAAGATATAATTGATCTGGAATATATAAAAAATTGAATTTTTTTTTCAATTGAATAAATAATTTACCTGCAACAATTACTCTCACAACTTTTGATAATTCTTCTTGATATTGGGAAGTGCCAGAAATACCTGACAACCACTCCAATAATAGATGCAGTGAAAACAAATGATCGGGTTTCTTTGATGCCATATTCAAACCCGATAAAAGGACTATGTACCTACAAAATTAAAGATATGCATTCATCCATTTAAGACATACAATGTGAAATTTAAATACAAAATTTAATTAAGAACTAAAATATAATTTTAAATGAAACAATTTGATCCTTGTAACTAATAATAATATAAATATAATATTAATCTAAATATGTTGTAATATAAGAGACTAGCTTAGAAATTTTTAGGGTTCTCTTAAATTGTAATAAATAAAAATTCATACCACTTTCTATTTTTAGAAATATCCAATTAAAGATTTTATATTAATGTTTTAATATTTTCTAAATGTTGACAATATAATATGCTTATTGATAAAATTTACATTACAAATAAAAAAAAAACTAGATTTCAATATAGAATACTTTGTATTCATATGGTTTTGTTCATGGACAGTAAGAATAAAAGTATATTTATAAATAATCATTTATGCATTGGCATTTATGATTGTCATAAACATACCTATCATTAGCCAGTTTGGGGAAAGGTTTTTGTATGCTGCAACCTGCCCAACAAACATCTTCTATTGTGAAAACTCCATCCTCATCTTCTGAACCTGCAATAATTAATTTAAAACAATTAGGATGTATATACCTAACCTTAACATATTTTATATGAGTGAATATTATTTAATATCATTTATATTTAATATTATTATATGAGTGAATTCCTTTTGATACTTAAAGGCTTCAATCCTCATGAAATTTGACATATGAGATGAACAGCAACTATCAAACAATAGATTATAGTATATACCTAAAACAGCACAAACTACACCAGTTACAACTTGGTGAACATCAATTGAATCACCAATCAGTCTGATCCTTTGAAGCTCATCCTCCAACACCAGACTATCACTATCATGTACAAAATGTGTCCTGAAAGAGAAATCAGATATCATTATAATTATGTTTCTTTTGAAAATACAGAGAGGCAAGATACAGATAACAATCTGAACCAAATTAATTTAGGAATACCATAGTGATGCAAATTTTTCAGACAGCCTCAGAGATGTTGCAGTTTAGTACATTGCTTCCCTTCTAATGGTTATGGGTTTGATACCCTACACACTTATGTGTAGGATATAACACCAGTACAAACAATCATACTTATATGATTGTTTAGTGTGTTGTAGTTGTGTGTGTTGTGTGGTGTAGTTTTTAACAGAAAAGTTAATAATATGTATGGTAAAACATAGTTTGTCAGTGTATGTATTAAATGTGGTTTGTTATTCACACTAAACCATGATTTCTATCCATAATCATTTAATTGTAATCAAGTACCTCTAACACAAGTTCTGCTTTGCTTGTATTATCCAGATATGACATTATATATTAGAGAGCAATGGAAAATTGCAAGGTATATATTATGATCCTATATTTATGATAGTGTAATGTTCATTATCATAGTATAGGGTCACTTGCACTCTCTCACAGAAATTATAAGGAAGCCAAGATTGCTGACCACCGCTGAATTCAATTAACCACTTGCGAACTCATCATTTTACACCTCCATAGATATATGAAAACGACCAATTAGTTACTTAGCGACCAATAGAGCACTTGTTAGCTAACATAAGGCGGATAACATCTACCTGTATGTTATACCATATATCATATGACATACCTAATGTACACCATATGAGAAAAATAAGATAATAAAGACAATTATAAAAATCCTAATAAAAAAATACATTTTTACTATAATGCAAAAGAAACTGAAAACAGTTACCTTGGCGGTTGGGGTATGATTTCCAGCTGTTCTGATAAATCTTTCAATATACTTGGCTTTAATTCTTGCAGTTTAAATATTGTTCCAATCACTATACATTTTTCATGTTTTTCTCGAAGTTCACATAATTTTAAAATCTTATAATGACTTGGCCACTTCTTTCTAATTATTGTAGTAATTAAAGTTCTGTATGCATTTAACCTGGCAGAGTAAATATGAGCATATTGCTTAGAAAAATCGCGGGAAACTTGGTAAAATCTATAAGATGTATCTACATAGTCCACTGCTTGTCTTTCCAATTCAGCTGGTAGAAACTCATTTTCAACTTTAACTGGCAAGTTAGACGGTACTGTAAATAACATTATATTTAATGTTATTGCAATAATATTACTATGAAGAATCCTTATTAGAAAATAAACTTAGAAAACAACAAGGAAACAAAAACGGACCGTAGTTTGTCTGACATTACCTATGTTGCCAGCTTTTTGGAACTTTTAAATAGGTCTTCACTATCGGAAATTAATATAAATTACCTATTTTTGTAGGGTCACTAGAAATAATGAGTGAGTGTTTAATTGTAACGAATTAACACAAAATTAATAAAGTATAGGTATTAATAAATATATGAATATAGTTTTTCTATAGACTAACTTCCTTCTCTATAAAACAAACAAATAACCTTCATCTTTGTATATTATCATATTTTACAAAATATTGATACTTGTAACATTACTCTCAAAGGAATATCAAATATCTACGATTGCGTTAAATTACTTATATTTAAAGCTGGATTATGTCTATTTCTCCCTTTAAATATAATTTATAATATCGTAAATGGAATCTTCATCTTCGGATATCAAATTGTCATTTCACCTAGGAGTTGAACACACAATAAAAATTTGATTTTTACCCTTTTTCTTTGTCGCAATCGGATAATCAAATTTTATTCACCACATTTTATCAGTAGCGAACTATAAATGTTTCTTTTAAATAACGGTAATTCACCGGTTTTTACAACTATAATTTTATTCTTATATATGATTTTCTATCCAACATTCCGCCTTCCCAAGCTTCCCAAACTTATTTTTGGCGATAGCATATTATGCAAAACCATAATAAAAAAAAGAAACTTCTGTAATAAAAATGGCGGGAATTCAAAAAGTGCGACTAAATAATTTAAATATAAACTTAAAAAATGCTCTTATAATTGGTATTATTATTGCAAAAAATAGTCCACGTACAATAGGTCCCAAAAAGAAAAATGGAGAGTCACGGGGCATTACATCTTTCACGTTAAGGGACTCAGAAGTGGATACTATTAATGTTGATGTGTGGGGTTCAGAATATTTTGTAATTACGTTCTACGAAAGATTCCTTGTGGGTGATATCGGTAAATAAAAATATTTAGTAAAAATATATGAAGTCTTGTTACATTAAATTTAAGATACTTATTAAATACTATTTTGTTTTAGTTGAAATATCCTCACCAAAAATATGTGTCAAGGGAGGCGATAATGAAATGTATAGGCCTCATGTAAGTAATATCTGTTTCATTTCCTAGCACATTTATTTAAGTTAAGTGATTTTACCTTATTATTAAAATTCTTGAAATAAAAAATATACAATGGCCACCCCACAACAATTCTGCATTTCAGGTGTCCTCTCCATTTTATCTTTCTCTCAACGAAGGCATTTCTGATATGACAACTCACAACGGAGACACCTACACCACATACCTACCTCTCTTGCACGTGCCTACGAAATCTTCTTCCGGTTATTGTGGTATAGCCGAGGTGGTAAAATTATCAGGTATTTTACAATCATACTATTTATATAAATGTTAATTATCATGCGAGAATCTAACTCGTGACCAACATCATTAATTCATTGTATTAAAACTGCTAGAGCACTGAGGCCCTAATTTTTTTACGTGGTTCAATGATACGTGTATGTATATATCTGATATCGTAGTCTATTTGCAAAGCCTGTATTGTAATTTGTAATAAGACAGAATTTTATGTCCATCCAGATCGCATTTATGGAAACTAAAAATAAAACAAACGATGACGGTATTTCTTATTTTATTACTTATATCTTACTACATCTTCTCCACTCCCTTATTAATTTAATGTCCCACATCTCCTTAATTTCTTTGATGAAATTTAGGGAAACTGTTCTTGGGTAATATCTATATCTATAGCATGTGAAGAATATGACGCATAATGAAGAATAACAATTTTGAATATTAGCTCTCCATATTCTCTGTCAAAAATAAAAAATATAAGTGAAAGAATTACTTCTATACGTCAATTAGTTTCTGATTTATAGAAGTAAACGTGCGATGCGGACTCGTGTGACGGTGTGACGTCATAGTACAACACTCGCTCTGTCCACTCGCGCTCTCAGCACGGAGTCATCTTACGTTTCATTAGAAATTATAAATACCTTCAAAAATAACCAAACCAAATACTAGTAAATCATGTGTTGTGCAGAAATTTACAAATACAACCACCAAAGTAATAGTTATTTTTATTATAACCACAAAAAAATCCAACAAATTTGATAACAGTCGTTGAGTCCTCTCTTCGACGATGCAGCCACATTAAAAATGCTATAGTACGTTTACAGCCTCTATTGGCGGCACAATCTTCGCAAGTTACGTTTAAAACTTCTTGGTCCTTTTCATTACATTCTAAACTGTAACGTACGCGGTGTTCGCGCGTGATTCTACATTTGACCGTACAAACATCACTTGCTCTTTTTACTTGTATGTAACCGATAGCATCATCATTAAAGCTGTCTCATGCCGACCTGGAATAAGTTACAAATAAAAAAGAATAAAACGGCCTATTTGCAACAAATCAATATATTTAGTTAATTTACGAGGTACATATATTCACATTTATGTCTATAGGTACGTATGTAACGTACCTATAGACATAAAACTCTAAAACAATTGTTGTCTATAACGTAAAACTTAAAAGTTTTGGTACTTCTGCCTCTTTGAATTGCAATAATTGCAATACGACATCAGTTGGGTATTTTTTTTAACAAAACACTTTAAAATAGATAAATTATTTTCTAAATAGCAAGAAAAGTTAACTTACTTTTGCATTTTTATTCCTCGCATTTCGGCGGCAACGAAATCACTATTTGTTGATAAATGATGGGCAACCATTAGTGCATCTATTTTAGGCAGATCATCCGATTGACCTTTTTCGATTCCTTCATCCATTTCATTAATAGAATATTAATATAATGTACGGATGAAACCAAAACAAAATAATGCACAAACTCCTTAGCCTCTGACCTACCGCCGGCGACTCGCTACTAAGCGGAGTGGAGCGTTGTAAAATGACGTCACATGTCACGTGACTGTTAGCGGGATTCGAAATTTATCGTAAGTTTAAATGCCTATAAAATCAAGACTGATAGGTATTTTTAACTAAAACAAAAACTAATATATTTGTATACATACAAGCTTTACTATACCAAACTTTCAACAGATTTGGCTACTCTTCATTATCATAAATTCACTATCCCTATTTTGGCAGTATGTTCAGAATCAGAATATGACTTATATTTTACATACCCACAAGTTTTATTTAATAGAGAAACTGAACAAATATTATTGTTATCAACATAATTTATTTGAAACAATTTCAAATAAATTATGTAATGTAAATCGGACACTATTTTCCGCTCATCTGAGCAGTTTTATTTAAAAATATTATAGGTTATCTGCGTAACATTTCTTCGATAACTATATATTTTATTGTCTCTGAAATGTTTTAATATAACATAATATTTTCAGAGCAAACTGACAATGTCTATGTGGACCTATTGGTTGTTGTTAAATCAGTAAGTCCTACTAAAACCATTAGAACAAAAACAGGCAAGTTTTTTTTACAACTCCTGTAATTTTAAATGCAGTTTAAAAAACATATCTTCACAACTATTCTTGCTAGGGGGTAGTCACAATCGTTGTAAATTTTCGGTGTGCCGTAATGGTGAACGTAACACTTGATGATATACCTAGATGTCGCTATAAATGTAGATAGATATTTTAATAGAACGTGGCAGGGGGAAAATCTACCACCATCTGTCGAAGAAATTTGGTTTGTTATTTGTTAAAAGAAAAATGTGTAGTATTTTTTCCAACTCACAAACTATTGGGTCTATTGCGTGGCTGTGAATCAGCCGGCCACCACGGTCTCTAATACAACTGTACATTCCTCTGTAATTTCATAAATAATATTAATAATATCTCACGACAATTCTCACAGCGCCATCTAGTTCCAAGTTAAGCAAATCTTGTGTTATGCGTACTAGACAACTGATAAAAACATAGATACATTTTTTCTAAATATATACATATTGTCCATATAAAACACGCAGACTGATAATAACAATCATACTCATGAATACAAATGCTTGTACCATGAGAAGAATCGAACCCGCGATCATCGGAGGTAAAGCGGTGTGCTAAACAGCTAGACGGCCCAGGGTAACAAAACTAAATCTTAACTAAAATGCTCTCAGCTTAATACAAATTAAGAACTATGTTTATTTGTTATTCTCAGGTTCAGATATGACAATTCGCAGCGTAGAGATTATAGATAATACATCGCCAGCTTCTCTTTTCTTGGACATGTTTGATATTGACACTATACAAAGGTAGATAACCGATATTTAAGTAATTTCAACATCCTTCAATAATTGTAATCAACGTAACAGATCTATTATATACCTACTATGAAATCCACGTTTTTATTAAATAGATGTTTCATTTTAGGCCGATGTAAAAATGACGAAATAAACACAATTTACATACAAGCGTTAATTTGTAATTTTTTTATGATCTTAGTAAAATCATAGACAAGATAATATTATTATATTACGTGGTAATATATAAGGAGCTATAATTATTATGCATCTTAAGAAGGAAGGAATGCTAATATGGAGACCAGTAGGGAGAAAGGAGATTGTTAGTAATGTGGACTGATGATCTTATTGCTAGCAATGTACCATGTCAGGTTGACCTCCATGAGATATCCCCCTAACTTCCCCCTAACTGACCTGACCTCATGCTCATCTTGTCATCCTCCACTAGTACCTCGTCAGCCCATTGTCCACCATTCCATTACCATCCATAAAAAAAAATATGGAAACCAGTATAGTTTATATAGGTAGGTATTGTTGTTAACCGTCACGTCAATTCTTATTGAATGAATAATGGTTAATTTGTGGTGAATTTACCTGAGCTAAATGACATAACTTTCATTCTCGTCCATTAAAATAAAAGAATTGGTGACGCGCCATCGTATTCCATTAACGCAGGTGAGAGCACCACTTTTTTAAAGTAATTTTACGGCCTTGGAAATTCTCTTTCAGCCACACAATTACTTTACACACATACAGAGCACTACTTCATCATTATAAAAAACTTAACAGAGCCGACGAATGGCAGGCTGAGAACGTGTTATTCATAGCTGATGCCCGTGTTACCTGGCGTAGTCGAGCAGTGAAGGTGCAGGTGTGCTCTAAGACCGTCATCACTCACCAACCGTACACTGCCGACGCTGAAGCATTGAAACTGTATATCCGCAACCAGAATAACACAGGTATTTTCTATACCTACCTCAGAAGTCCTGACAGATATATGTACGCATGTACCTGTTTAATGTACTGTATTCAATATGTATAGTTAAAGATTACATATATTTAAACCTGTTTTGTACGACTTGTATGATAGTAGGATCTAAAATATTATTTTATGTAAGTAGAAAGTGCAATTAAACCGAGGGTCCACCTAATTGTAAAAGGGAATCGTGACCCGAACACATAACACATCATGATGTTTTTAAAATAAATATAGTCCGAAATAAAGAGTCAGGGATTTCATATATTATTTGTAAAAAATATGTTAAATAAATAAATAATTATATATATTTGTACTTTGTGATTGATAGGTGTATAAGTAAATAAAGACATGATAGTAAGGAATCGTAAAATGTAATGTAATGTGAACTCTAATCTCCGCAATTAGTCTCTCATTTGGCCGTTGTGCGTGTAGAGCCGAGACTACTAAAGTAGCCAGCCAATCTCCTCCCAAAGTGCAGAATCCTTCTGGTGTCTTCACAGGCTTCACGGAGCGCCTCTTCGTTCCGAGGATTTGTGTTCATTGTGTGGCTACTGTTACGCACTCCAGGATTACGTGAGCGGTCGTTTCTTCGGTTTCAAAGCAGCCCCGACAAAGGGGACTTTTTGTAGCACCCATTTTGTACAAGTGTTTGTTTCAAGGACAATGGCCTGTTATTGTCCCTATCATTATTTTTAAGATTTTGCCTATTTAGGTCTAATAGACGTTTTGTGAGTCGTGGGTTTGTTACTGGAATCAACAGGAGAAGGAATCTACTTATTTCCTTTAAGCGATTATATACTCGTATACATTTATGAACTATTTACCCATTACATAGATTAGAATAGAAATAATTTCTATTGAAACAGTAGCTACTTATATTTTTATAATTGGTAATATACATACAAAACATCCGGATTTATAGAAAAAATCATGCTCATGAATACAAGTGTTATATAGTATTGCGCAGGGAATCAAACTCGCTACCATCGGAAGTGAACCGCTAGATTACCGTGGCCGTCAAAATATTTTTATTTCATAATTAGTATATATTACATTTTAATTCCTTCTTAAATTTAATTTTGATGTAAAGAAGTTTACTCGAGAGAGGCCGTAACGTTCTCCAGCTGTTTTCTTTTAGCAGTTTAGAATGAATAAATTTTATTAGGCGGCGGGGCGGCGGCTGCGTGGGCGGCGTGGAGTGGCGAACGGCCTTGTACGGCGTCGGTGGCGCAAATCCGCGACAGGCTCGCCACCGGAGCCCCATTTTGTGCCTCATTACACGCTACGGTGACTCGACTCAGTTTGGAAGATGTTTTCAGCGGGTAACTATTTATATATAATGTAATTATTTATATATAATACTGTAACATATATCAGTGAGTGTTCTGAGAGTGCGTTGCTGAATTTCACCATCGCACTCATCCGCCAGAAACTAAAATGCCATCCTAATCATCTGGATAAACGGTACGCCAACGTGCGGTTTTCCAGAAAGTTTTTCCAACCCACAACGACATTGTGGAAACACCTTCCAGCAATGTATTTCCCAACCGACACAATATTGAAGTTAGAAGAAAAGAGCTTATTCCTTCATAAAAGGCCAGCAACGCTCTTGCTGCTGTCTGGTCATACGCACCCCCCTAGGGAGGTAAGGGTTGGGGCCTCGGGGGCGAAACCTTTGCTCCGGCATATCTACTCCGTGGGCAACAACCTCCGGGTGGCTAGTACAAAGCCCCTAGGGCAAGTATACATAAAATAAAAAAGACCTACTTAAACTAGCTTACTAAACGTAGTGTGCACGCAACTTGCAAAATCCCTAGTTGCTTATAGGCGGCGCTAATTACTTACATTACACAGCCGCAAGCTATTTTACACCCTATGCCATAAAAATACTTTAAATTAAATTGTCCCATTGATCAATGATTTTGAATATGTTGTGCGTTGCCTCTCCTGCTTTGTACTTTGTATCTTGTAATTTCAATGACTTATAGGAGTCTGTCTGTATTATCAGGATATCTGTCCTACAACCTACACAGATTACAAATAAAATAATATGTACAAAATGATACCCGCCTGGTATCTGAAAGTTTTAAGACATATCTACACCTATAACGCGTGTTTCTAATGAAAATATTAATTATATATATAAATCTCGCATGTGACTTTTAGCATGAAAATATATTTTGTATGCTTTTAGTGATAACAAAGAAGATATTTTAATTAGTTTTGCGGATCATACTGGTGAACTCTCGGCAAGGCTTCCATTGACTACGCTTCCTGAAGTCTTTGGGTATTCTGTAAGAATGTTGTAACTTTCCTCACTTATGCTTCGCCTAAGGTACACAGGCAGGATGTCTAGTATAGGTACTATTTAAAATGGTAATTTGATATGAAACTCCCTATCTAATTGATAAAGTTTAAAGCGGATAGCAATCTACACCACCAAACCCACTTTCTAAATCATTTGTCAAAATCCACATACATGCGTACATAGATATATGTACGCATGTACCTGTTTAATGTACTGTATTCAATATGTATAGTTAAAGATTACATATATTTAAACCTGTTTTGTACGACTTGTATGATAGTAGGATCTAAAATATTATTTTATGTAAGTAGAAAGTGCAATTAAAGCGAGGGTCCACCTAATTGTAAAAGGGAATCGTGACCCGAACACATAACACATCATGATGTTTTAAAGATAAATATAGTCCGTAAATAAAAAGTTTAGGAACGATCATTTAAATATGCAAACAGATATAATCTTATTTTATTATTAGTATTCACGTATCTATTCTAGATGTTACAAACTAATAGATGTAATAATCGTTGTACCCTCATTCGTTGCTATAGCAACCGAAACACAACTTTTTACAAAGAATCCCGGTAAAATTGGGCTAAGTTATAATGTAGGCATAAACATTTTGGTAAACTAAAAAAACATTTTAGTAAATGATAAAATTGAGATGTTAACGAAACTTAAAAATACCAACTAATATCATGTGTATTTATCAGGTAAAACAGCTGAAGATGATTTCGTCAGATGATAGGGCGGCCCTAAATTGGAATTTCTTATTGGAGCAATGCAGCGCAAAACTTGCCTCATCGCCACCTCGTCTCATTGTGCTGACATTGCGGCGAGCCTCTCCCGCAGATCCTATACCTTTGTACTGAATTACATTTTTATAGATATTCATTAAATATAACTTCCATTAAAACTACATTTTATTTATATAAAGCATACAAGCCACATTACTCACACACCTGAAACAGAGTTTGGTAAATGATACATACGCCTATAATGAAATCGTATATGAGCCGCGCCAGTACATTCATTATTTTCAGAAAAAATATTTTCTGTTGTTTTCTGTTCATATACTCAGTAAAACCTCATGTTACCGAGATCAATATGATAACATTAATTTGTAATTTAAAAATTTTGTCTTAGAGCTAATCTCGAAAAAGATCTTTAGTAGAATTGTAAATTCAGTTTTAATTTATTTAAGTATTTGTTTAATTCCAAACGGTTAACAAACATAAAAGCTATCATTTATGTTATTGTAAAAACGCGGACGTAGGCAGGTACAATTAGTCTATAATAAAGTAGGTACATCACGCATGTCTAACAACCAACGCCATTGATCAAACTATGAAAGAAACAACGTCGAAAACTTCACAGGTCTTTGAAGCAAGCAATAAAGATAATAGAAATGTTCGTATATTAATAATTACATCTTAGTAAGTGTTTAAATATGGAAAAACAAGAAATCCCCGAGTTTATATACGAATACAAAAAACGTAGACGAGAATTTGGAAAGCAAGTTCTATTCACAGACCATGGACCAGAAATGTGTGTCAGCATACCAAACAATCCTCTATTGTATAAAGATTACATACTACGAAATCCTGTACATGTTGGCATACAGAATACAGGTACCATGTCAGAACATTGGGTTAATTCTGAAAGGTAGGTGCATGAGGCAAGTTTAGTTTGTGAATAGATGGCGCTGTGTCAAAGGTCATCAATGTTATACATGTAATAAGTGGCTTCTTCCAGAGCGGAATATACATGTTCGGGTATTACTCATGTAGAAGGTGGTTGGCCAAAAGACATAAATATGGCTGATCCCGAAGCTACGCAGAGATACAGACGCAAGATAGAAAAAGATGATGCGTACATACACGCAGTAATGCATCTCGGACATGTGTGTAATCGTAATTAAAGGTTCTTATTTAATCAAGAAGCAGATATTTAGTTTATAATATTATTTTGTATGGATATTTATGTTAAAACATTTCCCCCAATATTATTCCCATCGTTACACTTCTACCAGACGCAAATCTAATCACTTGTCCGCCCGTTGTTACCTCTTTGTCTTGTTTATAACTGTCTTCTTTATCATTTTATACAAAATTGTGTATGACACTGTATTTTCAGACAATAAAGAATTTCATTCATTAATTTATATTCCATGTTGAGTAATTATGTCAAGTCTAAACAGTTCACATGGCATGTTTATATATGACTTTCAGAGCATGGAACATAATATTCTTCAAAATAATGCAGTAGATATGTACGAGACTTATTACTCAGAATTGCCCTCAATACCTCCGGTGGAACGTAGTAGTTGCCATACGGTGAATGTGTACAGAGAACCCTCGGCCAGGAGGCCGGTGCGCTCGCTCTCCTGGCAAACAGATGGAGGCGCGCGTCTTGCTACCGCGCATGCTGATGTGGACCTTATGAGGAACAACAGAACTCCACAATACTCGTACATATGGGATATTGGTATGTAGGTATAGTCAAAGGATAAGAATATGAGATTTATATATTTCTAAACAAAACATAATATAACATTTTTTGTTTATGTTTTGCCTATAGAAAATGCCAATGCGCCAGAGTTAACCATAAAACCTCCTCAGCCATTATTGGATTTACAATATAATCCTCGGGATCAAAACACTCTGGTTGGTGGAATGATGAACGGCCAGGTATAACACACAGATTTTTTTATGTAGATAAAATGAAACATCCATTTATTACTAATAATATAGAAGACTGCTTTTGATATCTACTTGTCTTAGTACATGTCTGTTTTTTTTTCTTGGGGAAATCCGTACATACCTAATATAATTGACTGCATAGTATCTAAATATCTTCTACCTATATTACAAGATTCCGTACAACAACTCTAAAAATATTCACTCTTATTCAGTCTCCTGATTATTATGTGTAAAAAACATAGGTCGGTTGGTGGGACATGCGTAAAGGTGGGGAGCCTGTTGGAATTTGTCCTCCACATGTAGCACATCGAGATCTTGCACGCAACGTCCTCTTCATCAACTCCAAAATTGGAGCCGAATTTTTCTCATCGTCTCCAGATGGAGTAGTAAAATGGTAAGAAAATTGTAGATATTTTTACATATAGATAAATGTGTGATTAAATTAGGTAGGTACTCTGTCTAATACATTTTTAGGTGGGACACACGAAACATGAATGAGCCAACTGACTCAATGATAATAGATTTGGTGAAAGCACCGACTGATACGCAAAGTATAGAGAATGCCATCGGAATATCGGCGCTTGAGTACGAGCCAACAATACCAACTAGGTAATTAAGTGGACAATTTAATACAATTACCTGTTACTTGTCCAGTGCATCTAGATATGTTCGTGTTACTAGTAAGAACACATAGGGCCACATAGAATTTCATACAATAGTATTTATGTATATTATATATGAACAAGCTATAACTTGCTCGATTATTAATAATCTTTTAAAATTACTTAATAATAATGCCAAAATAAATATACATTTTATGACTATTCATTATCCATATTTTTTCACATTTTACAGATTTATGGTTGGAACTGAAACTGGCCTTATCATTGGAGGAAATCGAAAAGGAAAAAATGCAGTAGAAAAACTCCCAACCAGAGTATGTTATCCTAGTATACGTTTAAGAGTCATTTTATTTAAAATTCGTTTAGCTAATTCTACCCATCATCATATACCTGTAGTAAAATTTTCATTGCTACCAAACAGCTGCTTTAATTTAGGTGAATTGCTAATGTATAACTTACCTATTTTGACAATAAATCCAGCAGAAACATTATATTTTCAGTACGACGCCCATCTCGGCCCAGTGTATGCTCTGCAACGTAATCCCACATTCCTCAAAAATTTCCTAACCGTTGGTGATTGGACAGCTAGAGTGTGGAGTGAGGATTGTCGCGAATCATCTATCTTATGGACCTATTCACATCGCACTAAACTTACTGATGGCGCTTGGAACCCCATTCGGTATAACATTACATTTTACTTAATTTTACCGAGGTGCAGTTTGTACAGAGTCTTTTACGTGGGTACTTTAAACACCTATTTTAGCCGCCAAGCAAAGCGAATGCAAAAGTTTTAGCTATGTCAATGATTAGAGTATAAATAGAGCAATGTTTAAATAACAGATGGCAGATAAAAGTGTTACAGACTTATTAATATGTAGTTCATCATAAGATACCTTAGTCCTCCATAGATTCTACATCGTCTACATATCTATCCACGATGAAATAAAATGCATGTTTTTACGTTACCGTACGTTGCGTATTAGATATCTGTGAATCAAAACCTGTTGTATAGTTCTTGTTCTGTGCTCACTTTAACTCTGTTTAGTCTAACTCCGCTTTATACATTATAGATTCTCATTGCTGTTAATCACACAATGGGATGGTTGTCTCTCTTGTTGGGATTTATTAAGGAGACGAAGCGCACCGATCGTCACTGCCCAACTGTGCGATGAACCATTGTTACGTTTACGTCCACACGAAGGAGTAAGTTTTTTTTTAATTGAGGATAATTTAATAGTGCTCCGGTCTGCGCTAACGGTACACACTGAAGAGGTACCACTGGAGGACGATAAGATGAGCATGAAGTCAGGTTAGTTAGCCCCTCATGGCAAATTCGTCAGGAATTTATAACGACAGTTTCCATGGGGAACCGGAGAGGGGCGTAGAGGTCAAACTGACATAGTACATTGCTAGCAATGGGATCATTAGTCCACATTAGATATAAACTAGACATAAACACTAACTACTACTGTGTAGACACAACTTATCCTCAATCCATGAATGTTAATAAGAATGTCAGTCAGAATAATAGCGTCCGACCAAAATACTGGTGTTTTCATTTAGCTAGTAAATTTATTGAAATAAATTAACTGAAATTTTAATTATTCCATGTGTAAATAAATAAAATTACCGCAGTTTCACCATCAATAAGATAATCCGAGAAACTGCAGTAATTTTATTTATGTATACTATTTATAATTGCATTTTTTAGTATACGACGCAATATTTCATCCGTCGCTTCATTTATTTCAGGGTATACTGGTTGCTTGCGGTAGCAGTAAAGGAACTATATATTTGGCAGAATTATCACAAAATCTGGGTACGGCGGACAAAAACGATAAGCTACTGTTGACGAATGTGAGTAACATGAGTAGCTATGCCTCAAGAAATAATTTAACTAGAACATCGCATAACGCCTTATATATCTGAAACTAAGCGGAAACTGTACTTTACTGTTACCAAACAACTGTTATAAGCACCGATGAGTATAAATGTTTGTATGTAAGGTTTTGATATGTTGTTACGGGAATCATAGACATCACAAGACCGTAATGTAAATATTATTAATAGTATAATATTGTATATTTCAATAATCCACACCAATTTTTATCGAGTTTTATTGGTCGGTAGTCTTTATACTCGTCTAAGAGATCGCAAATCTACAGTGATTTATTGAAGGCTTAAAGTTATACAATCACTTTCAATAGTTACGTATATAAGTAAATAAATACAATTTATTACCTTGTCACGGTATCATTGCCCAATAAGCCAGTTACACTGATAGTCATGTTGAATTAAACATAATATAATTTATTGTATTGATAAATTATTAAGTATAAAAGTACTATATATGTACTGAATTGTAAATGTCTTTCTATCACGTCTAATGCTTAGTATCATTGCTGTTATTATTTTAGTTTAGCAAAGAGTATAGACCTTACTGTATAAGAAAATTCATATTCTGGTTCCTGCAGGACAGACCCAGCTTAGTGTAGGAATCAATATTAATGCAAACATATAGAAAAATCTGCAAATAAATAAATAATTATTATTTTGTATGGTAATTTTCAGATTTTAGAACGTGAAAATAAACGTGAACGCATTCTTGAAGCTCGTATGAGGGAGCTACGATTGAAAATGCGACAAGATCGTGACGGTGGACAACCGCAAACGGAAAACGACCCTAGCAGCTCGGATAGGGAGATAGAAGAAGCCACTGCAGAGTACATGCAAACTATAAACGCTTTGCAGGCGCAACAACCGCCTCAATAAATGGTGTAACTTACTTAAATTTATATCAAACTACATACTATTATAAACTAACTACTTTAAACATAAGATTATTAGAAAAAAAAATAAAGACAACAAAATCTGCCTTCACGAAGCCTCACATCATTTATATAAGGGATGAACAACACGCGTTCTGTGGGCCACTTGCGGTCATACATGTTTATGCCGCCCGCCAAGCATTTCTATAATTGAATTTATTTTTAACTATGTAATGATCTTTCTCCCATCAATATTTTGTTATAAAATTAATTATAGAAATATTTCTTTGTGACGAGTTATTTACTTGTCGGCATCTCATTCAAATTTGCAATACAAACGTTTTAACGCATTAAAATTTGTATAGGACAACTTAACTTTGTTTGAATTTTATATTGTTTAATACTAATGTTTATTATAATAAGTATATTACGTTACACGCACATTGATTAAAAAGAAAATAATTTGGCGTTCATTAAAGAGGTTGCTAACCCCTCATTTATATGATTAGCCTTATGATAACGCCTGTTACTTTTTCACAGCTTCAAATAGTTGAAGGAATATTAATGAAATTTGAAGTGAAATAAACTACTCTTGTTATAGTCACATACATAATTACATACATTGGAAATAAAAATAATGTTGGTACTTGATATCGACTAGCTACTTGGATTATCTAAAGAGAAATTGTTAATATATATGACAGAAACGAAACAACTATATATGTAATGTAACCACTTTAATGGCATGATTATCTTACTTACACATACATTTGATATTAAAAATATCAGTCACTTCTTCACACTATTACAAATACTTCTTAATAATGGTAGATATGCTTTGCCGTTACATACTAGACATTTGGCACAAGTCTATGATTGGAACGTGTCTTCTTTGTTGAACGCAACAAAAGACCAGCGATGCTCTATATTAGCGCCGACGCCAGTTGTGGCACGTTCAAACACGTCTGGGTGCTTCTGGAGAACGTGGTGTACTGTAGCTTGAGACACGTGCGGAAATAGAGCCCTAACGTAGGATACGACGTAATCCAGACTGGCGCCTTGTGGATGAACCTGGTGAGAGAAGTTTAATAAAAAAATCATAAACTCGAATTAGAATTACAAAACAGAATATACATAGGTTTAATTATTAATCTATGGTGTAGCGCGGTTGTTACCTCTTCACCACTATGGCGTTAGATATGAATGTGAAGAGATGCTGCTTAATATATTTGTATATTGTAGATCTAGGTAGTGAGTATACTGGTGAAATAATTGTACTATATATTGTATATTATAGTGTACTACTTGGTTTATCAGTAATCCGTACATTCGACGCGGAGTCGGGACATAGACTAACTTTACACAGAACTTAAATCTATGTTATCTTGAGAGGTACTGATGACTATGAGTGTTGACAGAAATGCTACAAGTATAGGCACAATGGGACATTTGTTATATTTTTGAAGCAGATTGTTTATTTTGATGAAACACCACACGCTTCGTACTTCGTACTAGCGCACACCACGTTGGCGGAGAACTTCCGAAGGATTAACTGATGTTAAAACCAGGTCACTAAGTCTAAATTTCACAATGTAGTTCTGATTTTTATCTATAGACAACAATGTTACAACAGGCCTGTAGACTCTTTGTATTTAGACATTAATAAGTTGTAAGATCAGTTTGTCTAATGTTTTGTGTCAAGTAAGCAAGTTTTTTCCATCCGTCTAAGCCATTTAAACCATTATTAATCAAAGTATTTTACTATTAACCTGTAGGAAAGCAGACATGACACCGATTAGCTTCGCTTCTCCACATCCAGCGTCAACCTGTTCTTTTAATTGTACGACTGTATCCATGTCATCAGGCAATGGTGGGGGTGGTGGTGGCTTCTCTATGGGCGACGGCAGAGGTGGCTATAGTAAAATATAACAAACATATTAATTAAGGTTATTCTATAATAATTCCAGTTTTAATAAACGAGTAATAAAAGTTAGATTCATTCAAAAATCTTGAAAGAAATTACTAACATACCTACTATACCAGGCTTGTTAAAATTGCATTCCAATAATAATAATTTTTTTTTGGCAGTCTCATGGACATACCATTTGGTTGTTATAATTAAAGCAGAGAAACTATCCAAGCCCAGCTAATAGTAGGCAATTTAAAAAAAGGTGTATTAAAATTACAATAATCATTTGATCATTAAAACACGGTATAACTTACGTTTTTCTCCATAGCACCTTGCAATGCTTGTCGAGCTATAAATTGAGCCTTGAACTTTTCCATTTCTTTTTGTGCATCTGTCTTTATAACATCAACTTCATTTTTATAAGCTTCCAGTTGGAATCGCAAACTCTCATTTTCACGCTGTAATAACATTTACAAATATATTTAACTCGTTATCACAGAAATAATGATATATAAAAAATATGAGCAATCTCTTAGATGCAATTTGTAATGAGTTTTAATAAGTTTACTAAATTATCATGTTCCTAAATCATGTCATGGTTCCATATCTAGTACAATTATAATAAAGTTAATACCAATAATAGTTGATATTCTTCACTCGGATTATCCGCAACTTTTGTAGAAAAGCCGTTAAATTCAGTTTCCTCATTAAAGAACTTCTCATTAAATTCTTCTTTCAATGAATTAAATTCCTGAAAAATTTCTTTATTTAATAATATATAGCAAATAGTAGGCATCCGAGGTATGTGATACAATTACACCTGTTACCTGCAACAGCTGGCCACTGGATCATTTCTATTGAGTATAACTTACCTACTCATTTCATTACAAGTTCACTTAAAATCATTATCATAACATGCATCAACGTTTATTTTCTCTAGAAATACATACACCTTTTTTATAATTATAAAATGTAGCAAACAGATACTGAAACATAACTTCATTAGAATAAGTCTTCTATTTTTAATGAAATTGTAATGAACAGATTTTGCCTTAGTAACGGTTGTTACTCATAATCATGTTAGTGTTATTTATATGTAGTCAATGTTTTACAAAACACCGTGACATAATGTACCTGAGTCATTTTCTGCCATGTTTCAATATTCTTCCGCTGTGGTTTCGTAAAGTGATCCCACACGCGCTGATGGGCTGCCGCTGTAAACACTTTCGCCACCTGCTCGACTGAGGTTCACAAATAATTATGTTAAGAGCGTCGTAAGTCCGCAATGAGCAAACGTACCGTCGTCATTCGCGACCGGTCGACCCAGGCTCTCAATACGGTTGGCGGAACATCACGTGTTGCGCTCTACGTCTACCGACGGACTCCGCGTGTCTATGCTGTAGTGAGAGGCTGGCACGCTGGATCTCGTGTCCGAGGCGTGTCTAGAGACACATGACAGTGTGTTGCCACACAGAGAAACCAGAAACGTTCTGACAAATATTTTTTCAATATACTCCGAAATAATTAACTTACATTACATTTCATTGTTTGCCAACAGGACACAAAGTTTACAATATAGCAGATAAGAAAATATATTCGTCAAAACATTTGCAACTTACATAATACTCCCCAATTTCTGGAGCTAAGGGCATTTTTACACTATACTTAAGAATTGTAGTCTGCAGACCACGGCAATCCTTCGTTTGAGTCACTACTGAGGCATGAGATAGAGCAGAGAGTGACCAAATTAAATAATAATGTCATTTTAGCACAAGAAAATATAATGAGTTCTTCAAAATGTGATAAGTACTTTTATAAATTTCATTCTCTATTATGTTTTGCATTTAGTAGATTTTCGTAGCATTTTTATTATTGTTCTGTATTCAAAATCGACATAACCAATACCAGCGGTATTGTGGACTTTTGAATATGATTTGTGAACAATTAAGAACATGAAATAAAAAATCCCATAAAATTTCATATCATAATCTTACTTGCTGCATATATACTTCTATTCCCACCAGTTCAATTACATAACCATAAAAATTCTAAAAACTTAGGAATGGAAAGATTTCTTGAAAAATATACAAAAACAATTATTAGATTAATAATAATAAAAAGAGATCTTATATTCGTATTTGTATTTAGTGACAAACAAATCAAATATTAGAAATAGATTACTAGCGCAAGCATAAATTCAATGAAACAATAATAGATTTATCATGGGAGTTATCCCTCAGCTTGATTGCCAAACATAAATAAAAGTATATTTCATAAAATAAATTAAAGATAAATAAAATCGGCAGTCGTTTTGTCTCCTTGACTGTTGACAAATACTGTCTATGTTTCAGCAACGCCTGGATAATGTTTTCATTAAGAAAACATTGTGACAATACCTTACCTTCAAATTATTTCGTAATTATGTACAAAGTCAGTATTTCCATAAATATTTAAGTCCACCAATGATCCTGGTCACCAATGGTCCATCAATGTACTGATCCATAACTACAAAGAGTTTATATTGTACTCACGTTGTTCAATAACTTTTTCAATATGATTTTTCACTCGTTCTTTACACTCTTGGAGTTCCTCTTCAGCTTGCATTTTTTCATTAAATAATCTCCGTATGTGTGAATTAGTAGCACGAATCATAGAATAAAATTGGTTTGCATTCTTTTTAGAACATTCACCACGTTCCAACCAAGCAATAAGTGTCTGAAAAAAAATGTAAGGATATATTTTATAAAAAGAAATTGAATTATATATAAGACTTAAATATCTTCTAAAGAAATATGTGAAAGGTAATATTAAAAAACAAATAAGATGATGAAACTCATTCAATCTTGTCCTATACTTACAGGTAGAGTATTTGAAAAATGTTCTTCATTTTTTATTTTTTCCACTAATTGAACAATAGCTGCATTAGAAAATGGCTGAATTCTGACTGGTGAAGGTGATCGCCGATATGGTGCAGCTACACTGCGAGTGGCCAGCTCTTGCTGTGCCGTCAACTGTTGCATTTGTGCTTGCTGTGCACGCAGAGCCTGACGTTGGCGACGCTCATATTCATTTTGATCATCTCGACTCTAAATATGGTCAATTATTAAGAAAATTATAATTAAGTTTATTAATTATAGTTAGATAAATACAAAATAAACTCCATACTATTTTCTGTAATTAGCCTTCTATTTCGGTTCTTGAAATGGATTTTTTAAATATTTACTATATTTTTGGTCAGAAGTGCTAAAATTTCATGATAAAGTATTAACTATTACTATCATAAGCGGCATAACATAGTGTCAGTCTAAAAGATATGCTAAACCCTGCAAATGTGTATTTGGACATAAATCTAGACACGCGGCAGCGTGTCAAGCCGAGTTTCAAGTAAACTGGCTTGCAGCACCGTGTGTATATTTACACGAACCATTTGGAGCCACTTTTGACCCCCTCATAACTCAAAAACTCTTTCACACAAACCTGTCAAATTTGGTTCATATATTGAGACTTGCGAGATAAATATGTGTTCCAAATTTCATAAAAATATCTCAAACGGTTATTTAGATATTAATGTCCAAAAATCGTCATTTTTATCACTGATCAACTATAGATCAAAATTATAACCCACTTCCAGATGACCTAGGAAGTTCAAATTTGGCATGCAGATAGGTAATTAGTTGAATATAAAGGAAAAAATCTGAAACTGGTAAATTGTTATCATTTTTCTACAATTTTTCACTTTAATTGATTATATTTCAACTTATACTGGACGAATACTAAAATTCTATGAAAACGTCGATAGCCACCAATTGACATTGATCCCTGGCGAAAAATTTCATCTTGTACTGGACGGAAAGTAATATTGTATGAAAACGTCGATCATTACCAATTTACGTTGACCCCTTCACATCAGTGTCGATAACTAGCAAACTTCAAATATTGCATTGAGCGGTAAACACTAGTTGCTATAATTTAGATTCTGTCTAAAATATACTCGTACTTATAACTAGGAGTATAGTCGAATTTCGTATTTATTATGTTATTAACTGAGATTTGGTATTAATTATTATTTCAATATTTAGCGCACATCGATAGTGTAAAATCATTATTTTTATAAATAATTATTAAATAATAGACATTTCGGTATAGGGCGCCGCGGCGCCGTGTGGGAGCGGTGCGATAAAACGTTGACGCGAACCTGTCCGAGCGAATGGCAGCCGCCCTCATATGTCTCAATGTTTTGTTTCTCGATATCTAACCTATAAGGTTGCGATTTATGCTACGAAATTTATAGCTTTCTTAAATTATACTTATATATTTGTGGTTATATTATTATTACATTATTTTAGTAAATACGTATGGTATATATAGACAATAGTTTAAACCAAAAATTAATAACAATTTTAGTATAGTTATAAGTAGGAATGTATAGTTAACTCGAGAATGAGAACTCATTGGTAACAAATTGTTTTCTTGAGAATTCAATAGATAACAGTCAATTTGTTACATAATCGTCTTTACGAACTATAACGTGTCAATACGAAGTTTCAGATATTAAATAATGTATATGTTGAAAGAGAACAATTCCGTATTTGCTTAACATATGCTATTACTATCCACAAATCACAAGGCCTTAGTTTTGGCAGTCCTCTTCTCAACATAGGCTCCTCCATATTTAATAAAGGGCAGGTTTACGTTGGACTCTCCAGAGTTAAAACCTTAGATAGGGTACGTCTTAACAATTTAGATCCAAGTCACGAGAGCTCTATTGTAGAGAGAGTACAACCATCTGTGGACGTTATACCGCCCCGATTTGCCCAAAAATTCCTGATACTGAATTGGCTTTGGACTTCAACATTTAAAAGTTACAAGAAAATATAGAAAATAACACAAAAAAAAAGACAATTATACCCCGTAAATATACGAAAATACAGTAATTTATCAAAAATAATTTGGTATTAATTTAGTTATAAATATGTACCTAGTATAATTTATGTACAAAAAGTAATGATATCCCATCAAAAACATAAATGTGAAATGATAGCAGAGTTTAATATTATGATATATGCCTTGATTGTTGACTTCTACGACAAGAGATGAGATCTAAATGAGTGCCAAGTTCAATGGTCTGTCCTGAAATGTATTTATAACAATAGAAAATATCATTTCTTCTTATAACTTAGGATAATATACTGTAGCCTAAGGTCTAACTTGGCTAGTTTTCATATACGAAATATACTGTAGCCTTCGCAAGTTCTAAACATGTTACTTGTCGGTTCCTATTTTAATATTAATAGTAACTAGCAATCGAAAGTAATAATTGGTATATGAGAACTGGCCAAGTTAGACCTTAGGCTACAGTATATTATCCTAAGTTATAAGAAGAAATGATATTTTATATTGTTATAAATACATTTCAGGACAGACCATTGAACTTGGCACCCATTTAGATCTCATCTCTTTTGTCGTAGAAGTCAACAATCAAGGCATATATCATAATATTAAACTCGGCTATCATTTCACATTTATGTTTTTGATGGGATAATTTATTCCAGAATAAGATCTGTTGTAGAAGCTAAAATAGGCCTACAAAATTACATTCTGTGATCATCAAGGGATTGTTCATGTCTGGAGAGAATTATTACCAACTTCAATATAGGAAGGTAACTTCAGTTAAAGATAGTAAAAATAGGAATCAAGAAATATATTTACCAAAGCATAGTCTACATGCAACCAGCCTGAAGTTGCATGAGAATCATCATCTTCTTCTTTTTCATCTTTATCTTTGCTTATCAATTTGATACGATAACCAGATAACTGCATAGCTGCATGTACAGAGCTTTCACGATCGAATCGTATGTGACAAAAATCTTTTTTTGAGAGTCTTAAAGTATGAATCCTCCCATACGGTTCAAAAATATCTCTAACTGTACTCTCTCTAATTTTTTCTGGTAAACCACCGACGAAAATAGTACGACAACCAGGAGGTTTCGCTCTTCGCGGCGACTGTGGTGTGCCAGCTGTTGGCGGAATTAGTTTGCAATGTTTAAAAACAATTTCCTTCTTTTCCTGAACTGCGGATATGTCACTGCCCATGTTAGAATACATTCCCATCATTGAAGGATCTACCACCATACCTCCCATCATACTTATATCAATGGGAGTTGAGCCTGTTGCTGGAATGGCTTGTCCTGCCATTGAAGATATGTCCACTGTTGAAGGAGACATTAATTCCATTCCAGTACCTGACATCATGTCAACAGTAGAGGGTAGCATGCCTCCAGCCATCATTCCAGACATCATCATATTGGGATACATCCCACCAGACATCATCATATTTCCTGAAATATTAAAGTCCTACATCATATCTATCCTGACACAAAATATAGGTGCAGAAAACCATAACTCAATACTTAATAGTAATTACAAATAAAACATGAGTATTTACACTTTGTATACCTTTGAATTTAACACTATTTAATAACAAATTATCAATATTATTGTCTTTTATTTTGACAAGCGGAAAAACTGTAATCATAATTACTCCAAACAATTCACATAACACCGTCTAGTTCAAAATACTTAAAATGTACCTAATACAAGGATTTCTTGAAGTCTTTTTTTACTTTAGATGGCTATAAAGTTTAACAGAAAACTTTTCCACAACATATTTTTAAAATTTACTTATCTTCATTAGTTTCCCCTTAGTGTCTTTAAATTAAACCCAAAAAAACATTGTTATGTTTATATAGTTTCATAATTAAAAAGATCCTTATATTCCATAATAGAAAAATAAGGGGAGCTTATTGTTCCTTTAACATGAATAAACTATTATTTTCACCACTCCACAATTCTTCTTAATCATTCACAGCTATAGTTAGTTTTTACTGTACAGTGAATCAATAACAAATATCACTAAGAACAAAAACATCCTACATTACCTTGTGAGTACATGTTTGACATCATCATCTGATTCATAACATTAGACATATCATTTCCAGTTTTATTACTATCATGATTCTTTGTGTCTCTTCTACGGCTGTTACTATCCACCCTCATTGGTGAACGAGACCTATCTCTTCTATTTCCTGCAAAAAAACAAACAACTATATTAATAAATTATAATTTGGAGTATTTGATATGAAGATATAAGTATCATTAGGACAAGACTAAATTGTGGATAACAACTAATATTATATATCTGAAATTGTAGCAGCTTCTCTTCTCTCTTAATAGTTAAATGGCTGCACAGATCATAATGAAATTTAACATAAGTATTACAATGTTGTGGTGATGTAATTTTACTATGTAACCATAGCTTGAGTAAAAGTCAATGTAATTAAGATATTGTACAAATGTTTATTTATTTATTTCAACTTTAATGAACAAATTTAATACATATTAATGGGGAACTTAACTTAAGATCTTATTGTTTTAAATAACATTAATATCACAATGACTAACATTATTAGTTATCAAACATCCATCAACAACAAAACAATCATAACTATTACCTATGTTTACTATTTTTTATGATAAAAAGTTATAGTATATAATTGACTACAGAGCAGTGTTTCATGGGGCCCACGTCCAGTTCATATAAGGGGCATAAGAACATGGAAAAGCTAAGGTAGCGCAAAGCACACAAACGTTTAGGAAACATTGCTATATGAAGTCGCCAATTTGTAGTAGAATGCAAGATTCCATGTTCATAAACGGATGAAATGTAGGAAATTCGTTTCTATTCATCTTTTAATAACAAGATTTGTGATTTATGTTATTAAAGAGATTTGTGAAGTACTGATAAATACTTATAGTTTTAAAGAACTATTTCGTTATATTTTAAACTTACCAGACATTTTATTTTCTGATATTTTTCACAATTTCTGTTACAAATTCTAAAAATATAAATTACAAAATATTCAATAACTGAATTATTGGTGCAAATTATTTTGGATTTATTAATACACGTTGAATGTTTTATGGCTAATTGCTAAGTTAAAATTACTTGGAATATAACAAATTCACAAGATAAATCACAGATCAGACCATACAAGTACAAGTACTCTGTGTATATGTATATATAATTTGTGTTGTGACACAGACGTTTTAATTTTATGCATTTTGTACTGTGTTTACAAGCTTGATAAGACAAAGACTTTGTTTAATTTAATGCAACTTTGGTTATTGCTGTTGTGCCTTAAGTAAGTAGCAATATTGGGTAAAATAATTATGTAGCATGGAGTTACACAGTATATAATCCAACAACTTTACTCTTAATAAAATAAACTGTATTTGATGACTAGATTGTAATCACCATCACTGACTGTCAAAATACATAAACGTCAATGTCAAAGTCATAATTGTATTGTGGACATTTAACCATAATAATATAACCTAAAATTATTGTTCAATTATAAGAAATTTTCTAAATTATTAATTACGAACTGATTTCTGCATCACTTAGCTAACCACAGAAATTTCAGCCATTATTCTGAGCTTTCAGCCAAACAAAAACAACCAGTGATATGTATTTTTTAAAATGTTTGTTTTAGCCGAAATGAAAGATGTCATTCGTGTTACTCCAGAGCATTTTCATCAAAGTTTAACGGAATCTATCACAATATTACTTAACCGAAAATTAGCTAATAAGGTATTTCAATCAAAATAATTCGCCATTTTGTTAACTATATTTTAATATAAATTAAATTAAATTAATATAAATTAAATTAAGTCAATTTGACAAAGAGAACAGTTTGAACTAATTAATGAATTTGTGAGCTTCTGACTAGCATATTTGATTCTAAATGCAATCCTCTACTATGGTTAAGTATCAACACCACTGACAACCTCCAAAGATGCAGATGTTATAATGGTCATTAGTACCTGAAATTGAAGCCTATTGTTTATGATATTTTAAATTATAATATTATAGATTATTCAAATTTAATATACTCAAAATTTGCATGCCCGTAAATCGGGGCAATTAAAGAGTTGCCAATAATATTATTACATGGACATATTACCGAATATCTAACTGAATAATACGGAAATAAAATTTTCATTTAATTCCTTAAGTATATATTCTGTTTATGCTCCTTTTGTAATCCATATCTTGAAATTTTAATTTGTAGTGTTTCTTAATACACTGCACACTTTTTTTCAGGTGGTATTAAATGTTGGTCTATGCATAGCTCTTTTTGATATTACTCATATTGGCCACTCCTATATATTCCCAGGCGATGGTTCATCTCACACAGAAGTAAAATTTAGATATATTGTATTTCGCCCTGTGGTTGAAGAAATTCTCGTAGGCAAAATTAGAAGTTGTAGTAGAGAAGGAGTTCATGGTATAGTATTCAATGTTAATTCCATTCTATTTGTACTGTTCACTGTATTATTACTAGTAACCAAAAGGTACAGAACTTATACTTTAACTTAGAATAATGTTAAATAACATTAATATCACAAGTATATTCTAAGTTATATAATATGCTACTTACTCAACAATCAAACTCAATGTATTTTTTTTATTTTCAGTTACATTAGGCTTTTTTGATGATATTTTAATACCAGTCAATGCTTTACAACACCCATCTAGATTTGATGAAAATGACCAGGCTTGGGTGTGGGAGTACCCTAAAGATGATGAAAAGCATGACTTATTTATGGATTCAGGTACTTAATACATTTCTAAAATAGATGGAGAAGAGAAACAGATTTCATTTAAAAATAATGTGTGTGTGTGTACTAACACAGTACATTCTTTTTAAATGAAATCTGTTGGTTTAGTTTATAATTTGTTTTGTTTATATATTGAAACAATTACATCTTAATTAATGAAACTGCCATTCCAATTATATAAAAAAAAATGTTTACTGGACTCTTAAACTCTCTTAAGTGGATTGTGTAAATACCTATTAATACAAAGTATCTAGTTGTGATTATCTACAAGTAGTCTATATATGTTTTACAGGAGAAAATATAAGATTTAGAGTAACAAGTGAGGCATTTGAGGAAAGTTTGCCTATGGGACCTCCAGGAACTGAACATGCAGTGCAAACTGTTGCTCCTTATAAATTAATTGGTGGAATTAATGAGCCTGGACTAGGGCTTCTGACTTGGTGGGAAGCACCGGAACAGGATGATGGTGATGACAATGATGATGAACAAGAAAATGATGAATAAAATGTTGGAATTTAACATTGTAATTTTATTTTCATTGTTAATAATATCAGATACTTGTCTCAATTGCTTTACTGACTAACAGTCAACAGATCTATCATTATATATCTTAAAATTGGCTTGTGTTAGCACATTGTAATTTGGAATATAGTTTTTTTTATGACGGGGCTCTGGGGTAAGATATTTATTTAGACTAAGGAATTCCTACAATTTTCGAGGATACATGTGGTAACACACAGATTAAACCATGCTAAAAATAATAAACCAATTAGAGTTCAAACTCATAAAAACAACAATTATCATTGCAACAATATAGTTTAATATTTTTTTTAACATTTTTTTATGCTCGATCACAAAATACAGTCATTATAGATAATATAATTTTGTATACCATATACACATACATTTTGGCCTTTGTCATATACATTACATATATGTATCATTTTCTATACTGATATAATTATTCATGTTAATAATAAAGGCTTTATCATTTTATTTCATATATTTATAAACCTGACCAAGTTTGATATTGATAATAATAAATTAAAACAATAAATTTATGATCTCACTACTGAATTAACTAGAGTTACAATAACTGTACAAAGAAATAGACATTAATCACAATAATATAATTTGTTCAATTCGACTTACTAGCACCTGGAACTAAAACACAATAACTCCTATATACTATAATATAAATAATAATATATGTAGATCTTATTACCTAATAGCAAAAATATGCTGCAACATTGGTAAATATTGAATGACAGCCATTTTCCTTAATATTGATATGATAATAATATATTACTGAGATCATTCATAGGCATATTGATAGATATTATAATTTATCACTATGTAAGCATATCCCCATTATGCAGGGTATGTTAATAAAAAGTTATGCAATTACACTATCCAGTGAAAAATTTCCTTATTTTGTCATTTTGTTTAATCATCGAGCCTCATATAGTTTTTAATCTTCAATTCTCATCGTCCTCCATTCAGTTACAATGTTATCTGAACTACTATCCACAAATTTTAATTTGGTAGAATACTTTGTTTCGTATTTTCCCTACTTCCTGTAGTACTTTATCGTACAATATATTTTTATTAAAGTAATAATATACTTTGGAGTATGCTGCTATTAGTGTGCTCTTTGCTACCCTAATTAATTGTTATTTATTTCTATGTAAGTTGTGTTTCAAAGATATTTAATTATAATTTATAAACAACGCACACATAATTGCATTCAGAAGGTATGTAGCTATGTAGGTACCTATAAGACGCAATCCCTAATGCATATCTAATATTAACTGTATTGCTTTAATATTTAGATTTCAAGCAAAGTACTGATTCACATAGGCACCTATGGTGATTATGTTACAACAGCGTAGTGTACACATTCACTTTTAATGATAAAAAGTTCTTACAGTCGCGCAGTAATTTAAAGGGGAATTTATTCAAAATATTACTAAAAATTTACATGTCATAGTACATTGACATGTATTTTAATCAAATGCTAGGATATTCTATATCAGTTTAGTTATTACTTGACGTCTGAAGAAAGTAGTTGTAGAAGGTAACAATAGTTTATTAAAATGTTGCAAGTTTGTCCTGATTAAAATATAAATTTAATCAATTTATTACATCGTCGTCTATTTCATAAAATGATCGCGCTTTCTTATAAATCTATATCATTTCTCTTTTATCAAATTCAGATTATTATTATTCACTTTAGTCAAAACTACGCGGTTACTGGTTATGCATTATTTTTACTGAAATGACCTCATAATATTTAAGCATATTATGAAATAGTCCTACAATTGGTGGCCCATAGATGTATAGGAATACGTGGTGGGCGTACGGTTTTCCGTTACGATATCAAATAATACCTGTATAGATGATTACTACACAAAAATTGGAAGAGTAGGTATGGGAGAAAAACGACGGAGGGTTGGTCTAACAAGTTTAGATGGTAGTGATTTGGTGGTGCATTTACTTGAAGGTGTACAAGAGGTCGGAGTTGGTGAAATGGTGCGCGTTGTTCACATGCGCGATGAGGCGACCGTCGAGCAAATGTCGGCCGTACAATACGGCATCACGGTCGTCGTGTGCGAGCCCACATCGCTGCAGCCAGCGCACTAAGCACACACCGCGAAACGCGCCACGGTACGTACGCATGCGCCACCTGCATCAGTCAACCAATCTTGAGGGAAACTGAGAGATATAGTTTTTTAATATTTTTTTTTGTATCTTCAGTAGAGATTTCACCATCACGCTAATGACATATGATGGCAGGTTACTAATGGAAAATAAAGGATTTTATACAAAAATAACAAACATTGGATTCACGCCTATTTTGATGTTTTTTAGCTATGGTTGCAATGAAACGTCAGTGTTGCAGTTATGGTATTCGTACAATATGCGCAATGACTATCGTGAATGGACTGCACTGTCTCTGTAAGCGTGACTAATGGTCACGCTTAAAAAAAATTAAAAACTCGACCAAATTTAACCATCTCTGAAATCTATAAGGCGGGTAGTAATCCAATATGATAGCCATGATGCAGTAGACTGTATAATTACCTGGTATCTTTTGCTATAGCTTCCTTGCATCTGTCTAAGTGATGCGTTATAAATTGGTCGCATACATGTTTAGTTTCAAAACTCAGATCTTCTACAGCTGGCAGTACCACTGTGTCTGCACCATGCCTAAAATATTTTTAAATATTAAAATAATAGTAGTCGTAATGACTATATTTTACGTAACGTATATTTTAGTCTTCTGTAAATTGTATGATGACATGATATAAATTCACAGACATAGATCTGTCATAAAAATACGTATATTACCATTTCTTCCTGAAATAATGAACAGTGGGTATTAATATTTCATCGGGATCAAGACCAAATAGTATAAATACGATAAGTACTTGTCCATAGTTGGTAGCTATATCCAAAAACTCAATTTCCACAAATACACCACTTTCATCTTTTAGCATCATCCTCCAGGTCGTATAGGTAATTCCCTGAAAATATTTAAAGGGCTGTGAACACACTTAATCATATCAATATTTGTTACATTCTCCTTTCACTCCTACTTTCTGTAGACTATTCTGTAAGAACTTGTGTTTTTTTGCTATCTTACTATGCAATCTTTGTGTGCTATCTTACTATGCAAAATAAATTACTGTGACATCTATTGGACTGCATTTAATTCAGCGCTTGCTTTATGCCATATCACCGACCTATTGCATCATACCTGCACTTGCAGAAGTCCCCCATATTTTAGGAAGACCAGAATCAATATCAGTTATAAAGTTTGCAAATACAAGAATGTTGTATATTTAAAAATGTTGAAAGTTTAATAATAATTACTATAAACATGCTGAGACTGTACACGATGATAAGAACAGTATGCTTGAGTAACTGCCCGCCACGGCCTCTCGCCTGTTCTGGAGGAAGCAGCCCCAGACGACTGGCGGCACGTTCAAGCTCACCCATATACGAGCACGGCTCGCTCGCATTCGCCGCCAAACCACACCGGTGCCGTTGGGACAACGGACACGCGCAATCCCTGTGAAACGAACTATAATTAATATATATATAGTGTTTGTTACACTAGGTTCAGTTTAATTATCGTAGATTAATCATAACGCGACTTTGTAACTCCAATACTAGGCACTTAATATGGAAAGCTTTGATTTTTTAACGAGCAAGTGTCTCTTGTCTCTACGCGAAAATATACATTCTTAATATATATATTATAATTATATTCACATTAAATACATTTTTAGGTATGTTCATTAGAAATAATGTTAACAAAGGAGGGCTAATCTCTAAAAGAAATCTGAAGTTCTGGGTGGGCCAAAATATGCAAGTAATAATTTAATTAAAATGTCCTAAATAATTAAAACGAAAAAAATATATAATGTCCAAAATACAATTATCAATACAATATAGTAATATATAATACGCACTATGTACTTGTATCTATATATCTTACAAAAAAACAGTTTAACTATGAATTACACGTTTTAATCACAATTGAAAGAACCTTAACTTAATTTACAGAATTGTTTATTGTTACTATCAACTCACAGCGAAAACTACAACGTACGAGAAATTAAAATTTGCAATCTAGACTCGGATAGATATTTAACGGTACCACGCGTGCGAAGCCGTGTGCAATAGCTAGTTATTTAATTATAGTGGTCACGTTTTCTAATAAAAATTTACTCACTTCAGATCATTAGCAATGTCTTCAATGTCATGGGAATTTGTTGTAGCGTTTTCGCAATTAGGATCATTGGAACAACAGTCGTTTGTATTTTTGCTGGGCGATGGCGTAGCCGTTATGGTGCCATAACAACCTGCAAACCAATCAATCTGTATTTATATTTGTTACTAGCTGTTCTCGCAACTTTAAATAATTTTTCTAAAATAAAAGATTTTTTCTGAAATTAATGTAGCCTAAGTTACTCCTTATTACATCAGCTACCTGCCAAAAAAAGTCCCGTCAAAATCGGTCCACCAATTTCTTAGATTTAGCGGAACAAACAGACAGACAAAAATTGTAAAAAATGTTATTTTGGTGTATGTACCGTATTTATATTCATATGCATATAACAGTTATTTCAATATTACAAACAGACACTCCAATTTTATTTATATATCTAGATGTATAGATAGCGTAATGATACTATAGTCTCTACGGGATTCTCATAAAGATTTCTAAATCTTCCAAATAAAGGATATAAACGTTTTTTCGTATATTAAAATAGCAATGTCGGGCAATGGTGTAGTGGTTTAGCACACCGCCTCGCTTTAAATCCGCAGGTTGGATTTTCTAGCACGATGCAATTTTTTTTATTCGTGAGTATTCGTGTTTGTGTAGGTCTGGGCGTATTTTATGTATCTACATACAAGAAAATAGTGAGTTCTGTAGTACCCATAACACAAGTTCTGCAAATCTGAGGAATAGATGGGATTATTATTAATTAAAGAATTTATTCAAAAAGATTTATAACACTGTATATCCGTGCAAAGTCATGTTAGGTGGCTAGTAGTATTGTAATATTAATGGAATCTTACCTGGTTCATCTATAACGTAAGCATAAAAAAATACAAATGTTATCAATAGGTTATAAGCTTCAATTTGCTTTCATAATCGAAAGTGTATTCATATTTAACTACTATCTCTTTCTAGCCGAGGATAATTAGTCAACAAAACACAAGGAACAATGGCAAGTTATTATACTCATTTAATTATTGCATACTTAGTTCCATACAAAATTATTATAAATGTGAAAGTGTGTCCGTCTCTATATTACTACAAATGAACAGAAGAACGGACTTTAAAGAAATTGAATGCGACGAAAAGATTGTATCACGTGAATATCAATTATCTCAAGCAAAGTAGACAAATTACAGGGTGCGGGTATGTAGTATAATATGTATACTAACTTTATTATTTATTGTATAGAAATGTACCAAAAATTCGGCAATACATCAGGTTATCGCTCCATCTACTGAAGGAGCATGGGGTGTTATGGTATAGCTGTATGGAGCAATCACTAAAACATATGGTTATTACGTAATATATTTACCGTTTACAGAAAGGGATTGCGTGTGTGATGTAGGTTCAATATTCTCAACGAGGCTAGTAGACTCGTCCGGTGGACTTGAACCTGATACCTCAGCAGAAAGGGACGCAAAACGAGCACTGCGTCGACGGAATCTTATGTACACCATCAAACAGCCAATGGTGACTAGAATAACATATATAGAATTATAAATAATTTAATCGTTCATAATTTCAATATTGACCAAATAAGCATAATTTTGAGTATTAAATACATTTAATATTCTATTCATTTATTTATTATAATAATTTGTCAAATATACTACTTTTTAAACTTATTTTCTATAAGAAAATATATAAAAGCCGGGTCCGTTATTTCAGGCAATATAAGACAATAATTATTACATATATACCTGTGAGACAGAAAACAAGGAGACATAATCGTATGGCATCGGTGGCCTTGGAGTCCAGACTGCCTTTGGTTAAGAGTAGTGCGGCCAGCATTACACCAGGCGCCCCCCACGCTACGAAGCCCAACACTGGCCACAGCGTGACTACGAAGCATGGTCCCCGACTCTATTATTTTTTAAATTCTATTAATGTGTTATTAAGTGCAAAAAGGATAAAAAACCGGTGTGTGTGAGAGAGAGAGACCGACAAAAAAGGACAGACAACGATATTTACATTTGTTTAAATGTAATGTAGGGATACTATTACCACTACATTAAAATACAGAAAATTAGAAAGTAATTCATTTAATTTAATATAAAAGAATCATAAATTTTTTTCACACTGAATACCATACATAGTTAAATCAGATTGTTTACCTTTCGGCAAATTAGGATTTCATTGTTAATATTTTTGTCATGCTTTGTTTGAAAAAACTTAATAAAACACTAAGAAGACATACTAATATACGTTATCGCAAACAATATTTACAATAAAATATTTTATATATTGTATTGTATATGAAGTTCGCGGTTCAGAAATATAAAATGTGTATTACCTCTAACATCAGAAGTCCGATGGAAAGCATTGACGTCCATAATAAACATGAATACATGCTAAATATTCGTAGTGATTCTTGTAATGTAGAATACCATGTTGACTTCATGTTGGGAAGTGGACCACCCCAAATTACACTGATTGCTAATAATAACTGAAAATATAATCAATAGTTAGTATATATATATATATATTAATATATAAGTTTATTACTTGTTATTATATTTAATTGGCATACATGTTCTTAAAAAAACTATTCTATCATATATTAAAAATTAATATATCTAATATATAATAATAATTAACAAATCTTCTATTGATTGACTTTACCAACATAATATAAACTGAAAAAATATAGTTATAATTTCTCCCTATTTGTCTAACCTCAACGATTAAACCCACTTGGGTGCAGATTTTTTAAACTTAATGTTTGATATCCCAATCTGTTTAAAAGACCAGATCCCGGCATCGGCTTCTACATATTTCTATTCTCATCTATTATATTGTTAATAGCTGATACCAACAATTTTAAATATCATACAGTTCAGCTGTGATATAAAAGGTGTGGTAGAAAAAGTGTATAGAGAATCATACATTTTATTGTGTCAGTTATAAACATAGAGTAATATATCTTATGTATAATGTGCAATGAAGTATAAATAATAAACAAATAATATCAGACATAATGGATAAATACCTGGGATGTGATCAAACATAAAGTCAATCTATGCGGCATCCGTTTGTATTTCTTAGTAACTGTAAATACAAACAAAATCCAAATAGCAGCAACTAATGCTACTATTGATAAATCAAATCCAAATTTCTTGAGTTGATCTGCATAGTCCTTATTTATTGAAATCACTTGGGCAGACATGAACATCATTGGAGCCGACAAGAAAGTACATATCACCATAGAGGACGCCATCTATAATAATGATGAAAATTTATTTATAAAAAGGTCAAATATCTCAAATACTAGGGCATATATTTCAATATTGAGCTTCTGTCCTTTTATTTTTATCTAAATGGCAGTCAGTAAGATTTAGTATCAATCAGTAAGATTTAGTATTTTTTAAGTAATTGGAATATCAAAAAATTGACGGCCCACCTGATGGTAAGTGGTAACCGTCGCCTATTATACATGAATAGGCGAGGGTTAAATAAATATACGGATAAAACGTTATCTTGTGACAAGTTATTGCATAAATATATTTTGTGACACTCATATATATACATTATAAAAATGTACAAAAACTGTATCTTTACATTGTATAAAGACAAACTCAGGGGCACACTGTAACAGTTTGGCACACCGCTTTTCCTCTTATGATCGTGGGTTCGATTCCTCGCACAAACATTTCATGAGTATGATTGGTTGTATCAGTCTTGGTGTTTTTTTGTATATTATGTAAGTGTTTTATAAAAAAAATCTAAGTATTTACAATAATTTGTCTAGTACTCATAACAAAAGCTCTGTTTAGCTTGGGACTAGATGACGCTGTGTGTGAATTGTCCACAGATATTATTACTAAGATAAAAAAAAAAGTCTTTCCCGTTGTCTATATGCCTCGTATAAGAAACTACTAACCAAATCCATTTCTAGTTGATATAGATTGGAGAAGACAAAAACTGCAGGAGCAGTAGGTATAGTACCATATAAGAAAGCATAGGTGGCCAGTGATAAAGTTTCAGATTCATTTGCACCTGCTCCAAATATACTAACACTTTCTCTCATCATGACGGGTAGTATTATTCTGAAATGGTTAAAATTATATCAAAATAATAAATGTTAACATTAATACATAAAGCAAAAACTTCCTACCCCATTTTACGAAAATTTTGCGGGACGGAGGAGTATGAAATTTCGTACACTTATCCTTACTAATATTATAAATGCGAAAGTAACTCTGTCTGTCTGTCTGTCTCGCTTTCCCGCCAGAACTACTGAACCGATTTAAATGAAATTTGGTACGCAAATTAAAAATTATGCAAAACATTCTGTTCGTTGGGAGGGAATGGGATTGTTAGTAATATGGATTCTTGTTATTTTTAGTGATTATTGTTAGTATAATGGTTACCCTTGGAAACCATCCTAAAAGTAAGTGCCTTTTAATTTGCCACAATGGGCTAAAAGACCTCATGCTTATTTTATCATCCTCCACTGGTGCTCTGCCAGCATAATCATATGCAGACGGGAACACCATTCCATCATCATCCATTAAAAAAATGTTGTTTGTCTTTAATATTATTTGTAATCATTATTTTAACATTAAGCAAGACTATACTTAATAAATATCAACTCTGGTAAATAATTATTTAAAAAAAATCATAATATATTCTATCAACACTATATACTCACAACTTAACTGCAATCAAGACACAAGGCAACACTAATGCTGGTCCTCTTAGGCGATGAATTTGTCCTACCATACGTAAACCCAATAAGAAGAGAGCAGATGCCGAGAATGCCTGTCCAAATACCTAAAATAAGAAGGTACATTAAAAATAATTTGCAGTCCCACTGAGAATGGTAGTAAATATTAACTAATATAATATTTAGATTGTTTTTAACCTCTATTTTCTAATAGTGGTATTCATACTTGAATTTATATGGCAAAAAATTGTTGCTATATAAATTGCGGGGGTCAGGTAGTAATAAATAAGTTATTACTTAATTGTATCATGATTACATGATTTTAAGGGCTTCTTAGAATTTATAATTAAAGTCTTAGAATGAATAAAATTTCATCAAAATCAGTCAAGCCGTTTCGGAAGAGTATAAACACAAAACCTGTGACACACGAATTTTATATATTAGAAACAATTCAAGTAGGACAAAGCATTATATGTCACTGTAAAAAATACAATATCGTAATTAAAAATAAAATGTAAGTGATTCATTTGACTACTCATACTGACTGCACATGACCAGAACAATTAATATTATTTTAAATAACTAACCTCCAATAGGCCCTCAATGTATATAGACAATTTATGTTTGAATATAATATTTCCAATAATACCCAACACAGTCATGACTAATACTGGATTAAAAGCAATCCCTTTGATAATTTGTTTTAATAATTTCAGTTTGCAGACATCACTCTTAGATTCATTCTCGATGACAAGGGCCTGAGCATTCTCTCTCTGTTTGTTGATTTCCATTAAAACAAAAGCAACTGGGTTGAGAATTGCAAGTGATATTGGAGCCATTAAGTACAGGTACAATGCATATTCTGGATGAGATTTCTCATAGATTGCATTAACTGAAAATTATTAAACAAAACATATTCAAACATATAAATGGCTGACATATTAATATTTTTTTAGGAAAATGTTGCTTTATTTAATAACTTCATATAAAAATTCTACATACAGCAATTACATTAACATTATAAAGAATATTACTTATGTTTTCTTACGATAGCATTAGTATTTAAAAGTATTCTGTCTTAATGTAGTCTTGTCTGTCTGTTTGTCTTATCTATATAAGATCTATATATATACAAATGTGATATATATATATATATATATTTGTAATAATGTATTGTACAGAAAGAAAACCTAATATGAAAGCATAAAACAATCTTAAGAAATAAATATTTGTATAATTTACTCCATCTAAATTCATCATGTACTTTAAACATGATTGAATTACAATATAGACATTCATATATAAAAACTTATATACTTTAAATAATAATGTCAGAAACATAAGTAATAATAAAGCCATGTTACTTACAAACTATTACAAGTAGGTATATAGTAAAATGACCATACTTATTGGGTATCCCAATGCAAAATCATTGCTTTGTGTGCAAAAGATTGCAAAAATTCCAGCTCGTCCCAGATGTACAGGTTTTGACACCAGTAGTGTCACAGTGATAACAGCAAAGAAGATTAATCCTTTGGCAACTAGTATTGCCAATAAAAAAGTCCAGTTTACAGTGGTAAAGTCCAAGCGTGCCAAGGATAGAAAAATAAGTGAAGGCAATGCAAATGTGCCCACAAATGTGGCAATACCCTTAGATTCAATAGATGAAACCACATTGAAACGACCTGCTAAATATCTATAAAAAAAATATTATATATATTATAGTAATTATGTAAGCAAACCACATAATTGATGAATCATCAACTTCAAATTTAATTCATATCCCTAATAGGCTTTTACTGACATAGAGAAGGTAGTAAGAGATGTATAATTATTTATTTAAAATATCGCAAAAAAATGTTTTTATCAATTTTTCTATATTTCATGTAAGCAATGGATTGCTTTATCAACTGTTTTTATTATGAATTCTCCACTTCAGCTTTAATATTTTCTGCAATGCAGTACTCTAATAAATCAACAAAACAGCACCATAATGGGTCCACTTATACTGTAGTTCAAATCCATAAAAATATGTATCTCCAACAGCTAAATATATCACAAGATTCAATGAAGACCCCTGAACTATGATTTACTAATTCTAAAACCTTCACATTAAACATTAAGACTGATATTAAAATAGCATTGAAAGTCTGCCAAATACAAAGTTAAGGCGTTTGATGCGTATTTATAAGGACAGAATAATATGAATTTAGTTCCAAACAGTATCCAGAAATATTAAAAAGTTGTAACACATCCAAAGTACTTACCCGCACAGAATTATAGTGAAACATTGAAATAGAGCTGGGTATAAATTGTCTGCAGTGGCATCATTTAGCTGCTCCATATTAAATTATTGTTTATTACTGTATATTTTTAAATATAATATTTATAAATGCAATGTGCTTAAATGTAATATTTGTTTCTGTAAGATATACATATTATTTGTGGTATATTAATTACAAGAATTGAGTATCATTATTGCAAACAAGATATTTTTATTATAATTATTATTTAATGAAATAATTTAGTTTTCGTTAAAACAATTGTTATTAAACTTCTACAGTAAGAGGAAATAAATAAAAACGAGATATCGTTTTACAGAATTCGTTTGACATTGACAATGACGTTCTTAGAATGCACCGAGTCATTTGAACCCCCCCAAATGTGTATCATACCCTACATTAGGGCTCGGAGCGAATTCCTTTGCCGTGGCGTAGTTTACGCCATGGCAAAGGAATGGGGGCAAAATCTCCCTGGGGACCAGATTAATAGCTACACGTTGGCAGGAACTAAAACTGTGTTACATACTATATTCAAATGATATATACTACTCTTTAAAATGTTTTTTTTTAACGGGTACGTCCGACCGGTTGTGTCAAACCCCTCAGGTGGAAGGAAGGACCATTGTCAGCGCCGCTAAACACATACACCGAAGAGGACGATATATTATAAGATAACGAACTACGAGTAATAATTATTTATTTACATAATTGTACAACTAATTAATTTGTAAGATAACCAAATTAAAGCTTAAAATATGGTGCTACTATGTTATAATTCAAACCATAGAAGTTCAATTATATTATATGAACTAATTACAACTATAAAGTAAAGTCAGTATGTGTATACCTTTAAAGTTAATAAAATCAATACTAAATATTTATGATAGCAACACTAGATGTGGGGTATACTTTTGCATCCGTTTCCGTTTTCGGCAGCCATCTTCAATATCTACTTGTTCGTTCACCGGTTCTGTGAAAGGTCTCAAGTGAATGAAAAATCTAATTAATTTTCAAATTCTCTCTATTTAGAGAGGTGCGTATATATTTTTACTTGAAATCCAAATTGAGCTTTACAACATTCATTGTACTTAAACTTGGTTTTTCTTTTGTTCTAGATACATACCCATTCAAGCGTTACAACCACCACGTAAGTTCCTATAGGAACTAGAAAGTAAAGGATGCAGTACAACGGCTTCCATAATCAACATCCTATGTGAGTATCAAATTCGTTTATTTTGTAGATATGTAATTTATGTAATTATTTGCTTTCTCGAGTGCAATTTATTATTTTTTTACAAACTCTTAACAGCCTTCGTGTCCGCCATTTTGTGAAATGTATTTTACTCAGCTGATTGGGGTTCACAATATCACTACCTTGAACTGTTAACTTACTGAACCCAATTAAGTTATAACACACGACTAATTTGAAAATTAATATTTACATAAATCATAATGTGCACAATAATTACAAGGACAAAGGTAACGATCGATCAGCTGCGCATCGGCGTACCGTCGCCATAATTACACCTACCTGACCTGATGTACCTATAGTACACTTCTGGCACACGGTAAAAAACCTGAGTCTCGGAAATTATATTGTTTTATGCAATAGTACTTCTGATTTGTCAATTTATTTTTTATATTAAATATGCTATATAGGATATTCTTTATTTAATAACATTAAATGGTAAAAGATGGGTGGGCGAGGCCAAAACGCTCTCGGTAAGTACAAAGCGACACCAGCAATTTATACTAAGCTAACTAGAATTTTCAGTAAGTTCGTTTTTTATACTAAACTACTTAAAATGGTTTTTTTAATATATAATTAAAAAATATTAAGAAATATATAAAAATAACGAAGTTACTGAAAATTCGAGTTAGCTTAGTATAAATTGCTGGTGTCGAAAGTAACTGTAATACTTTGAATATTTAAGACCTATATTAACTTTTTACTGAAAACCACCAAATTTTTCCTTTAAATATTAGTTTTTTTTTTAATCTAGATTTATTTTGGGGCTTTTGTTTTTGACATGTCAACCCCATTATTGCAAACTAATCGGAACAATTCTTAAAAATAACAAACAATTGCCAACTGCGAGGGATCCATTTATTAAGCTTTACCAGCACACACAACTGCAGAGCAACATCCGTAGTAGGGGCATGTGGTATGCTCTGAATAGTACCCACATCAAATTTGTTGATTTTAAAATCCTTAATAAATAGTTCCCTCTCTACTCTATTCCTATCACATTCCATCAAGAGCTGCTGGACATCTTCGACCCTTTGACACACAACACAGTCGGGTGAATTCTCCTTTTTCATTAAATATCCATACTTTCCTGATAGTGACCGGATCGGATTTTAAATAATAATTTCAATTTACATCTATTCAATTTTGCATTAGTAAACCAGGGAATCTGAAGAGGCTCACACTGTAAATATTAGTTTAACTGATACTTACATATATGTATATCACTATTGAATAATGAAATTAGGTTGGGTTTTTGAAGAGTTTATAGGTCACAATATGAAACTTGATCTACCTTTCTGCATCTACATAATATTGATTTGTAGCTAATATTCTTTATAATTTTTGTTTAATGTCTATCACATCAAATTCTCCATCACTGCTGTCATTCAGTTCTCATTCCCATGATATATGATAAGTGGAAGATCATAAATACAATTCAAGCTGGTCCTACCCTAACTGCACATCTCTGTTCTATAAAGTACATACATATACCTTTATGAAGGAGCAAAGGAGCATATTTGATTTTTAATTAACATTACTTAAAAATTTACTCCTGTATTTATAATTACATAAAAAATAATGTATTAATTTTTGGCTAACATAGTAACATATAGTATGTAGAACAAAATTACATCAAAGAACTGTGCTTTAATAACCATTACAATATAAAAGAGATTACCAAGAGTGATGAGACCTACCTTTCAATAATTTTATAAGTAAAAGAAACTGTTTTTTTATTTTTTACTAATGGACAACAATGCTCTGGTAGATTTGAAGATGCTAGTGATTTCTGTATAAGTTTTAACAATTAATAAAAAAAAATCATAGATAAAATTTAAAATGAAATAAAAAAAGTTTGTTTCATTACATGGCTAAACTTATTAAACGAAATAAATGTGACCATCTATTTAAACAATGATTCTAGTATATAAATTTTATTTCATCACTTACTATTAATTTACAAGTGTCATCCTATATCAGGTCAGGTGGTTACACAGATGAGCATGTAGTGTATTGTTCATTTTGAACTTTATTAATATGCTAGGAAATATCTAAAAGTAATATTTGTATATATAGTTATAAACAAATAACTAGATTTACAAACAAAACTAGAACCAAGTCTTTATAAATATATGTATATTATAATCTTATGTCATTCTGTATCTACAACTATTCAGCTCCACTCTGTTTTACTATTTCCATTCAATGTGTATACTTTTGAGAATACAATGTTTTTCATCTTTTATATAAGTTTTATTAGGAACTGTCTCGTTAGGGATAATTTTAAAGGTATTAATATGTACTATAATACAATAAATCCTTATTTTTATAAGGAGATAATTTATTATTTATTTATATATATATATAAAAGTGCTGCAAAAAAAACTATAATGTTTAACTACGGAACTCTGTATGAGTATGCAGTGGTGATCGGTGAAGGAAGATGGAAGAATTTCTTTGCCAATGTTAAATTGACTTTGATGAATGTATATTTGCTAGCGATTAGGGCCTCGTTGATACTTGCCTACTGATTAATTAGCAAAAAAATCTACTAACAATAACATTTTGAGGAAAAAATTTTATTTGAAGGTGTTTATTTTTCTAGATTCAGACCTCGAACAGACCGGAATGAACAATTCGCTAAAGTCCCATTTATTAATGGGATTCATGATTTTGGAGGACCAAAGAATTTTGGTCCCAGAAACAATATGGGCAACAAAAACAATTTTCGCCCCAGAACAGAATTTAATGGTGTAAGAAACGATTTTAACAATCAAAGGAATGACCATGGCAACCAAGGTGACTTTGGCGGACCCAAAGAATTCAGGCCTAGAAACAACTTCAACAATCACTCACAAAAGAAGAATGATAATGATGGTGACAAACAGCAAAGGGGAGGCAGCATTCAATTTTTTAATGCTAATAAGGGTGATTTTGGAGGTCCTAAACAACAAAATTTTCATAATAACAAAAATAACTTTGGAGGGAAAACTTTCAGTAACCAAAATGGACAACAAGCAAACAACACCCAGCAAAACTTTGTTCCAAAAAAGCAATTTAATAATAATGAAAGACAACAATCTGGTGATTTCAAAGGCCGTAAATTGCAGAGTCAGAAAGCTAAGCACCCTGGGGACAGTTTGGTAAAGCCGATATGGGATATGGCAAATCTTGAACCCATTCAAAAGGATTTCTATAAACCACATCCTAATGTTGATGCACGATCTGATGAAGAAGTACAGCTATTCCGTGCTGCTAAGGAGATTACTGTGAGTGGCAATAATATTCCTCGCCCCAATCAAATGTTTGACGAAGGCAATTTTCCTGATCATGTCATGAATACTATCAAAGAGCAGGGTTGGTCAGAACCTACTGGTATTCAGGCTCAGGGATGGCCAATAGCTTTATCTGGCCGAGATATGGTTGGAATTGCTTCTACAGGATCTGGCAAAACACTTGCATACATGCTTCCAGCTGCTGTTCATATTATGCATCAACAGCGCATTCAAAGGGGTGATGGCCCTGTTGCCCTCATCCTTGCTCCGACCAGGGAGTTGGCTCAGCAAATACAATCGGTAGCTCAGGCATACAGTGCACGCGGATGTATCAGGAATACATGCCTGTTTGGAGGCTCTCCAAAAGGTCCCCAGGCCAGAGATTTGGAGCGTGGTGTAGAGATAGTGATTGCAACACCTGGACGTTTAATTGATTTCTTAGAACGTGGTACCACTAACTTACGTCGCTGCACATATTTGGTCTTAGATGAGGCTGACCGAATGTTGGATATGGGATTTGAGCCCCAGATTCGTAAGATCATTGAACAAATACGCCCAGACCGACAGGTATTGATGTGGTCTGCCACTTGGCCAAAAGAGATCCAGGCATTGGCTGAAGACTTCCTCAATGACTATGTTAAGGTTAACATTGGGTCATTAAATTTGTCTGCTAACAACAATATCAAACAAATAGTTGAAGTTTGTGAAGAACATGAAAAGGAAATGAAGCTTACCAATTTACTGAAAGAGATAGCTTCTGAACGCGATAATAAAGTTATTGTTTTTGTGGAAACAAAAAAGAAGGTCAGACATTTATTATTATCTAAAATTTTATTATTTGTGTGTATGAGTATTAGAAACATCTTTCTTTTAAAAATAAAATCTATACTTACAACTATAAGTAATAATAATAACTTATATTTTTGTTTAGGTGGATGATATTGCACGGGCTGTACGTCGCAATGGTCATAAGGCTTTGGCTATTCATGGAGATAAGTCACAACCCGAACGTGACGCTGTATTAACTGAATTTAGAAATGGTGCAACTACCATTCTAATTGCTACTGATGTGGCTGCTCGTGGTCTTGATGTAGAAGACGTAAAATTTGTTGTCAACTTTGATTATCCAAATTCTTCAGAAGATTATATTCACAGGATTGGTGAGTGTTTAAGTATTTGTTCTTGAAAATATAGAATATTTCCTTTGCTGTAACCCTCCAATTAATATATACATTTCAATTTAACTTAGGTCGTACTGGCCGCTGCCAACAGTCTGGTACAGCATACACATTCTTCACCAGTGGCGATTCTCGCCAGTCCCGTGCTCTTGTTGCCGTGTTACGTGAAACCGGGCAGAATCCGCCAAACAGACTAAATGAGATGGCAAGGAATAATAACAACAACACTGGTAAGTTTTTATTTCTTTAACAATTATATATTATGTATAATATTATTTTTGCCTCCAAATGGCCGAGCAAGCCATTTGGAGGCAAAAATAAGTAAGACGTAATAATAACAATAGAGAGTGTAAGCAATTTTTTTGTTAAATGATGAAATATAGCAGTGCAATTATAATGTACGAAGGCATGGCACGTCAGCATTGCGGGTACGCATACTAAGCCATAAGCCATACAGCCTGGAGTAAAGATAGACTCTGAAAAGTAACACTGGGTATGTGTAGTTTGACCTTCCACTCCACAGTGTCTCAAAATTTATCTAAACTTACCATTATGATTAAATATTTACATAGAACAAAATTTTAAAATGTTCATACTTTATCTTTAAAACTCTACAGGCCGTAATCGCTGGCAACAACGTAAAGAAAACAACAGTGGCTCCAGCTCTCCACGTCAGCAAAATAATAATCAGTGGAACAACAAAATGGCTACAGCGACCAATGAAGACAATAATCAGAACATTTATCAAAACCGTAATATAAATCAGCAACCACCGCGTTTCTCTAATCAAAATCAAATGACTCATCAGGGTTTCAGGCAAAATAACTATCAGAAACCAGTACCTTTCCCAAGCCCAAATGTATTTGAATCTATGGGTAATTATCAAGGTGGATACAACAATGGATATCAGAATGGATACAATAACCAGAATGGATATAACCAGCGCCCCTACAACAGTGAGTATATTTAAGAGGTACTATATAAGAATTCTCTTCATCAGCTGTATATCTTTTTTTAATTGTATGTTGAAAGATTAGGAAAGAAAAAGATGTGGGTGGGAAGCTGTTCTCCCCTTTCTAAGGAATAAGAAAATTTTTTATTGAACTCAAAATTATTTCATTCTGTTAATGTTTTTGTAAATTTTATGTTCCTAAATCTCTATAATCAGAGATATTGCATAAATTTTAACATTTTATTAATTTGTGAATTATTTGTATAGATGCCCGTAATGGTGCCCAGCAATACCGTAATAATAACACCAGCAACAAGTCGGCAGGATCAGGGTCGACCTACGGTTCGCCTCCGCCTCATTTCGCCACTCCACAACATTATACAGCAATGCATACTCATCAGGAAATGCTTGGTCAGTATATTAAGTAACAGAAATATTAATAGATGAAATATTCCAACACAGAAATTAGATCTTTTAGTTTAACATTTTTTCTTACCTATCTTCATTCTAAATCTATTGACTATATTATTATCTATCCCAAATAATGCAAAATATACAGAAATATCATTGGTTGATACTTGTCCAGATGGTACTCAATTAAAATTTTGTTATATTTTATCAGAATCGGTCAACCAATTCATCGGATGCAATTCAACCTGTTGCATAAATTAAGGATATATAGAGTTTATAATTAACTGATTATGTATATCAATGCTGCCTCTATCTGAGTCTAGGAACTAGTTAAAAATAGTTTCGCGAAATTTCCCATAGGAACGAGAACTAGATGATATCGCTCGTTCAATAGTCGTGGGAAATACAAAATTCAATAAGATATTGAATGTTCAGGCGGCAAGTTCTATGGTGGCGGCGTGGGCGGCGGTGGTCCGTGCGGCTACCAGGCGGGGATGGGGGCCAGCGTTCCGTACGCGCACATGGCTCCGGGACCTCTGCTGTATGCCGCACCCGTGCAGCAGTAATTTCAGCATCGACCACATTTTCCGTACGATACTAAATTGGCCTCAATCCGTGTCGCTAAGCTTTATCGTAATTATTAGTGATAAATTTTTCTCTCTGTACCTCACGAGGAAGTTGATTTTTATGTTTAAATTCTTCAATAGTTGGTGTTTTAATGTCATTATGCTTAAAAATTATCCTTACACCAACAAGATTAATGTTGAGGCCTGTTTTTCTTATGAGCACTTTTTTTTATTTTGATTAGAATATTTCATTGTAGATCTGAATGAAGACTTCAAAATAATTTGTCGTTAATAATAAAGTATATTGACGAATTCTATTTTTTACTTGCAGAATTGATTTTGTATCGTCAATGAATCCGATAAACAAATGTTTAATGCATAACTCTGTGAATTCTCTTCAGATCCTTTTAAATTAACAAATGTAATAAGTGTGTTAGATTTATAAGATGATGTATTCTTTGTTGGGTCGATTTCGCTTCTAGCCGTTCTATACATTATAAAATATATAAAAGCATAATGTATCTAGTAATAACAGTAAACCTAAGAATTGCTGGGATAAATACTATATTGATACAGACGAAATGACCAATATAGAATACAAGAAAATTATTACAATAATATTATGGTGGAACAACAACTGTAGTTCTGCTTTTAGCTTTTAATCATTATATTTGTTAGAGTAGTTGGTGTGGGTACCCTCTTGTGTAATCCTGGGTGCCTTTCGTTTTTTTTAAATGTCTGTATGATGTACGAAATGCACGAAACATGTAGAAGATGAGTGAAATTATATGGGGAGGGTTTTGAAATACAGAAATGTTATCTGACATATTTTATATAAATTATTTTTTATTGTTAATGATTGATCTTATCCAGTGTAAGAGTGGGACAACGTAGACTTAGAGAAATTATTAATACTTAAAACGCATTAAATAAAAATGCTTCTTGATATATATATGTATATATATATAAATACACCATAATAACAATCTGTATTGCCAGATAAATATGTGAATATTTTTCTTATGTAAAGTGATGTCAATGACATTTCAAGTCACTGATTTCGAGGTTATTTTTTTATTAAAAATTAGATCTTGATATACTTGAATATTTATGTCTAGGAGTATTAGTCTATGTCTATTGGACTTGGACAACAGTTGTACTTTAACATGTTCAAACTTATTTACCATACTCAAAAATGTAGAAGATTGTAAATACATGCATTTATCTTAGGTCGATTAGTATTTTGAATGCGATGAATATAATCTAACAGCGTTTACTTTATTTTTAGCAAAATAAGGTATTCTTCATATTGTGTTTTTGATTATTTTTTTATAGGATGGTCGTTTCAGATATTTGAACTATTTTCTTTGTACGTAAACGGGTTCTAAGGGGTAAGGATAGGAATGAATAGGTACAAATTATATCTACTGAAACACATTTTATATTATCTAGATTCCCGTTACTGTCCAAAGATTTGGAAAAATCTGTGATATTTCATTACTGTAACCTATCGTTGCGTTGGTCAATTGTTGATACATAAGGACACTTCCCGTGGAGTGTTACTAGACAAAAATATATTTTTTGACTATATGAAAGAATTTCATGAATGTTTGTGACTACAAAAGTTCGCAAGTCATTCACAGATATAATATATAATAATTGATAGATGTAAGATTTAATAATTTATTGTTATTCAATTTAGTTTTCAGTTAACTGATAGGTGACGAAATTGAACCAGTTCAAAGGGACGTAAACGTTATTATCTATATAAGTAACCCGTACAAGTGGTACATCTTGAAGATATTATGGTGTATAGTCAAAACGGGAGTCGAACCGATTAAAGGGGTGAAACAACGTGTTGTGAATCTCGTGTTTGTAACTGATTGGAATGCGAGATTTGCTTTATTTATGTACATTATAAGAGAAAGACTGCCATGAAGGGATTTGTATATGTGCATAAATTCATCTCGAAGATGATTTCCTATATACTAGCCTGTGTGCGGACCTGTGCCGTTTGTGGTGAAGATGGTTTGCGGTCTAAAATGTGTGTGTGACGTCAGAGGACGTACCAGGCTATGTAGTTGTGTGCGTATTAGATTGGCCAGTGTGTGTTGTGTCCGGTCTGGTCGCGGATAGCAGGTAGCTCCTGTATTATTATGTACAAAGTACTGCACCCACCTCTACTAAAACAACTGTGATAATAACACTAAGTAGCTTAGCAGGCGATTTATTATACTAGTTACGTCCAAGAGAAGGGATGACATCATATCTGACATACTGTATTGTGATAATATATCAGGCGTGACCTCTTGTCGTTACGTTTTAACTTAAAGTTTTCTCTAAACAAGACTGATTATTTCTTATTGATAAATATTTTATACATGTTCCACTTTGACTGAATGAATTAAGATGTCTGTATATTGGTAGTATTCTTGTCTCATCGCTGTGTGTTCTCAAAAATTGAGTATTCACTATGTTGGATATGTGTCAAAACGCCTTTCTATGCGGTCACCAAATTGATGAGGGTCTTTTATGTTTAATTTGTACAATAATTTCTACTTTCCTTTGTGATGGAAAATGTTGTTGACAATTATGTGGCAGCGCCAGTTGAACACTACCTTATAAAGAGTATATTATAATTTGTTGTTTATTTGCAAAATTTTATTTATTCAAGCAGTAGGTAACTCATAGGCAATCGTACTTTCGTGCTTTACTATTTAAGAGTTTATTTTCAAAAATGAAAAATGGTCGTGAAAAATATACATAGAATTTTAAGTATGTGGCAATGCAGATCTTCATTGATTCTTACTATGAATGACATAGTTTGTATTTATTCAATTTATAACATAAAATGGAGAAAGGCTCCTTATAAAACTGTCCCAAAGGGAAGTCTTCTGAATGTTTCTGAGAAGTGCATTTCTTCTATGTAATACAGTATTAAATTCAGATTAATAAATGGATGTATAATTATTATTTATTTGGTTTTATTTTCTACATTCTAGGTGGTAATATAATAAATATAATATATAATAAATACATTTCCAGCACACAGGAGAGTAGTAATATCATCTGTGGTAGGAGTAAAGAACCTTATGCCGTTGATACACTGGTATATGAATATTTTTTATAGATGATAATGGAATGATGCATACTCTTGCGGTAACGGCGCAACATGGGGTATGACAGGATGATTACTATTTCCCATTACTAATATCCCCTTTCCTCCCTAGTTAGCCCATATTGGCAATTGGGAAATTTGCCACGATGGTTTCCAGGGGGAACCGCGTGCAGGTCAATCTGACATGGTACATTGTTAGCAATGGGGTTATTAGTGCAAATTACTAACAATCCCCTTTCCCCTTCATCATGAATATTATGAACGTGATAGTATGTTAGGACGTATGATTCTTGCATGTAAATTCCATTGTATGTATTTAAATGAATTTTGTGTAACTAATTTATCGTATCACATACAACTTATTTCTACATCTTGTATTTCTATTTATATTGGTATAACTACAGTATACGTATCCTAAAACTGACGATTGATTATTATTAAAATACATTTATTTATTAGTCTGTGATAATTTTTCAAGTGTAACACAAAAAACTCCATCTGTTAGGAAATTTTAATATAGTAATAATGGTTACCTGTAACTCCATCTGCACTCGCACAAATTTTAGAAGCGTCATGCATAGAGCACGATGCTTCTAAAGTATGTACTTGAAGTAATTCAATTCGCCGTTAGATGGCGTGTATTGTCACTTCTAGTCAGTTTGAACGCTTGTCATCTGGGTTGAATGGCTGATAGTGGAATAATGAACAATTTCTTTTTTTTTGTAAAATTGTGATTATTTGTTAATGTGCAATCTTTTCATGAGAAGAACATTATATTATATTAATTTTCTAGTGAACGATTATTTTCAGTGAACATTACATTTGTATCTTATTTTACAAAATTTATACGTGTGTGGCTGGTAATAGTAAGGAGGTCATTTCGAGAGGCTAAAAGTCTGATGGTATGTAATTCTGTTTACTATTTTCTGTTAATCTTGTATGTAATTAAAGTGTACAAAAATACCACCTCAATTAGAATTAAAATTACTAAGATATTTAGAAATTAGGCGATGCCACATAACCAAACTTTCGCTTACTGGCGTAATAAGACTAGACGGCCTTGAATCTAATCTTGTCAAGTCAATGTCGTTTGTTTATCAATAATCTCGTCTAGATTGGTTGACCAGCTAGTAGTTACATACTTATTTTATTTCTAGTACACCACAAATACTGGTTAATACTTTTAATTCGGAAACTCTATTCTTACCATTCACAATTGGGTATTGTTATGAATGAATAAACTGGATTACGTTTAATATTCTTCTATAATACATGCCTGTCTACCTATAAAGCCTAGGCTTTCATGAATCCGTTATATCAAAATTACTGTAATAAATCCTAATAAATTTCATCCGCCCTGATTAGAGTAAGATGTCTATCTATTATAAAGGTGGAGTATTTATTACTTATTACCAGAAATATATTTAATTGATGAATATGTATGATGCACCTTCTTGCGCTAACTCTATATGACGACGAGGCATAGAATGAGCATGAAGCTGACTTATAGCATTATAACTTTCCTGAGTTAGTCCAACGTGTGGAATTCACCAGAAATTATAAATTTAGGCGTCCGTGTGGAGGTCCACTTGATACGCCCCATTGCCCATCCGGCAATTACGGCCCATTCACCTGATACTAGCAAAGGGGTCAAGATTAACTATAACAATCCCTTTCCCGCCATCACTGCGGTGTTTTTTTTGTGCTCAATTTATTTGGCAAACAAGCTCTTAGCCTACTTGATGGTAAGTGGTAACCGTCCCTATCTATATACATCAACAGTACTATATATACTATACACACAATATCATAGCCCATGACATTTGGTATTATGTATCTAGATAAATAGTGAAATAATTTTGTATTGTTTCCGGATACTAATCATAAATACAAATTGGCACTCTTTATAACATTAGTGTAGACCTATGTGAGAACCAAATAATGATTTGTCAATTTGGAACAATTTATTTTACAGATGTCAATAGAACGTGGTCCGATGTTGCACAACAGGGTTGACAGCTACTAGCTAGAGGCGGCGCCGTCATAGCCAAGCCTCATGACCTGCTCATGATTGCGGAATAAGGTAAGGAGCAACTCCACCACCTATTACGGTAACTTGTTAACGATCTAAAAAGTACCATATAAACAGTGCGATGAATCACGTTATTTGTGCAGCTGACTTTCCTCAATTGTTAATGGTACATTCCTGTACCTAACTCTGTTTTAATTTCTTTGGTCAAGAATATTGTTAACGTCATAGCTCTAATTATTATTAATACATTTTATTACGATGTCGGAATGGCAGAGTATGAGGCGTACTGCTATTCATGTATATATAGTAGCAGACGGTTACCATATGACGGAACAGCAGTTCCGTCATATTGTTTGCATATTCCATATACATAAATAAAAAAAATTGAATAATTATATAATGCAGTCTAACGTAATAAATCATTATTAAACATATTCGTAAAAACCTACTTACTGCAATAAATAATAAAGATTACAAATACTATACGTTATATACAAGTAGTTGTCTCATAGACGTCGCGCCGTGCTAAACTAGGAAGTCCAGGTACTAATAATAATGTACATTGCATTATCCCATTGGATAGGCCTGGTGTACTACTATGCACTCCCGTTCCTCATAAATAGTAATGATTTATGAATACGTTGTGTATTAGTGCGGTAATTTGTATACATGCGTTATGTCTGTACAGATAATTTTTCTGATATATTACTTTCTCTGTTATGTAATTTGTTTGGTATTTGTTTTGAAATAGATAATATCTTGTAATGCTTCTATTTGACTAGTCGCAATAGTTCATACTAATGTCATAAACGCGAAAGTATGTCGTGTCCATCTGTCTGTTTTGTTTTTCATGACAAATGGAGGTCCACTAGGAGGGACATAACCTATCTTTTATACCTATTGTACACCAAATTTGGTCTACTCTTTTTTAATAATAGATATCCTATGTTCGTCCTGGTGATATAATCTATCTTCATACTAAATTTCATTAGGGACTGTTCAGCAGTGAATACGTAACAAGCATACAAATAGACTTAAGTATTTATAATACTGATATCAATTAATCCGTATAACATTGAAGTAGGTACTGAAAACTATAGTACATATTTACTATGTTTTAGTACACGTAAGTGTACGTAGTGGCAACTAAGTTGAGAGTTACATCGGAGCGTCTATGGAATGCGAGGGCATTGCGCGACTTGTTTTGACTGGCGGAGCACCGAGACGTAAAAGGCAGAATGTTACATACAACCTTCAATGCTTCAGTGCTTCATACAAACAAATGTTGACGATGATTCGATTGCTTTATTGTTGTTTTTCAGTGGTTTTATCTGTGTTTTTGACGTAAGCATTTTAAAATAATGAAACATATAAAATCCTTTGTACGATATAAATAACTACTCATTTAAAGCTTATTGACTTGGTTAATTTGTTTTTATTTATTTAATGTTTATTTTTACACAACAAAAGAACAATACCTATGTTAAAAAAAAAACAAAAACCTACAGAGATCTGTAATATTTAAAAAGTTTAGACTTTTCTAGTATTTGAAACAAAATAAAAAAATATAGCACGTTGTTACGTCATATTCATCAAGTATCCAAAATAACGAAATTAAAAGGAAACTGCTTTTGCCACTTTATTTTGGAACCATATATTTCTAAAAAACTTCAAAATAACTAACAAAGTTACTGTGTTACTGAAATGAGAGTCTCTATCAAAAAGTAAATAATTTATTTATTATTTTATATCATTAAATTTATGCAAAATAAGGAAAATATTGCTTAGAATACATACATATTACATACATTAGAATACATTTTTTTCTTGGGTTTTGGACAACCTTTGGAAGTCCGTTGAAAGGTAAACAAACATATCTGTTTATATAGAAGGTCAATCATTCCACATTAAAAAAAATTGATATATCTGTAAACAATTTTAAACAAAAGGCGTCATTTGAAGTATTTGTTTACGCACACAGATTCCCAGAGTTTAGCCTCGCGTGACCAGCAATTTAAACTGTGTACTTAGCTATTGTACCGTTAATAAAACAGTTTCGAAGAATACCTGTAAATTGTAACTCCTTTTATTATTATAAGAATAATTCGCAATTTTCTTCCTAGCCACCTGGATACATAACGAATCTACTTTCATAAGTTTTATATAATTTGACGTATTAAATATCAAATTGAGTAGTAAATTAACTTATGTGTGTTAAATGAGGGTTAGATGGTAACTTTCTTTAATAATTAACTTATATGTAAATAAGAATTATACTTAACAGGTTATTTAAGGTACAAAAGGCAGTAATGTCGATCAAGAAATCTCTTCTACACAATGAATAATTTCTGTAATTTAATAAATGTATTTGAACAATGCTAAAAAATAAAAGGAGAAAAATAAATGTGGCCTGCATTGGTAGTGATGGTCTTCCAAATTAATAACTTAAACATTTTTGGGACGTTTTCGTATACAATGCCCTAATTTATATATCTATAATATGTAGGTATATGTTTTTAAGATATTAGAATTAACATTTGTAACGCTAAACAAGGTTCTACATATACAGTATGTAGTGTTTTTTTATTTATGAAGCGGTAGATACGTAGCTATTAACCAGTGTGCAAACAGGATCCGGCACGAGTTTCAGTAGTATACACAGCCTTGCCAGAGGCTATGTTTTTGCAAAACAAACATCATTGCAACATCACCGCTCGACGTTGTGCTCTCTCTTTCCTAATGCCAAAACAACTTAATGTAAATGGAAGCCCATTGGTGTGTAAGTACTATTTAGCAGTATAATAATAAAAGCACATTTTCGAC